TTAGAGATTAAGAAAAAAACAGAACAGCATGTGAATCATAGAGACGAATTAGTGAGCGAATCTTTGCGTGTGCTAGAAGAAATCAAGGAAAAGCAGCTAGGTTTGACTAAAATACGAGGTGACGTTATCAAACACCATATGGAGAATAGGGATGTAATGCAGAGAGTAAACGATCTCAAACAAGTGGTCGAAAGTACGGGTGTCTCTGAAAGTACAGCGTTATTACATCGACAGTAAGTTGTTGTCAACTGTAGACTCCCTGCGTATATTAAAATAGTTGTATAGAATACGAGAACAGAAAAATTACATTGCAACACTTCGTGCTGCTATATCTGTAAGGAGGATATTTCTTTGTTACCAAAAGAAGCAATTAATTAATTATGATTATAGGGTTTGATAATGGAGAGTGATATTGATTGGGTAAAGGATCCAAAAGCATTCTCTATAATGACAAAAGCAGGAGAGGATCTTTAAGGAGACCTTTTTTTTTTATTTTAATTTAATAGAGAAATATATATATATTATGATTTAATACTAGACAACTCGATTGCCCATGTTGAACTTATTGGAGATAAGTGTTGCTCTGGTGTATTCGGCCCAGTAGATATAGAGCCATCAGAACCATCGTCTACAGTGCTTGTCGGCTCGGTTGCCTTACCAACTTGATTGGGATCTAACCCTAAATCATTTAACACAACAGGAAGGGCACCCATTCTAATTGAAATATGTATGTTCAGTATCTGCGTCAACAGATTTTTGATCTTGATTACTGCCTTACCGAGAATAAAACATTTGTAGCCGAAGCCTAATATTTTCAGTGTATAAATCTTGTATTGTCCTATCAGAATACAAGCCTAATTGAATATTTCGGATAAAGACAAAGAATTCACAAACGGCCACTAGGCGATCACGACAATATTGATCAATAGGTAGCCAATTCTCATTTTCATCGAGTTTGAATCTATAGTTTAATGGCTGGTTACTTCCACAAGCAGAACATGAATTGGACACAACAATGTTGATCGTTGTATTCGAGAATCTTTCCCACAGTGGCCTCTGTTGTTGTTGCTGATGTTGATGCGGCTGGTTTTGCTGTAAGTGAGTAGCGTTTTCAATAAAGCATGGTTGCCTTGAAAGATAATTGATCATTTTTTTTATAGACAGCCTTGATTGAGGACCGAATCTTAAGCAAGGTTCAACGTCTTCTGATAAACAATGCTTCATAAAGTTTGTTTGATTCAACTTTTTCGGTGATACTGAGTTTTTTGCAGCATTGGTATATTCACGAAATGATTCTAATTGTAACTCATCGATAGTTGTTATTTGTTTACATATGACAGGTTTTGAAGGTGGTGGCAGCGAGAGAGTACTTTTCTTTTCATTATTATTGTAGTTGTACAGATGATTAGCACTTGCACGTTTCAGTCCATGTAATTCTTCTAAATCCATCTGAGCCCGGATATTATGTGGAGGTATCTTAATTCGGCTATTATTGACGGCATCGTTTGTTGTCAATTTTAATCTTAATTCATGTAACTGATCTCGTTCTGCCAAGAGTTGTTCTTGAGTCTGTGCCAATTCGTTTTCTATTTGCCAACGAGCTCTTTTTTCAATAGAGACCATTGCATTTGCTTCTTCGAATAGGTTTCGACTAAAGTCTTCTAATTCATGTTCAACCAGGTCTTTTTCGTGTTGAATATTTCCAACCCTTTCAATTTCTGCCACATATTTTTGATTTAATGTCAATAAATCTAATTCAAGTCTTTGTAATTGATGATTTTTTATAGCAAGTTCTTGTCGTAAAGAAAGTATCGTTTCATCAGAATGACAGTAGTGACAACTCATAGTAGCAAATTAAAAATAAAGAAAAAAAGAAAAAAGATAAAGAGTCTAATTATTTTTTTCCTTGTGAATTTTCAATGTACCTCATTTTCTCAAAGTCAGTCACTTATTTTTTCCTAAAGTGGTTACTAAATCTATCTGTTAGTTCAAAGTTGATTGATATGACCCTTAAACAGTAATCAGACGTAAAACTAAACCGAGCACTTGGAATAGACAAAGTCTTTTCTAGATAGAATATTCCAATTATCAACCAGCTTTTAATAATAGATGGTGGTGAAAGATTCTCTTTGACAATAGTATCTGTCTACTTCAACAGCTTACTATGCTTATGGTAGTACTTGATTTTTTTTTTTCATATTTTGACGGCCGAAATAAACATGACGTCTAAATTCCTATAAATGACCGATCACTTTATTTTTAATTTTTTTTGTTTTATTTGTTATAACAATGGCAGAAATCATTGATCACCTTCTTTTGTATAAAAATGGTCAAGAATCTTCAACACAACTTGAAAAAGAACTAGAAGGTTCAATAAAAAAGACTCTTTCAGATCACGAGTACAGGTAAAAATAGGTCATTACATAGATTCTCTCCGTCTGACATGTTCATTTAGAACCGAACTCGGTGCAAAACCCGAGTTTTGGCGATATTTCAATGCAGCATTGGAAGTATCACTAAAAGACACCAACGAAGCATGTTTAATCAATTTAATCAAGCTCGCGAGAAATGTTGTCGCCGGTGACTTACGTAATCAGAACTTGGCCATGTAGGGAATAAGACGAAAACCATTAAATTGTATTAACGCCCGTTTACTAGTCAACACGGTGCCTTATATAAAATTGAAGATCTGTTAGCAGAGAAAATGACCAGTGAGAGTAAGTATACATGACGAAATATTTTCAGTTTGTTTCTAAAAAATATTTATATTACAGCTGATAACAACATGATACTTCAGGTTGGAACCCAGGCCATTTGCAATATTATCACAAACAATCAAATAGCTATTGATTTTATTTGGAAAATTTGGATGTCAAATGAACGAAGGGGTTCTATTTGGAGGTAATAGCAAATAGAGACGATAATTGCAGATGGTAAATAACTAGCTATTAGTCTTATTCTATCCAAGAGCAATGAAAATATAATCATGAGCGCACTAGTATTAATCATAAACTGTATCCGAGGCAACGAAATAAGATGGTAAACACAAACAAAAAGAAAATGTTATCCGAGCTAAAAATGCCCTTTTTGTTGTAGCGGTTTGTTAGTGACCAGTAAGATTGGTAAGGACATTATAGCTGCTATTTTAGGTGATATCGAACGATTGCATGGTAGTGAAGAATCCAAAAATTTTGAATTGGGGTAAATTTTATATTTTTTTCTCACACACTTTGATGTTACTCAAACATAATGTTTTTAGATACACCATTTTTAGTGAGTTGATATCATTTGGATATTTCAAAGAATTGTATACAAACATTGATGATTTTAGGTAACAAAAATACACAAAGGACCCGGGAGAAGTTTCTCATGTATTTTTATAATAGTAAAAATATACTCATAAGTGATCATCAGACAATCCTTTTGAAATTGTTGGATTCCAAAATCCATGCGCACAAGGAATCCTTCCCAGAGTTCATAGGACACAAGGAGCTCGAATTTCTCATTGATCAATTTCAAGTTATTGCAAAAGAAACCATTGTTATTATCTTGGCTGTAAAAGGATCCAATCCTGAAGAAAAATCGAATTTAGAGGTTGAAAAAGTAACAAATGTATACACGGGTGTTATTCTTTTGCTTCAAATGTTGAACCAGTTATTCGTTTTGGATGAAAATCATCAAAGAGGGATTAAGCAATTACTCGTTGGGGTAAATGCCTTGTCTCTGGTCACAGGTAACTTCTATATATATGCAACAAGAAAAAGGGTCGCAAACATGTTCTATAGATATACTGGGTCATCTTGAGTCCATGAAGTTACCTCCTGCCCAAGTTGAAAATCCTCTTGCAGGCTTTAACTTTTTGAAGAGAGAATGTGTACGCTTGATGGGTACATTATGTCATAAAGACAGACTAATGCAAGACAAGGTAAAAATTTTAAATTAAATTAGAAGCATTCTATTTGACACTTTTCAACAATATATATAAAAAAAAGATCCGTGAACTAGGTGGAATTCCATTAATTCTGTGCCAGTTCAAAATTGATGATTCAAATCCATGTAAGGAGAAGAAGGGGAATCATATCATGAGATGACTAATATTTAAAACTCTCATAGACCTTCGAGAATATGCGACACTTGCTCTTCGCAACGTGATGGAAGGCAACACAGAGAACCAAAAATTAATCGAAGAATTGCAACCACAAGAAATTCTTCAAACTGATGAATTAAAAGAAATGGGTCTTTCAACTGAATTAATGCAAGACGGTAAAGTTCGTATAAAGAAAATTTAAATTACTGCGAAAAAATAATGGGGTTTGTCCCTACCCCCCAAACAATAAATGGTCACACTATTTTTATTTATTTTTTTCCTTACAAAAATAAAAAGTTACAAAACACATCTTTCTTTCCTTTTCTTTCAGCTAAATACATACATTTTTTTTACACATGCCTCCTGCTTTCCAACCTCCTTATGCTGTTCCAGTTCCTGGCGCAGTCCAAAAAGATGGCGAGACCTTACCACACCGTCACTTTAGATTTGCTGACAAGTTAGTCGATCACCCCGAGAATATTCATACTCTTTGGGACATGTATCTTAACGGTTACAAGTTAGCTGGTGGTAAGTAATCAAGTACAATGAAATCGTAAACAATCAACTAAAAATCATCATACTTATAGACAGACCATTTATGGGTACACGTCGTATGGAAAATGGTGTCGCAAAAGAGTACGTCTGGCAAAGTCACCCTGAAGTTCGTAAACGTATCGAGAATTATGGTAAAGGTTTAATTGAGCTCGGTTTAAAACGTCAACAAGCTCTTGGTGTTTATGCTGTGAATAGACCTGAATGGGTAAACATTTAAAGAAAACACTGTGCAATGTACCTGATCTAACCTTCCCCCTTTCTTTCTCACTTGCTACCCAAAAAAGACCATGACTGAATTGGCTTCTTACAGACAAGCCTTCATTATTGTCGCGCTTTATGATACCCTTGGTGCCGAAGCAATGGAATATATTGTCAACCAAGTGGATATGGAGGTCATTGTTTTAAGCGCCGATAAACTTGATAATATCACCAAGCTTAAAGCCCAGCTTCCATCAATTAAAACCATCATCGTCATGGATGATTCCATTCCACAAGCCAGTAAAGAGTCAGCTGAAGCAACTGGTCTTAAGGTCTATACTTTCCGTGAAGTAGAGGCCCTGGGTGCTCCTATCACTGAGGAAACAGAATTAGCTACAGCAGACGATATTGCAACCATCTGTTATACCAGGTAAGAAATGAGCTGGAAAAAGGGGAAACATTATGTGTGTACTAACTTTAATTCTCAGTGGTACCACAGGTGTACCCAAGGGTGTTGTCTTGACCCAATCAAGCAGTGTTGCTGCCATTTCTGGTATTGCTGCTGTTGGTGATAAGGGCACATTTGCCTTAATTACTCATGAAGATACATACATTTCATACCTTCCTCTTGCTCACGTTTTCGAACGTGCAGCTCAAGGTATTCATTTGTATAAAGGTGCCGCCATTGGTTACTACCAAGGTGACACTCTCAAGTTATTGGACGATATTGCTGAATTAAAGCCAACTGTTTTTTGCTCCGTACCTAGACTTTTCAATCGTATTTACGATAAAGTTTTATCCGGTGTCAAAGCTAAGGGTGGTGTCTCTGCCATGCTTTTCAATTCTGCTTTTGCAGCAAAGAAGGCCAGTCTTAACAAGACCGTAAACCATTGGCTTTGGGATCGTGTTGTATTCGCTGGTGTAAGTTTTTATTTTTAAATAAGGAAAATTGCTATTGGGGAACCTAACTCTATTTTTTCGTACTACCAGATCCGACAAAAATTAGGTGGTCGTATTCGTTTTATTCTTAGTGGTTCCGCTCCCGTATCACCAGATGTAATGGATTTTATGCGTATTTGTTTTTCTGCAAAGGTATTCGAAGGTTATGGTCAAACTGAAAACTATTGCGGTGGTTGTTTGGTAAGCAGGGAGAAATTTTTTATATTAAAGGAGTGTTATACCTAAACGTTATTTTTAGACTATTTCTGATGACAATACTTCTGGTGTTGTCGGTGTACCTTTCCCTTGTTCTGAAATCAAATTAGTCGATGTGCCCGAAATGGAATACCATGCTACCGATAAACCATATTCTCGTGGTGAGATTTGTATTCGTGGTTTCTCTACTATGCGGGAATACTATAAGTCTCCTGAAAAGACTGCAGAAACAATCGATGCTGATGGCTGGTTACATACTGGTGATATTGGTATGTTCGATTCCGCCAACCGTGTTGTTATTATTGATCGTTTGAAGAACATTTTCAAGTTGTCCCAGGTAAGGAGCACTTAGTTTTAAAAAGGGTACATTTACTAAAAAACAAGGGGATCAGGGTGAATATATTGCACCTGAAAAGATTGAGGGAGTTTATCAAAAGCACGAATTGGTTGCTCAAGCTTACGTCTATGGTGACTCTATGCAAGCTTCTTTAGTCGGTGTCATCGTACCTGATAAAGACTCTTTCAAAAAGGCTTTCCCCAATACTGAAAATCCTTACGAATCTGATGAAGTCAAGAAGGAATTATTAAAGACATTAAATGCTTACGGCAAACAAAATGATCTCAAGGGTTTCGAACAAATCAGAGCTGTGCATTTAACTTCAGAAGAGTTTTCTGTTGAAAACGATCTTTTAACCCCAACCTTCAAATTGAAGCGTGAAACTGCAAAGAAGGTTTACCAATCCCAAATCGAGGCCATGTACGCCACTTTATCAAACGGCAGAGCTTTCAATTAATACATATACTCTGACTAATAATTTTTCCAAAAAAAAAGGAACCCTTCCCCAACATGTTTGTCCATACCAGATTAGTAATAATAAATTCATTCAATGCCAAAATTTAATAAAAAGAGCGTTTTTTTTTGTTTGTTTTGTAATTTGTATCACACAGGGTTGGGTTGCACGTTAATATTTTGGTGCACTGGCCAACTTATTTTTTTTGGATAAAATCACTGTACATGGCTTCCGGTATTTTTTTATCCTTTCTTAAAGCTTCAATTAATTTATCCCTTGCCGAAATCTCTTTTCCTTGCCAAGAAAATAATTTCGGTAAAAATGTTGATATGAACCATGCTCTACGAAACACGGCTGCCGATAATAATGAGTGAGGTACTAATTCGTCTCGTCTTACAAACTGGTGAATAATGTCGGATACTTCGTCTTCAAGTGCAACAATGACGGATTGAATGGGTGTTTTCATCGACTGCGGATAATTTCTAAACGTTGAATCTACCTAAATGCCCCAATTAGCTATTATCCCATTAAGAAAAAACTTGAACACTATACAACTTACCCCTAATTCTAATAATCGTTTCTTAACAGTCGAAACGTAAATTGAAGCGTTGGCTATATTGGTACAGTAATGCAGTGCTTTCCCGTGGATTTGAAGTATGCTGGGTAGTTCGTATTGTGACAATCTTTCTAATTCATTGATGAACACCATACCCATCTTTTTATTTAAAATAGTAGTGCCTGAATGTATAAAGGTATCCTAAATCAAACATTTAGACAACATAAAAGCAAGTCGATATAAAACTTACTTGGAACCAGTTGGCATAATTATAACCTACTGAGACGTGCATATGCTCAAAAGCAAATTGGGCAAATGTTAAAATAACAGCTAGTCCTCCAGAATTCTCTTGCTCTAATGACTTCTTACATGCATGCGTAAGAGTTCTTATAATGTCTGGTATTCGAATATGATCCTCTCCTCTTACAGAAAGTTGTTTACAACCTGAATTGTATACATGAAGTAAAAGTGAAATATCAGGTGCATTTTCTTTCTAACATTGAAATCATTAATACAAATAATACTGCAGCTTAAATAACACTCACACTCTCAGTGCCTAAATTAAATAAATCCAGGGCAAATGATGATAATTCTAATTTTGAATTGTGCTCAAATTCAAAAAACCAGGTTGAAAGATATTGCAGTAAAGGGGATTTGGCAAAAAGAGTATCAGACTGCTTTGAAGTCATTTTGTTAGGTGTAAATAGAAATTCTTTGACACGTTTCACTTGCTTATAATAATGTTTGTTCACATCGTCGATATTCGAAGTATTGAGTTGTAGCAAACGGTTTATACATTGCTCTTTCTTTGTAACGTTCGAATAAACTTTTATAACACTTAATAATCGATTGATATTCTCTCTTTTCATTAGACCACTTAGGCACAAGTTAGTAGGTTAATTTCTTGTATTAATCCGTTGATAATTACCTCCAATCGACGAACTTCTTACCGTCTTCTACAAAAAGATATTCCAATGTCTTTTCGTCCAATGCTTGAATATAAGCTGTATAATAAATTTTACATTAATTTAATTTTAAAATTATTTATCCCTAGCACTTTCATACCTTGGCCAATGTGCTCTTCGAAAGAGAAAAGGTCACAAAGAGTTTCATTCAGATCGGGTACATAAGCCAATATAGAACGGATTGTTAAAGCAAAAGTATCTAGACGAACAGACACTGCGTAGTAAACTTGCAACAATCTCGTTAAATTTGACGCATGCTGTATTATATACTGAATGAAAGTCCTTGTCGAAAAAGCCAGTGTATTGCTGAGACGTTTTATGTCATGAGCGATTTCGCTTATTTTGTGTTCTTCCTAGAGACAATTGAGTTGAGAGAATTGCATTTAATTGAAAAACCTACAATGTCTAAAATGTGAAGCAATTTTATAAATCTCTTTGCAATGTCTAAAGTTGTTGTCGCCTTAACAGGCAAAGTATGTCGAGGATACCTTCTGACAGCCTTTTCGTTGTGGTTTGTCAATGCCCATTGTATCGGATCTTGATCAGGGGTTTCTAACAACTTTCTGCGTTTGAGTGGAATATTGGGCATGACAGAGTATAAAAATCGAGCGGTACAGTTTTGACACTTTACTTTCAGACATTGGCTTGTTCTGCCCAATCAGAGTGACTCCTGAGATTACATCATGTAATGTAAAAAAGACTTTGTCACCTTCCTCTCTGGACTCTTCCACATTTTACTAATGACACTTTCAGTGAAGGATATCTTACTGGTATCAACCCAAGGTCTTTGTGCAAATAATTTGTACGCTTGTCTGAATGGTCTAATTAGCTTTTTATTGCTGTTCGAAAATAATTATCATCAGTCCGAATTTAAAGTGTCAATACTTAAATGTATTTGTAGAAGATATCATTGGCCTTTTTTTAAAAAAAAGTGAATTCCCCATTTGTAACATTTTGACCTTTTTACAGCTTATAGCTTGTTTGATTATTTTTGACCTATGAATCAAACAGATCAATACTGGTGAACAGCAGTGTCAAACTTATCTTTGTTGTTTGATATTCAAGTATCAATCGACATTCCGAGAATCCTTCTCTGTTACTTCAAATAATGTCTCAATTCATTATAGGGATCTGGTTTCTTTTTGTAAGAAAACTATTGGTTAGTCGTCCGTGTTCCTTTTCCGTGGCATAATATGTGAGTCAGTCTGCAAGCTCCAGACATATTAAATTTTTTATCATTAATGCGGAATATAAAGAAATTACGCCTAAATTACTTATGTTATGGGGTCATAACCGATCATACAAATTATCTCTTTATTTCGTAAGCAAATATCTGAAAACTAGGTTTTTAAGATACTATTAACAGCACTGAAGTTAATTAAATCTGTCCTGAAGATTATAATCCTTGCATAGCTTCAACCAACCAACAGATTTAGGCCCTAGCGAAGATAGTTTCTTGTAACCCGCTTTAGATAATCGAAGTAAAAGCAAGTGAATAGCATATCCTTGTCCTGTGAATATATACCAAAATGCTCCTTTAAGTAAAACGTCATTGATTGATTTGTTTGGATGTCTGAAAAATGATGCAGCTTGAGGCGTGGTAATATGGGATATTCTCACGTTTATGAGTTCATCGAAATAATTGAAACCATCGATGAAAGTAATCTGAAAATCTGTATGACCAAACAAACCAAGTTGAGTATTTTTGGGATAGCCATCATAGGTATCACTATCAATAGCCTTAAGATAATACGACATAGCGGTGTCATAATTTACAGTAAAATCGCCTTCCCCATATTGATACGCCATACCGATACGAATATTCGCATCATTCCACCCATTTTCGGCTGCAACCTTAAGCCAACGGATACCTTCTTTAAAATTCGGACTAACTCCGTCGATATCACCTTTGATTAACATACAACCAATTAAATATTGCGCCAAACAGTTGTTATGATTATTAGCCACCTTCTTGTAAAGTTCTAAGCTTTTTTCTGGTTCTCTTTTCCCACTTGGAATAAAACCAGCCTGGTAAAAAGATGCCACCAAAAGTGATGCATATTCATTTTCATATCTGGATCCTTTTTCAAAACATTTAAACGCTTCCGTATAATCGTTCTGATTGACTTTATCGAGCCCTTCAAAAAAGGCCTCATCACCTGGTTGTGGAAAGTCTTAAAGAATATCAATAATTAGATTATAACCAGAGCCGCAGCTTTCATATGGTATTTACCAGGAATTTTGTAACTTATTTTCAACATGTCTTTTATTAAAAAAGAGCAAAAGGGCCACCGAAATAATTTTTATCTTTATACATTGAGTTGATTATTTAAGCAGGCGGCATTCAGGATTGGTTCATTTATCAAACAGGTAATAGAATAAGGTTGAGATCCCACAAATATTGTCAATACCCCGTAATGCTGTACCCCATACCATTACAGCTTATGGAAATTTGTCTTTGGATATTTGGTTAACCACAATAAGGAAAATAACTTAAGGACCGCAGATTCCGCACGTCATTCTTTTTGTCGATACAATTGGCCATGTTACTTATAGCCAGAGGGATGCATAGGATTAGTATGAAGGTTCACTCAAGTGACTTATACTCTTGGCCGTTATCATTAATTGCTTCTTTTGAAAGTATAAAGATATTAGTGTTATATATAATTCAAGAACCCCGTCTTCATATAAAATGACACTGGCAACATTCGCCATCCCTGATGATGCTTTTTTTATCACAAATACAATAATGTTGAAGTGCTTCAGATATTAAGAAATTCTATTTCCTTTTTATATATATCATACAAGGATGTTTGAGTGTAAAGTGTGAGTGAGTATAATGAAAAAGTTATTTTAACAAGAGGGATGGAATAATTTAGACAAATTTGATATCAACATTGGCTTCTCTAGCTAATGTGACAATCTTGGAGAATTTGACAGCCTTTTGAGCAGCAGTATCCAAATCCTCGATAGCAAAGATACGGAGATCAGATTCAGCAATCAACTTCTTGGCCTCTTCAACCTTGGTACCACGAAGACGGACGATCAAAGGAATCTTGAGGTCCAAATCCTTAGCAGCAGCAATAATACCTTCTGCGATAACATCACAACGCATAATACCACCGAAAATATTTACAAAGGCTGATGAAACATTAGGGTCGGATGTGATAATCTCGAAAGCAGCTTTAACAGCTTCGGGAGTAGCAGCACCACCAACATCCAAGAAATTGGCGGGCTTACCACCGTGGAGTTGAATAATATCCATAGTGGCCATAGCAAGACCAGCACCATTTACTAATAATAATGAAAATGGTCATCAATACACCAGTACTAAATAACAGTAAAATAGGAAAATAACTTACCTAAACAACCAATGTTACCATCTAAACCAATATAATTCAAGTTGTACTTGGCAGCAGCAATTTCACGAGGATCTTCTTGAGTGAAATCACGGAAATCGAAAACTTCCTTTTGCTTGTAACTGGCGTTGTCATCGAAGTTCAACTTGGCATCCATACAGAGGACTAATTGTATCATTAATACCACTTTTTACAATTTACATATCATCCATCATTTGCTTACCTTGGTTATCACTGGATTCAGACAAAGGATTGATTTCAACTTGAGTGGCATCTCTTTCATTGAAGAGCTTGAAGAGACCGAGGAAAGTATCGGCAGCTTGTTCTTGACCCTTGGGAGTGAATCCCATTTCCTTGGCAAGGTTCAAAGCAATTTCTTTGGTGAAACCAACCTTGACGTCAATAGGCAAAGTAATAATAGCCTCAGGAGTTTGTGCGGCAACGGTTTCAATGTCAACACCACCCTGGCTAGAGGCAACAATAACGGGACCAGCAGACTTACGGTCCAATAAGATAGCGAAGTAGTATTCGTTACGAGCATATTTACGTTCACAAATGTAAACTGCGTTACAAGGCTTACCCTCGGCACCAGTTTGCTTGGTAACTAAGTTGTGACCAAGCATCTTTTCAGCGAGTTCTCTAGCTTGTTCGGGTCTGTAAAAGAAAATTTTTTTATAAGTTTTTTTCCCCGCGCGTATAAGAGAAATCACTTACGTGTTGAAAGTCTTAACACCGCCCTTGTATCCGTTATCAAAAGTACCCTTACCACGACCACCAGCGAGAACTTGGGCCTTGATGACAAGGTCATCGGAACCTATACGATGGAATATATTAGATATGTTTTTGCTTTGGATAACGACTGTATATTTACCAAGGCTCTTTGCGATCTCGTAAGCTTCTTGAGGAGTGTTGGCAACCTCACCCTTGGGGGCGTTGATACCATAATCTCTTAAAAGCTTGACAGAGAGGTATTCATGGATGTTAAGGAAACGCTTTTGTTGTTGTTGGAGAGGCTTACGGGCAACCTAAAACCATACTGTTAGTATTTCTCGTTATTCAACCAACGGGATCCTTAATTTACCAAAGAGGCACGTTGTGCGATAGAAGTAGCAGCACGCAAAGAATTGAACATTTTTAAAAAAAACCAAAGAAAAAGAAAAGGAAAGATAATGATTTATTTAGTTTTAAAAAGGAGGAAAAAAAAAAAAGGGACCCAATTGTTACTCTGTTCGGGGTTTGTTTCAAGCTATAACAGTACAAAAAAGCGGGTAAGTACGGAATAAAAATAATTAAAAAAAAACTTAGTCACCCGAAGTATCAAAGAGTCCGCAAGTCCTTGTTGATGTTCTGTTTAAACATCAATACGCTAAACAGGCCTGTACTATTCCAATGAATTTGAAAACAAAATAAAAAAACTAACGCATCGTGTATTGACACCCCCTGCTCAACCCGTGATTGCATATCAGTCAATCATCACTCTGATGTTGATTTTAAAGATGACATCGACCTCTTTACGCGCGTTGCTATGGTAATTAGAAACTCATCCACGCTTTCCACTTAAAAGACCGGCAACAAGGCCGTTCCTTATTTTTTGCCCCCAAAGGAAAATCCGTATTTCACCCGAAATCTAAAAACCGAGCCAATATTTAGCAATAGGAGAAGTAATTTAATCAAAGGCCTCAATTTGTAACTTCTGAAATTCCGATTTTTTGATTTGACAAAATGATTGATTTAAGCGGGTAAATCTAGTGTAATAAAGGGTGAATAATATTGAATTACCAATCAAAATATCAAAAAAATAAAGAAAAAAAATATAAGCCAAAAAATAGATTATTTTTAAGGAATAAAAGAAAGGTTTGCCTCTAGTTGTTACCTCTTTCCCCACACTTTTTTTTAACACTTTTTTCTCACAAAGACCTGGGAAAAAATAACGAAAATCTTTTTTTTTTCTTTCTAGGGAACACAAGCCCGTACGTTTAAAAGCCCGTTAAAAGCACATGAAAAAATTCCCACCATCGTGCGTTCCTGAATTTTAGAATGCTTATTTTTTAAATCAATCTTTGCCACAATCCCGTTAATAACAATTCCTTTTTTATTTATTAAGTCTTTTAGTATTCTGATAAAAAAGCACGCGCTTTACATTAAGTGTGTATAATGTCAAAGATCAGATCACAGCATCTACCGGCGTATTTGTCTGAAGTGACAAACTAGCAACACCATATATATAAAGCTAATACTCATAAGTTTAACCCTCTAATTAAGTTAAACATAGCTAAAAGATTTTAGATATGTATTCTTCAAAGTTGGTGCTATTTTACATTATTATCATTTTTATTGTTGTAGATTGATTCAGTATGTGTAACATTTATTTATCATGTAGTAGTTTAAGAGGATTAATAATATAAAGATAAGAATTTGGCGATTACAAGTATTAGTTATGCCCATATACCAATTACAGACATCAAAGCAGCACCAAGATACATACATAAGAAGCAGAAGACTTTGCGTGGGAGAGAGGATTTACGAAAACCAATGTTGTGATTAATTTCGATGCTCATAAGTGAGATGTAAGCACTGTATAATAAAATACCGGCAGAGAGAGAGTCTAAAATAGCTTGGGCTAAAATAGAAGAAGGGGGGTTCATTGTAGATTTGATGCCAATTCCAATGCCAATACCGATAGGAGTCATACAGACAAAGATGATACCCATAATAATAGGCTTTTTCCAACTCTTATATTGAAGATCGTTAACACGAGTACCGAGAGCAATACCCTCGAAAAACTGATGGAAACACAAAGCAATAAGTAGTGTTTGGAATGAAGTACTGTCAGCAGTTCCAAGTGTAAGACCGATAATAATAGAATGCATTATGATACCAAGCTCCAGAATAAATGTACTGACACTGCGAAGAGATTGGTCATTCTCCAAGAAGCCGGCAGAGTGAACGTGGCCATCTTGACTTATCCCGTTGTGATCATGTTCGTGGTGGGAATGTGTATTAACTTTTTCTGAGATTTCTTTTTGGTAAGTAGATGATTTTTCAACATCGATGTGACCAGTAGCAGCTATATTTCTTCTTGCGATTGCATCTAAATTACTAATAGCAGCCAACTCAATAATTTGAAGAGAAAACGAAGCCAGCATACAAAACAGACCGCCAAATGCATGATATGAGTGCCAACCTTCACCAAGACAATCAGACCCAAATCGTTCGATGGCCTCTGGGAGCATATGAATAAAAGCAGTAGCAATAATAACACCAGTGCCAAAAAATTTACCAGCAGTTAGGACCCAATCACGAATAGAACCATCTTTAAAAGAACTGATGCGGTAAAGAACAATAGGAGAAAAGATACCTAAGTAATACTGTAAGCAATCAAGAAAAACATTATAGCATACTTTAAATTACCAACAGCTGAAGTAGCCAAAATGATAAATATGGAACCAATTCTGAAAGGCATATTATAGTCAGATATATCTTCTACTTCACAAGACTGAGACCCATGAGAGTGGCCATGAGAGCTACCGCTACTGACACCATTCTCTGTATGTTCATGACTATGTGTTTCATCATCATGAGAGTGTACTGTTCCATCTTTTGTTTTTAAATAAAAATGAGGTTAATTCATAATGTGAGGAATATCAGGTGCTGCCTATTCGACAATTTACCTTCATGGATGTGCATGTCAGAGTGGCTAATATCGGTAGTGCTGTCTGAATGATAGAGTACATTTGTGAGTATAAATCTAGTATGATCAGTTCTGTTGCCTTACCCTCCTGAGCCCAAACAGCTGAAAATAGAAATGCACCGATCAACAGTAAGAAGAGGCCCCGAGTTACGAAAAACTTTGTCATTATGATATTTTATCGTAAATGAGAATGAGCTTTTATTGATTCAAATATTGATGTATATTTATACTTTTGATATTTTGAGAGAGTACATTATGAGGACATACCTTCAAGGCTACATTTGAGCCAATCAAATTGATAAATTTCTCTAAAAGGGTCACTTAACTTACAAAGTACTTCTTGACATTCGATCTGTGAAAAAAAAAATCAGATTTCTGCAACTACTGATCTATAAAAGGATTTTCTTGCAGTAAAACTCGGTAAAAATGGAAGATCTTTGGTTTCTATGTGAGCGAAATTTAAAAAGTTAAAAATTTAGTAGAAATTTTTGGGCTCATCAATTAGTAAACCCGAAGACTTAATTGTTATATAATATTATGGCATTCATGGGAAGGGACGTATATACGGGAAGCGTTATTTGCTTGTCAACCCGAATTTAATTCAGAAATAATATATTTACGGCTTTTCCCTCCTATTTGGACATCTAACATCGTCTAATAGTCTGAAAGGTGCTGTAATGCCACCGATCAAAAAAAAAAAAAAAAAAAAAACTCAGTAAACAATCAAAAGTGGTATCATATATCATCAAGTGGTGTGTCTCATTTTTAATGCGTACATGAAGATATGTAACTTCGCTTTCAAAAGACTCTTCTCCGATTATTTTATTAACAGTATCTTCATCAAAGCTGTAAAATTTTCTAAAACCAGCAAAGCATTAGGACTTTTGACAAATGTTACGGATCACCATATTTTATTTTTATTTTCGTATTTCCAATATATTTCTTGTCGCTATTTTTTCATTCTGTATGATGTTTTACGAAATCAATAATTGATTATCCCCTTTCTGCGATCAACTTATCTTAAAACAGACATTTTTCATAGTTATGTTCAAACCGTATCGGATACGCATCCTTACAAAAATAGTGCAGAACACCGCAAAAAGAAGTGGCTGCTTACTGTCACACAAGAGTTCAAATCAATGTAAAAAAAAAATTTTTTACAACGGACTTTTTTTTAATAATTAAAAAAAAGTTTTCATTTTTCTTTTCTTCTCCTTTTATCCTTTAAAAAATAAATATATCTAAAATGGAGCGTACTTATATCATGGTTAAGCCCGATGGCGTTGAGCGCGGTATTGTTGGTGAAATCATCAAGCGTTTCGAACAACGTGGTTTCCAACTCACTGCTCTTGAGTTGATCCACCCTTCCAAGGAACTCCTCGAGGAACACGTAAGTTTTTCTTCAAGAAACGATAATTTATATTGTCCTAATTATATTATATTTAGTACTGTGACTTGAAGACCAAGGGTTTCTTCCCTTCTTTGATTGAATACATGTCTTCCGGCCCCGTTGTCGGTATGGTTTGGACTGGTAAGGATGCCGTCAAGACTGGCCGTAAGATGTTGGGTGAGACCAACCCTTTGAACAGTGCCCCCGGTACTATCCGTGGTGACTTCTGTATTGAGGTCGGACGTAACATCTGTCACGGTTCTGATGCTGTTGAGTCTGCCGAACGTGAGATCGCTTTGTGGTTCCCCCGTGGTGTCAAGACTGTTGCTCGTACCCACTCTATCCACTCTTTGTTCTACGAGAACTAAGTTTTGACCATTTAATTGTCTAATAAATTTCCTCAATATATCTTGTGTATATAAACTACAAAACAGAATATAATATAGCATTTGATTTGCAACCTGTTCATTTCAACTAAATGTTGGCAGGGGTACTGTAATAGAAGAAGTTTGTTTTTGGAAAAAATAATGACGACCATACTGACATGGGCTGATCAATGCCAAAATTTAATACATAGTTGGACTGCTAAATGTTGAAGGTAATGGCAGCAAGCTTCGAATGCTTGTCGGAGTATACGATAAAGCATGATATATACTATTTTTTTAAATTATTCGTGCAGAGCAAGGAGGAAATTCGTTCAAGTTCACAAAAAAAATTCGATCAAGAATAAAAGAAAAATTAGTTTGATAATAATTGAACGAAATGAACGAAAATAAAATATTTTATAATCCAAACAGTCATTATATGCATTTAAGATGTTGTATCTGGATTCAAATTACCTTTTGACTTAATAAACTAAACTAATAAACGCTCCTCTTCACTATAATAACAAAACCCAAAATTCAAAAGGGTAGTTGTCATTCTTCAAAATTAGGGTGTAAAAGGCTCGTTTTATTAATTTTATCTTTTTATCTAATTTATATTATATTTGAGTAAGACACAGTGTATCTGTTACCATCCTACGAACACATGTGCAGAAAAAGTTATAGAGTATCGCAATTATATTAGCCGCTATTTACCAAGATATCTGAATATCACAAACTATCAACGGTTCAGACTAAAGTATGCTCAGCAGTCTTCTCTAATCGAAGGGAAAAAAATATATCAGTCGTATATCAATAACATCAGCACGAGATTTGGTCAACATCTTAGACAATCAATCAATGTTTTACTGAACGTCAAGCAAAGAAAGGCGGAAATGAAGCAAGCTCTTCTAGAACAAGGCGTCGACCCCAAAATCATCGAAGATCTTATTTTCCAACATGTAACTCAGACCACAAAAAATTTCAAAATGGCCATCAGCACACGTCCCACAAACATGACTTTACTGCCACAAAATTCACAGGTAGAAATAAATGCATACAACGCGTTAAGGCCTGTTTTGGATTCGTATGGTACATCGTATTCTTTTAAAAAACGCAGCATCTATTATGATGCAAAAGCGCAACCTGAAAATCACTTTATGGCATTTGTTCAACTAGCTCGTCTCTTCGAAACATTAGGTTTATCTCCTTTTCGTTGCTTTCCTCTCCGTCGTTCATGGTCTCCTGGTTATGTACAAATTGATAGTAAGATTCTTTGTCAAAACATTCTAGATATCAGATGGTCCAATAATATTGATAAGCTGGATTACTGGAAGCAAGTGGTTGATCTAAATGCAAAACCTTTCAAAGCTCAAGAAGAGAACAAGCTCCTTCGGTTTTGCGGAACCATTCAGACAGACGGTGTTGGTGTAACAGTTCTCAAGAAAAGAATAGACAGGCAGTCATCTTATACCTCAACCATAAAAGAGGCAGATGAGAAGTTCAAGTATATTAGCGACTTAAGTGCTCAAGAACATAAAGCTGTGCATGGTCGGTGTGTTGCTATTGATCCCGGAAGAAGAGACCTTTTGTTTTGTGTCGATGAAAAATCTACTGTAGAAACTCCTATTAAGTTTCGATATACTAAGCAGGACCAGGACAAAACCAGAAAATCCAAAAAGTATCGTAATATTCTACAAGCAATGAAGTCGAACAATCCAGCTGTTTATCAAGCCGAGGATTTTCTTGCAGAATACCAAAGCAGCTCACTGGAAATGGAGGGTTACCGTCGTTTTCTCGAACGTCTAGGCCAAAATTACGCTGTCCTCGACAATTTCTATGGGTGTACAACAACGTCTTCTCAAAACCCACAATTCATGCTCCGGAAGTTGCGTTTAGCTGCGTATTTTAACAAACAACGTGCTAACATGCAACTTATAAATTCTTTAGAGAAAAATTTCGGTAAGGATGCGGTCTTTGTCTTGGGAAGCTGGTCTGCCCCAAACGCACGTTATCATGAACCAATTCGAGGCATCGGATTGAGACGACTTCTTTTACGAAATCATCTTAGTCTACTACTCATCGACGAATTCAACACGAGCCGATGCTGTCCGTCTTGTCATAATTTGAGTCTAAAGAAATTTAAACAAATCGACAATCCTAGGCCCTACCAACGAAGCAACTATCCTTTAACCCTTTGCCATGGTCTTTTAAGGTAAATATATCTCCTTGAAACGTTTATATTTTTTTTAAAACTTTTAGATGTAGATGCACCAATCAAACTTGTATGACCAAGATGCAGACCCAAGGATTCCAGTATAAGCTTTGGAACAGAGATTTAGCCGCCTGTTTGAACATGATTTCAATAATTCTAAATTTAAGAAACACTGGTCAAATCCCAGAACGATTTGCACGTCATGTCCACTCAAAAACGTCCTCGAATGGGTGAATAATTATCCATGTCAGTTACCCGTAATACACTTTTTGGTAAGGCTTTTTATTATTGCTTGCTAGATAACTAACTGTACTTGTTCTTATATTTTATTTCTGTTTATATTTCTCTACCTCTCGACCCTTTCCATGTAAGTACATTGCATTGTTTAAATTTCTAAAGAAAGCTCTAACTTTTTTATACCCATTTTTATTTCCATCCTTGAATGATTATATTTTATTTTATTTTTGAACGATTTTTTATTTCATTTTTGAACGATTTTTTCGCAACAGTGAACGAATAATTTCTGAATAAAATGTATACTTGTTCTATAAATCAATCCAAAAGGTGGTAACGGAATAATACAACCTATGGATTCAAATTAAACTTATTGGTCCTCGCTCTTATGCAGGTGGTAAATAAAGCATTTAAGTAAAATAGTTTATGTATTTTGGGAAAAGGGGAAAGAGAGAAGTTAAATAGACTAGAATGATACCGTAATGGGGGTGTTGTGAATGATCAAGAATGGCTTTTGACTTCTTCAAAAACCAAACAAATGGAATAGTTAAACTGAGTTTTAAAGAGTTAAATTTTTTTGCTGTTTAACATAATTCATTTTTTAGACTTTAACTTCTTGCTACTACTTCCAGATGCAGTGGCTGTATTTTTTCTCTTCTTTGTGCTTTCTTTGATATACTTGATGTTTTGGATGTCCAATTCAGGATCGTCAGCTTTGTCTAGCTCCTCCTCCTCTACATAAGCGGAATCATCCTCTGCAACCACTGTGCTCTCAATATCTTCTTTAGGTCCCGAAGCTACCTTTTTAATTGGATTTCCACTCAATTGGAATAAAATAGGGTGGTTTTTAGAATTGTACCTAGTAAAATATTTAATATATGCTTTTCATAATACGGCTTGAGACCGACTTACTGTCTGGTAAATGCTGTTTTGACCTTGGTTGGCAGCGATGCGAAAGGTGCCTTTTCTTTTGGTGCTAAGAATGTCAACTCGCTAAGTATATCCAAATTTTCGCGATCAAGGTAATAGTGGTCCATATAATCCATGGTTTCGTCAAGATTTTCCTGTAAAAATTTATAAGCACGTAAATTGGTATCTATTAAAATCAATTCATTTTACCTTTAAAAGTTCTCCAAAAATACGTGAATTTAATGTGGGGATGTAGTTTTGTCGAATCTCATATTTATCTCCAGATGCTCTTAATCTCATACGTGTTTGAATATCAGCTAAGGCTCTAGCATACTTTCCTGCCTTCGAGTTTTGGCCAAGCCATCTAATCATATGTACTTAGTAACAATTATGGGAATATGCAGAAAAATATGATAGCTTACGAAGGGAACATAATACGTGAAGTGATTGCACCGCGCATGAAAGATGCGGGTCGCACGCAGGAGAACATCGAATGGACAGGCATAAGAGAGTATTGTTGAACGGAACTATACCCAAAAAAAGTCAGCATCCTCAAATGAAAACTGTTGTTGACCCTTACCCGTGAATCAAACTATCAACTACGTCACCATCAGCCATGGCATCTGCTGCTTTTGCAATCAAATCCATTTCGTTGCATGCTTCTTCAATAGGATTCCCTGATCTTGCACGAGCTCTTTCTGGTTTACACTTCAGATAGTTTTCCTATTTTGTATAATTAGATATGGTATTATAACGTTGCTTCTTATACCGCTTTACAAAGATAATTAAGTGAGCAAGGCTGTAATCATGAAAATAGATGTTGGCTTTCTCGTTTAAAGTTTTGGATCTCCAAGCGTCTGCACTCAGAAGTTCACCTGGAATTTCAAACAAACCAAGAACAGAAGATTTTTGATTTGTTTTTCCACTGTAAATGAGTTTGTTTTTAGCTGATTTTATCAATGATTCATATATATTAGCATGCTTACACTTTTTTAGCTTGATCAAAGTCCATAGCATCTTGGTTTAATCGATATGTAGAAAGAATATTGATAATCTGGCGAATATCATTATGAGTTGCTTGAACTAATTCGTCTACAGCGTTAGGTGTGATTTTGAGTTTTTCTCTAATTCATGGACAAAAAGTTAGTTCGCTTTACTATAAACTTATTCTATAATTACCTATAGGCGATTGAAAGAATTCTTGAACGAATTTGTGCAGCGGGGGTTCTTCTGTATTTTGCCTCATAACAAACTTTCAAAAGGGGAGCAACTTTGGGTGATCTTGAATCATTACAGATGCAAATGACGGGAATTTTACTCTTTCTGATCAATGATGCCAATTCAGCAGCACCGCCACGATCACCACCAGACATACCATCTACCTCATCCATAATCAAGACGACTTTTTTACCTTGCAATATCTTGGGTTGAATTGCCTTCGCACTTTCAGTTTTTGGTTGGAAATATTCGGTCATCGTACGGTTATCGATCATTTCAGAAATGCTCGCTTCTAATACTTTCTTGCTGCGTACATCACTTGCATTAAATTCCAGAGGTTCGTATCCGTTGTTTCTGGCAACAACACCGGCGGTGGTTGTTTTACCAATACCAGGTGGACCGCTTAAAAGAATAGAGCGCCAGTTAGTCATGTCGTCCCCTTCGCCTTCAAATCCTTTGGAGTAATTTGTTTGCCAATTGGCAAGCCATTCGTCAATTTTCTTTACAGTTTCTTTGTTTCCCAAAATTTCTTTGACACTTGTAGGTTTATATTTCTCGGTCCATGTTTGAGTAGCCGGGCCATCTTTTAAACTGTAACAAAATCCGTAAGATTTTTATCTTCATTTTTCCCTTACATTGAACACTTACGGGATATTGTTGACAGTATCACTTTCCTTTCCTTTAGCAGGTTTGGGTGGTGGTGCATATTCTACCTTTTGAGGTGCAGATGATTCCACAAGATTGTAAAACGCGTCCTCGTCAAGAATACCAGTACCCAAAGATTTAGCCTTTGCTGTCTTGGACTCGCCAGCGTCTCTTCCTAATAGCAAATAATTCGTCTTTCCACTAACTGCTGATGTTACTTTGCCACCATATCGCATGACGATCGTTTTGGTCTGGTCCCTGGTCAAAGTTTCGTACTGTCCAGAAATGACGAAAATTTTATCGGCCAGACAGTTACTAGCTCCAACAGGTTCAGGTCGACTACCTAGAGCTTTCGGTCCCTCTTTGTTTTTCATCATGGCAAAATAATTGTTCTTCTTTTTTGGTGTTTCCTCCTGTTCGTCTTTTGTTTCTTTTTTAATGGCTGTTGTGGATTTTTTATCAGTAGCCGCGACATACGAATCTGCTCTTTTTAATTTTTTATTGGCAGGTATCGTTTCTTCTTCGTATTCATCCTCGTCGTCATTGTAATCTTCATCGTCACTTATTACAATTGGTTTTCTTTTTCTGGGTGCCAACTCCTTCTCCTCCGTCACTCTTTTTATGGGCGCCTTGCTTTTTTTGGCGGCAGCTGTCTCTTTTTTGGCGGCAACTGTCTCTTTTTTGGCAGCAACTGTTTCTTTTTTAGTGGGAGCCTTCTCTTTTTTATCGATTATTTTATCCTTCTTAGCAGGAACTGTCTCCTTCTTAACAGCAGCCTCTGGTTGGGTTTCTGCAGACTTCTTGGAGCCAAAAAATGATTTGGGGTCAACCCTACATGCTTTCGGTTAATAGAAGCGCCAACATAAAAGTATAAGCTTACTTTTTTTCAGAACTGCCAAAAAATTTCGACTTTGTCACTGGTTCTTGGCTACGTTAAAAAAGTTGTTAAGTTCGTGTTGGTAACTGAGACTTTTTTATTTATTTTATTTTACAAATCTTCTTCTTCCTTAGCTACATTAAATGATTAAGATAAATATTTAAAGGGATTACGTCTAGTTTAATTACCTGTAGCTTTTGCTTTACGGGTTGTAGTTTTCTTTTCTGGTTCAGCCTATTAAAACATAAGTATAACGCTTAAGTTGTATGTTTTTTGGAAATACCTTTTTAATGGGTTTACTACTGCCTCCACCCTTTGTTTGAAAATACTTCTCGATACCCATGTTAGATTAGTACAGAAAAACACGATAAAAAAAGTGAAAGACAGAAGCAATATTTCCCTTTCGCGTTAAAAAAAATAATTATTTGGACTGCTTTGTAAGTTCTGTCTGAGCGTTCTAACCAATTAGATCATGATAACGTGATAAACACGTGATATATTACGTAATATAGATTATTATTTTTACAGAATATTATATTTTTTACATTCCAAAATACATATAAGCGGGTATAGCTCAGCTGGGAGAGCGTCAGACTGAAGATCTGAAGGTCAGGTGTTCGATCCACTTTAGCCGCATTCTTTTTATTTTTATTCAAAATGAATACGGGTAATTGTTTAAGCTTGCTAGATGTGCTTATGTAAAGTTAAGTATAGGTAATGAAAGATGATCTTTATTGAATTATAGTTTTGTGAAATGGTTATATCTAAATTGAAGTTGTGCAGAGCTTGGTGTAAAATTATATCTGATAGTTTCAACAAAAAAAAAAATGTATCATAAACGATCTTTTTTTTTAATATGTATATTACTTCTTGATTTCATAATAATTTAGTGTATGTTTCATCAGCAACAAAGTTGACAATACCCCCTATCTTTGAAGGTTTAGCATGTTATTTTTTTACCGAGAAAAAAAAAGATAATCGATGTAAAGCTTTATAAAGTTGTAAAAACAATTTGCTTAAGAATGTTCTTATGCAAATACTTTTATAACGACTCTTATTATAAGGTAGCAGCTTTAAACAATGTAATGTGAACAAAATAACATGACACAAGATAAGTGAATAACTATCAAATTCAACTAGGTGTATCATTTAGTAAATGTATGATTAAGAAGTTTTTCTGCACTGCAGCTAAAAATCAGTACTTGCTTGTTATTTATCAATGAATTAACTAACTTAGTAGCTTAACCTTTCAAAAAATTGGTACTGGACCCAAAAAAAAAAAAAAAAAAAAAAAAAAAAACAGGGAACGGCGAGACACGATCGTGTTTGTCTATGTTGAAATATTCTTGTACAGATTAATAAACTTGATTAATACGCAAAAAATCGATTACTCAGGTGTACGACAATAATCCAATCAGCATGCATACTTCTAAGTAATCTCGAGTTAAATAACATGATCAAAAAATAAAAAATAAAAAAGCCCCAATTCGATAATAATAAAGGGGATCGTATTGAAAAAACCAATATACATTAGACTATTATAATTACGGCGTCCCGTAAAAAGTTTTATATATACATTATCGATAGTAAATACATATGCAATTTCGATGATCTACTGTCAAATGACTGCGTGAAACCAAGAGTTATTATTAATTTAAGGGATCTCGAATGCCTACAGAGTGAGCAGAATAACAATTACCTTTTCCGAATGCGTATAAAACACCTTACAAAAAAAGTAGCACTGGCCAAATAATAAAGCTTTATCAAAAAAACCACGAATGGTAGTCAGTTTGCTATGAAATCAAGAACCATAAATCCCGAGGCTATTGTAAATTAATAATCGGCACCATCAGAAACAGTATACATAGAAAAAAACTATTAAAAGCACTCAACAGTCAGAGAATTATTAGTTGATAAGCATAACACGCTTGTTAGTAAAAAACAAAGAAACTTCTGCATAATCGCATTTGAATTATTAGAATATCTCTTTGTCAATTGGCAATTGTTTTGAAAATTTACCAGAAAAAAAAAGTTCAAACAATCCTTGAAACCTATCAAGTTTTCGTTTTGACATATAAATGCGGTTCCTGAATTCAGTATAAATATGTACGCTCATTAATAATGTAAGGGTCCTAATACACTTTAAATTATTTTTTTAAAAAAAAACCCTAAATCGTTAAGTTGTGCTTTCAAAATATTGTGTATTTTAGAGTTTAAAGATGCTTTATTGAAATTTTGTAATCAGGATAATTTCAAGGAGGTATGATAGAAGGCTGATACATATATTATCGGCTAGAATATCCCAGTTTTTCCTAGCGGTATTGACTAAAATAAGATTGCATCCTTTAAATTCTTCACGGCAATTCATTACGTTTAAAAGCTAAGGATAAAGTTGGGATAACACTCAAAATAGTGCACGTTTTCTCGAGAATGATCAAATTCCACATTGTTTCTTGATTTATGGACAAGGTTTTTAAAAAAAGATAGAACCCATTTTCACAAAGTGGCATTCCAAAACAATTTTCATTATGGTTTGAAGTCAGGGTCAAACTTAAATAGGAAAATAAAGGAGTTGACTATTAATATTAATATCTGTTTAAATAGACCCAGAGATATAACGAGACTTCATTATATTTTTTTAAAAATTATTTTCCTCTTTTCTTTCCCTTATCGCTTTCAAATTCTTATTTGCATATATTAATGAAACCCAATAGTAATCGTATCTACTATCTGCTGGGATGCATAGTTTTTATACTCATACTAGGATTATCAACAATGTCCAGAAAATCAAGTATCGGATCAACATATAAAAACTTATATCAAACAGCAACAATAAATGATGGATTATTTACTGTTTCTGTATGTTTGTAATTCATACCCAACGAAGTAATAATTAATAACTTTAATTGCATCTGTAGAATCAATGCTCAGAAATCGGATTACAACATGATCAATGTGAATTTGTAAAATCTAATTGTCATGGATTTAATGCGTTATATCTCGAACTTTATTATTGCTCTAATTTATGGAAACCAATCTCAATCGCCATTCTTGTAAATATAAATTTTCCCCTTTTATCTTATTTATATGTACATACACGTACCTTCAAAACTACTCCTATCATACCCCAACCCTTATAGAATCTCCCCTTCTAACTGCACCCAAATTTGTAAAATTATTGATGTGAGATTGCTAACATTCTTTTGTCTGCTCTATTTATAGTTGTCATGTTTGTTAATGCTGTTTGGCGCTATAAGCGTTGTGGCATCTGATTTTTTTTGTAAGTAGTGATATATTACTCAATTATAGAGTATTAAAAAATGGAACAGGCCCAAATTTGCAAACGATTTCAGCAAAGCTACAACTATCTGAAAGCATGGTAAAAATATAAATATGATATTTACAAATCCTGGACTTAATAAATATATTAATATAGGCAGGTGTAACCGTTCTAGCATTAGGTAATGGCAGTCCCGATTTATTTAGTACATTTAGGTAGTACATAAACATAGCCATAACTATTATGCAAATATTAAATCATTTTGTTAACTTAGTGCTATGGACACTGGGGCAGGCTCATTAGCTATAGGGGAGCTTATAGGTGCTGCATTTTTTATTGTTGCTGTTGTGGCGGGATGCATGGGAATTATAAAACCATTTCAATCACAAAGAGTTACTTTTATGCGAGATGCATCTTTTTTGACTGGTGCAATTATGATCATCACATGGATTGTTTATCACCAGGGTATATACTGGTATCACAGCGTGTTATTAATAGCATACTATCTATGTTATGTATCCGTTGTTGTATTCGGCGCATACAGTAAGAACATTGGTAATGACATCAACGATTATAGCCAAAAACCCGAGCAGATATCACCCAAAAGCGATATCGATGAGACCACACACTTATTATATCAAGGAGGTTGGTACATTAATCTATATAACTATTTTATATTAACTGCATATTATTACATGAAGGAAACCAGCCGCTCAAACTAACCATACCATCGAGAGGATTTTCTGTCCAATCAAACTTGTCAGATTATAGTCGAAATAATCATTTGGGACATATAATTAACCCAATGTCACCCAATTCATCTCGTCCATCTTTCCATTTTGACGCTATATCTAGATCTACAAGTGTCAACGGTTCTATATCTTCTAAAACATATCGACGTCCAATGACTCCAAGAATTGGTATTAGAACATCGGTTTTCGGTGCAATTGAAGTAAGGGCTAATTTTCTTTTGCATAAAGTCTCATATGTTATACATCATTACGAGGCTTTTAAACTCAACCAAAAATGTCATTCTGATTTTTATTATTAGTTCCAAGAACAAGTCAATAGTATTCGTAGAGCGAATAGTTCACTTTCGATGTTACCGAATAATTCCAGATATCGGCAAAATTCAATGCCTCATCCTATGTGGCAAAATACACAGGGACAGCATCTACATAATCAACAGCCATTCCACCAACCAAGCAGCTATGATAACAGTATAGGAGTAGGAAGACAACGAGCGTCCACAATGACTGATCAGTTATTGACTTTGTCTCAGCCTTCATCTTCTATTATTATATCTCCAGCAGCATTATCTGATACTCAAGATTACTTTACATACCTTTCAGCACAAAATCAAACCCACTCGATAAATATTCAAACTTCGTCACCACCACCACCATTATTAGCACCTGAAATCCGAATTCCTGAGATTAGATTAGCGCCACCAAATAATGATAATATCATCCCATCACCTGAATACATGGATCGCCAAGGAACTTATTTTTGGTATTCACCAACAAGCCCTGCTATAGGCAGATCAAGGGGCCGCAGTACCTCTGCACACAGTTTAGCGCCTCCAAGCATCTTATCCGAAGCTGATGATTCATCGTTTTTTTCTGCTAGACAAAGCTTTGAGATCAGTCCATCCAACTCCTTTGATCATCAAAATCAATTGATGTCTGCAATTATGGGTATTCCTAAACTTCAAGATAATGTTACTGTATCAAATGATACTCAGCTTAATATACCCATTAATGAGGGAGTTATATCATCATTACTATATCCCAATGTTTCATCTCGTCATTATCGTGAAAATTCCGACTACTCCTATAATTCTAAGCATTACATCGGTGCATCTTCACCCTATACTTCGGTATACATTATAGACTCAATAGCTCAAGTCCTGCTACCAACACTCCAAGGCTGGAGTCAGAAATCATTTTTTTCCAAAATAAGTGCACTTGCAGCAGCACCAATTGTCATGATTTTTACACTAACTTTGCCTGTAGCTGAAGTTGACCAGGTGAAGGTCGATGACATTGAGGTGATAGAAGATTGCAGCGATATAGATACCACAGTGATTCGCAACAATGTGACAATAGAACAACAAAATTATTTGTCTGTCCCCACAGGAGTTTCAGATAGTGAGCTATTACTAGCAGAAGGAAAGGTGCTAATTGACGACGTTGATACAAAGCAAGGTTGGAATAAGCATCTCTTGATGATCCAGTCTGTGATTGGTTCTGCATTTATATTCGGCGTACTCGCAGGTAGTTCACATGAAAAATACACCCACATTTCACGAATTCTAACTTTATTTAATAGCGAATGATGTGATACCAATGACCGTAGTTGTAATAGGAGTATTGTTGGGAATTGCTTTAGCAATTTTTGTCCTTAAAACTACTAAGACAGATGAACCACCTACATGGTATTGGACAATGTCGTTTGTCGGATTCTTTGTAGCATTAAACTGGATATTTTTGTTAGCAAATGAAGTAGTTGGATTACTTCAGGTAATACTTACTAGAATTTGTTTCTATTTTTGTGTTGATCATTATATTTTTTTTTCAGGCACTTGGCGAGATCTTCTCTATTAGTGATGCCATCATGGGCCTAACAGTGTTTGCATTGGTAAACAGTAGAATTGATATAAAGCAATATTTATTAACTTTATTTTTTTAGGGTAATAGCGTAGGCGACTTTGTAGCCAACACTGCTATTGCAAAGGTAAGGTATATGTGTCACATATGTAGAAAGATGGCTAACGTAATAAATGATAGATGGGATTTCCAACTATGGCTATATCTGCATGTTATGCAGGACCTTTACTAAGTATGATATGAATTAAATATGAATATGAGGGAATGATATTAAGCTCTTATTGTAGATATGGTTCTTGGAGTAGGAGTGTCATCCCTTTACCAATTCTGGAAAACAGGTAACGCTTACCAGCTCGATATCGCACCTACCATCATCGTATCATCTGTTGGTCTACTGTCAGTGTTATTAAGTACGCTCCTTGTTGTAAATATGAATGGATACTGCGTGACTAAGAATCTTGGAATATGGATGATTGGTGTCTATTTGACATGTTGTACGATCAATTTCTTATTGGAATTCAAAATCATTTTTTGAATAAACGTTTTAAAAACCAGCACTTTTTTTTGTGACTTGTGGAGAGATTGATTCATCCCCCTTTATTTCCTGACCCTTTCTTTTTTTTTCTTTTGTTTTTCTAAACGAACCTGTATTGGAAAATATAGCTTTATTTGAATCTCTCCATGGATTCAAAATGGTAATACGAACTTGAGTTAAATTTTTACATTATAGTAATCAGGGAATATAGGTCTTCAATTTCAACTGGAAAGGGTCCTCGCAATTATAAATGTATATTTGACCCAGAACTAGATACTCAAGGTTTAAGAAAAAGCAACACACCTATTTATGAATATGAAGGTGAAAATGTAAATACTTGTTTTATCAGTTTGTTCCATTTGTTTCTGCTCTAATTAGTTCTTCTTTTGTTCTAGACATCTACAGTCATCACACCACGGGATCCTCGTCAAAATCCCACACACTACGAACGAAACTTTACAAAAGGTCGTTTTCTATATAAAAAACAGTTCAATTTGGTCGAATACAAAGTACGTATGATAAACGCGTTTATTTATTCAGCTTGTTTAACTGTCGAATTAGTTTGATGAAAACTCGGTAGGACCAAAACCTTTAACTAAAGTATTGGTTTCTCGTTTATCACCCCTTATGACGGAAGCACAAATTATGACATTTTTTTCAGTCTATGGTGAAGTTTCAATGGTAGAAATCGAACGTTGTCCAATTACGGGTGCTTCTTTAGGCATTGCACATGTATCATTTTCAATTGAGTCCACAGACATAGGGCATGCAGCTGCGTGTCTTGCAGTTGAAAAAGGAAATGGACGTAAAATGGGTGCTGCCGAATGTGTCAAAGTTTGCTTTGATCCTAAAGGAGAAAAGCTAAGGATGGCCATAGAAGATTCCAATAGACCATCGGCATCATTAAGTTTAGATAGTCCCACCAAAACAACTGGTCGCAATTTAATTACTCCCACCGCACCATCGCATAGAAGACCAGATAGTTATTCTTACAGAAGTCACCACGAAGATGGAGAAGTAATGGACGAAAGATCAAATTGGGATAGATATGACTCAAGAAGCTATCCACGCTCATCAAGAGACAATTACAGATATCGAAGCTACCACGACGATGATTATAATAACGGAAGATACAGGGAGGAAAGACCACCAAGACCATCATATCATGGGAGCGGGCCTCCCCCAGGTTATTCGTCATCCAGATATCCATCTCCTAGACCGATAGATTCATCAGAAAGATCTTCTCGCTGGGGTAATAACAGAAGTCCTAGTATGAGTTCGCCTGACTCAAGATATAGAAGTAGAAGCAGAAGCCGTAGTCAAAGCATCAACAGAGATAATTATTATATGTCAGAAAGACCATCAAACAGTAGATGGGAGAATGAGTCGGATTGGGGAAGAGGTTATAACACAAGCAGACGAAGGGCAGATTATTGGGATGATCGAAAACCGTCTCCACCATCACGCCCTATATTAGTGATATCAAGAAAATGTTTGCCATTTGTTAGAGGCGTATTAGAGGATTTAAAGAAAATGTTCTACTACTACAAATTTATTGATGTATGCAATTCAAAAGGCATAATTAGATAAATATTGGTACTAAATTTTCAAGCTATTCCTTCTTTATTTTAGATTTATCATGACGAAGAGGATTGGTTAATCGTGTTTGATTCACTTTCGATAGCAAAAAGAGCTTTAGCCGCCACATCGGATCAGATATTAATGGGCTATAAATTGTTAATCACGCTTCGACATCCTTCCACAGAACACGAGTCTCAGCATAAATTGATCGAATCGCATACAGAAACCCAAAGTACCACAGCCACTGATAAAATTATAAAGTCTGATGTTAATAATATAACCATCGAAAGCAATGAATCTATTACAACTAATACAACTAATACAACATCTAATACAAACTTAATAAATGGTACAGCTATCACTTCTGAGCCGAAAACTCCAGCCACAACACAACAAATACTATCTGATCAACTGGCAGACATCTTTCTAAAAGATTTAAAAAATCGTATTGCAGGCCCAGCTATCCACGACTTTTACAAATCAGCCCGACTAAAGCGATCAGAAAAAGAAATGTCTGCTGTGAATACACCCGAAGATTTTAGTAACGATGACAATACGATGGAGGTTGATGTGAAAAAGGCACAAGAAAAGATGATTGAATCGATTTTACCTTCACTTGGTAAACTTCCAAGGTTTAAAAGGAAGCAAAAGCCTCCAGTCGGTGAACGTGGGTATGAATCATTTTTATTCAACTCATCATCAGAAGCTGATCAATCAACGCCAGTCAACAAGCCAAAAGAGGATAGAGCTGAAACACCAGTGTCCGCTACATCATCCAGCTCAGAGGAAGGCGAGTATCACTCAGGTCCAGAATCAGTAAGCGATGTAGAAAAGGTTACGCCTGCTCGAGGTCGAAAGCCTGGAATGAAGAAACAAGTAGAAAATAGACCTCGACGTCTCAGAGATTACCTCAGCGAAGAAGAAAGCTCTGTGGATGAACATGATGCCTTTTTAAAGCAATTACATCGACAAGAAGAAGAGGATAACGACCAAAGTGATTCGGAAGATGATTTTGTTGAAAACGATTCATTTGAAGATTTAAACATAAGGAAACGTAAGCGTCCATCAAAGAAGAACACAACAACAAAAATTAAGAAGCAGAAGAAGGCATTGATGCAACTTCATAGCGATGACGACACAAGTGAATATGATTCTCAACAATACCAACCATCTAAATTGAAGATGAAACAAAAGGGAAAGCAAACTAAAAAAAAAAAACCAATCGCACCTATCTTACCTGACAGAATTTACGAAGTTATTGAAGAGGATTTATCAAAGGACGTAAGTTCTGGATTTGAAGAAGAAGACGAAGAAGACGAGGAAGAGAATGAAATGCCAATGATGAGAGAGACAATAGATCAAGCAGAGTTAGAAAGGTCTCTATTAGCGCCAGACGAGTCTGACAGTGAGGAATTGGCTGAACCAACAAATGACGATGATGAGCCACCAGAATGGAATCCATTCAACAGTATAAATGATGCCGAGGATTATTGCTTTTTAAGGTCTGCACTATTGGAAAGGGAGGAAAACAAGGAGCAAGGTAAGAAAGATAATAATTTGAAATGAAAACTGTTACTTATTAATTAAAAAAGGCCCTGTGACAAATGTAATTAAGGGTGGATCTGCCCGAGTTCGAGGTGTATATACTATTCCTGATCATTTAAAGGCAACATATCTACCTAGAAATAAGGCTGTTATCGAATTACCAGCGGATGCAGGCAGAATATCATCACGTGCCACTCGTGTCAATAATCGTCGATTAGTAGTGGGAATGGAGATGCAGAAAAAGACAATCGATTCTGATATTTTAAAATTCAATCAGCTACAAAGCAGGAAGAAACAATTACGATTCGCAAAGTCACCTATCCATGACTGGGGCTTGTACGCAGAGGAGCATATCGATGTCAATGACATGGTCATTGAGTACGTCGGAGAAATGATTCGACAGCAGGTGGCCGAAGAAAGAGAAAAACAATATGAGCGCTGTGGTATTGGAAGTAGTTATTTGTTCCGTGTTGATGACGATACTGTTATTGATGCTACAAAGAGCGGGAATGTTGCTCGTTTCATTAATCATTGCTGTGCAGTAAGTTTAATATATAGTATGTTGAATTTAAGTCTAATTATTCCGCCTTTTCTTTTTTACAGCCTAATTGCAGTGCTAAAATTATTACAGTCGATAAGCACAAAAAGATTGTTATTTATGCAAATCGAGACATTGAACCTGGAGAAGAAATCACATATGATTACAAATTTCCAATCGAGGCTGACAAGATACCCTGCTTGTGTGGTAGTAAATTCTGCAAGGGAACGTAAGTTGAAACAACTAGTATTATAACAATCTAATACTCACCATATTTTGACTTAGGCTTAACTAAGAGCATCCTTGCACTTTCACTCTACACATCTTCTTGAATGGTAATTAATTTCGCAGGCGCAAATAATAATTATCATTTTCGTCATTGAAACTGTAAAAAAAAATAACTAGATGCACAAAAATGGAGTTTGTTAAATTTGCTTATTTCCTTTTTTGTGTTACTGCCATGGTTTGGAAAATAATTGTAAATAAAGGGAAATCCCATTATCCAAGTATTCGCACAATAAATTCAGACACAATGAATGGTTTTAAAAGCTATATATTTTTTTTTACGAAGGCGTATAGAGAGTAAGGGAAGACATGATTGACATTTTGGTAAATGACGACAGAAAATCATATGTATATAAAAATAAAGGAGGGCTATTATTTGATTGGATGCATGAGTCTTGCACATCCAAGATCATTGCGAAACCATTATGACTGCAAATAAATAATTGTTGAAACAGGGTATAGGAGATGTGATTTGCTAGTGCTATTGTTAATCTCCTCAGTGTTCTTGCTTGTCAAGGTTGCCGGATGTTGTGGCTGCATGACAGTACCGCGTTAAAGAATATCTTCCAAATCTCAAAAGCATTACTCAATGTAATTAATCTCCCAGGGTGCTCCAAATATTTTCGTAAAAGAGACTAAGTCTATCATTTCTTCATATCACCTTACGAAAATAGGATTTAGATACATTCAAGTGAAATAAAAAATGATTTTCTATAATGCTTAAACTAAAGTGTGTAAACTGTGACAGTCGTGTGCATACAACCATTAAAAGTTACACATATGTCCGCTCCTTATCATTTAAGTGGTGTCAATTTGTTTTAGTTCCTTTCTTACACTTTTAACATGGCTTCAACTCATCCTTATAATCAGATTGTCTTGTTTGGAGTAAGTGCACTTTCACATAAAATATAATGAAACTAACATGGAACAATCTTCTACTACAGGATTCAATTACTCAGGTAAATTAAAAATATCCATAATCTTTCAAATTATGTAATACTTGCAACAGTTTAGTTTCGATCCTCAACTGGCTGGTTTTGGTGCCCTTTTGGCTAATGTAGGTAATCTTTTGAGTTTGCCAGAATGGTTCTAACAATACCCTGTAGATCTACGTCAGAAAGCTAGATATCCTCAATCGCGGATTCTCTGGTTACAATACAGATTGGGCATTGCCTATTTTAAAACAATTGCTACCTTCAGTGAAAGAACAACAGGAACAAGCAAATTCCATTCCTTTGATGACGATATTTTTTGGAGCCAATGATGCAGCACTTCCCTTTTCCCCTCAGCACGTACCTTTAGAACGTTATAAGTCAAACACTAAAGCTATGATTGATCTTGTAAAGAACCCCAAATCGCCTTTCTACAACCCCAAAATGAGAATTATTTTGATATCTCCTCCTCCTATCAACGAAGCTCAGTGGGAAAAGCGATGCAATGAACAAGGCGATAAGTTAAACCGTACAAACAAAGCTGCACGTGCTTACGCTGATTGTATTATGGAAATCGGAAGAGAAACAAATACGCCTACTGCTGACATATGGACTGAAATTATGGATAAAGTGGAACATCATGATAGACAGCTATCAGACTTCTTGCTCGATGGACTTCATTTGAACAGCAATGGGTATCGGGTAACGAGTGAGATTAATATTGTTTTCGCGCATTTGTGTTAATACATCTTGTAGGAGTTATACAATCTTCTTTTGAAAATCATTTCTGACAAATATCCAGAAATTCATCCCGATGCCGTAGGTTATGAACTGCCATATTGGAAAGACCTGTTAAACTTCGAAAATCCTGCTGAGCAACTTCAGTTTCCCTTATTAGGAAAGAGACCGGCGGGAATTTAAATTTTCGACACATGCTTTAACATGTCATTTAAAACCAAATATTTGTTGCCATTAGCTTATATTTTAGTTATGAAATAAACTAGCTGAAAAGCAAAACACTATAAATATAAAATTGCGGAGAAAATTTAAACATTTACCTATTTAGCAGGATATATTATGCCACCACAGCCTCGTGTACAAGTAATTAGCCGTACATGGGTAAAACCCTCTGTACCAACGCCAAACAATAAAAGCCGTACATCACTTTCGGACTGGGATATTGTTATGTTCAAATCATATACGCCATTACTATTATTTTACACAAATAGCGATCAAAAACCCGACTTCATGAATACAGCCGCTTTAACAAGCTCATTATCGAATGTGCTCCAAGATTTCTATCCTTTAGCAGGTCGTTTAATAGACATTGGAAATGGCAGGGATGAAATAGATAACTGCGACGATGGAGTTCTTTTTCAGGTAAAGTGATCATAAGTTTCGATTTTCTTAAGCTGATGGAATCATTGAATATGTATTCTTTTAGGAAGCCGAGTATCAAGGTGAATTAGAGAAGTTTAAAGAGAATGGTTATCTTCCAAATCAAATGGATTATCATCGTTTATTTCCAATTCATTTTTATTGCAATTCACAAGACCCGTTATTTGCAGTACAAGTAACTCGATTTTTAGACGGCGGTGTTGCACTTGGCATAATGATCCTGCACAAGATTGCAGATATGTACTCGACGTGTTTTTTTTTGGATGCCTGGGCTAAAAATACAAGAGGATTGGATTACGCGAAAGCTCTATACAGAAAAGACCTTATAGCATGCCCAATAAATGTAGCAGTAACGGATGAAGCACTTGCTCATTATCGGGAAGAGCACAGGATAACTAGAGAAGATATATCTCACGTTGTACGCATGGACCCAAACCAAAAAAAATATGCTCGAACATCACCTAATGGGCCTATGCCGTTAAAAAGTATTATATTAGAGTTTTATTCGGACAACCTTCATCAATGTAAAAAAGATGCTCATACACCCGAGATGATTGCAAACAAAAACTGGGTGTCTACAAAAGATGCCCTCTTTGCAATGTTAGTAAGATCTATTGCACGTAGTCGACACGTTGATCCAGATACTCAAATAAAAATGATATGGTCTGTAAACGGTCGGTCAAAAATGAAGTATAACAAGGATATGGAATACTACTTCGGAAATTGGATGATGTAAGTGGGATTACAGCATAAGTCCATACATAAAAAAGTCAACATACTGACTCTCATTTAAAGCTCCCGTACAGTATCTACTACAAAAGCCGAGATCAAAGAAACCAAGTTGACAAATACAGCAGTTACATTTCGGCAAAAGATGGGTAGTCTGAAATTAGAATTATTTCACGGTCTAAGTAAATTATATACAATTCATGAGGATATGACCGTCAATTATCTCACATATCAGCCAAACTCAAGTATACAATCTACTGCAAGTGATGTGTCTATGTTGCCTTTTTGGAGAATTGATTTTGGGTTTGGTCGTCCTGATCGTACCAGGGGTTATATTACATTTGGTGGCAATGGCTGTTTGATTATTTTTGGCAGAAGCGATGAAACTAAAGGACCGATGTACGATGTTCAATTACAAATGGATGCTGACTCTATGCACCGATTTATCAAGGATCCTGATGTCCAAAAATACTCTACACATATACTCTATTAATAAACATGACCAGTTACTCTAGCAAATGCATATAAAACTTCGATACATCTATTATTTTTGAGTGCGTGTAATAAAAAAAAAGGGATAAAAGGGTAATGATTGTTTAAATTACTTGGGAATTAAAATTGAAATAACTTATAAAAACCTTCCTATTAAAATGAAGGGAACCTAGATTCAAACGATGGATCTACTTCTGGTGCCTTGGCTAAGGCAGCATCATACGCCAACTGGGAAATGAATTCCTTAACATCCTTGGCAACATTTTGTCCATGCTCAAAGCGACCACGCTCTTCGATCTTCTTTTGATCTTGGTCTTGCTTTCTGATATCTAGTCCAATCATACTAATTTCTAAATGAATAGTCTTTACTGCTTCTTCTATTTCCTTTAAACTGTCAGCAATGGAATCGGTATACATTTTGAATTCTTCCCGCTCTTCTTCAATCTTTTCTTTTTCCGCTTTAAGATTTATACTACCAGGCGAAGATTTCCCGGTAATTTTACCCATACGAGCGGCAACCATAGCTTTAGCTTTAGCACGAATACGGTCACTCTCTGTCACCTCACCATTAGGACCGGTACCGATTATATTCAAGGGTACATCAGTACCTGCAGAAGAGCCGGCCGAAGCAGCCTTTTTCTCCAGGGATTGAAGTTTGTTTTGCAGCAAATCATTTTCGGTTTCATCTACTTGATTTAACAAACCCTTTACCGTATCGTCAAGCATATATATGATTTCTGTCTCCAAAGCCTTTTCTTGTTCCGCCAAACTTGATAGCTCGGCAGTTTTTTCGATATATGTATTCCAGGCATCATAACCTTGTTCGCTTCCTGTCTTAGAAATTTCTATCTGTAATTCCTTAACTCTATCTTTTAAATCATCTATGTCTCTTTTTTCCAAAGCTGATAATTCGTTGTATGGTTTAGCGACTCTCTGAACAGAATCTTCTTCCAACTTTTTAATGTACTTTTTTTTCTCCTCGATTTCTTTCCTTAAATCAAAAATCCGAGTAGCTTTTCCACGGTATCCATAACTAGAAGTGACAGTAAGAGATGATGCCGACGAAGAGCTGCTAAGGTCCCTATTACGAGTTCTATCTGGACCCATACGACGAGCGCTTGATACATATCCCACCTCTGCATCATTTTCCGTATCTTTCTTGGCAACTGCGCGGGACGGACTTACTGATCTCGATCTATACTGAGATATGGGAGGTGATAGTGTTTCCGAAGGGGAGGAGCTGAAATTGGCGAGATGTCTCTTTTTTGCAATATCTTCCAAAATCGTCTTTTTCAATTGGCTCACACTTTCATGCAAATCACGAGTAGAAGGTGGGATAAGTTCGGCAGGCAGTGTCTCAGGTACATTATAACCATTTAGCTTGCGATAAATAAGATGCATCGCAACCGAAAATTCATCCACATTTAATTTGCCTTGATTGTTGGGATCGGATAAGTTCCTAAATTAGATGTTAGCAACACGCGGTTCAAGTATTATGAGAGCCATATATTACCAAATTTGCATAAGAATGTTTTGTGGTAAGCCAGACTGAGAAAAAATCTCTTTGGCTTTATCTCCAGACAATGTACCCTTTTTTTCAGTATCCCAAGCCTTGAAAATCTTTGAATACTGTTTCTTTTCTTCACTTGTGACAGCCCAGGGAATTTTTACGTTTTTTGATAAACTTTCAAAACCAGCAGGCGCATTGTAGTTTGCACTATGTGGCATCATTCTGTTAGCAAAATTCATGGTGTTTCCCAACATGCCGGTAGGCATAGTAACTTGTGGACCTCCAGTACTCATCATTGGTGATACACCTGTCATCATTGGTGCTTGGGGATTAGTATATATACCAGTAGGCTGTGTTGGAATATTCAATTGAGGATTAGAGTAGGATGGTATACCAGTTTGCTGTTGAGCTAAAGGTACTACAGATTGTTGTTGTTGCGGCTGGCCTCGGACAGCAGCTACTGCATGTTGTATTTCATTTCGGACTTCGTCAGGTAAAGAAGCTGGAATATCACTGCCTGTCATTTTCATAGAAGTTAAATACATTGCTACAGCGAATTCCGGAAAAGTAAGTTGTGGTTGTTGGGTAACGTTGGACAAATCCCTGAGACGCAAAATAAGATATTTAGTTTTAAAAGTTTATTAACCGAAGACAAAATGTACCAAATACGAGCAAGATTATCATCACCAATGTTTGATCTAGAAAGCACTTCCCTAGCAGCAGTGGCTACGATGGAAGTATTTCGAATTAAGCTACTATTTTTAAAGCCAAGAAAAATTAAACTTACCGCTCAAGATGTTGTCTCCTCGTGATGCTTGAGAAAAAACCATCTCATACTTGTTTTGATCAGCTTGAGAGAGAAAACTTAAACGGATTCCTGCATTACTTTTGTTTAATAGCTGTAAACGCAATGGAAACTTAATTTACCCTTCGATGGTCCGGCCATATTATAACGGGATGCTCTTTGAAATTGGTAAAAAGTGTTAAGGAAAAAGGCCAAGTTTAAAAGCACAGCACTTATCCTTTGAAAATGGCGGATATTCAAAAACCTATTGGTGGTGTTTTTATTCCACTTTGATGTCATGTCTCACTGGGTGCGTCTCTTGCTTATCCGAATTCGAGTTGGTTTTTTTAGAGCAGGTTATCCTTGGGTTTTAGACAGAAAGGCTTCTAAAGCACCAGAATTTACTGATCATGTAATTGATAACGTTACCCCCATATTTTGTGCAAGCTGATGTATATGAATGACAGTAAGTGTAAAAACCTTAAAAATATAGTCAACATCCCTATAGTTTTTCTATAAGGTATTATACTTAGTGAAAATGTTTCACAGTAATAGTCTACAAAGTAGAAACCAATGCCTTTGTAAATGTTATATTTGGAAGGTACATATATTGCCTAAGAAAGTAGTGGAAATGAAAGTAGCAAAACTGACGTCTTTTTGAAGATTTGGCCATAAAAACGAGCATAATTTGTAGATTGGATTTGAAGACGTATGTGAAACTTCCAGTAGTGCCAATTCAATAAATAGTCAAATACAACCACCTAACATTAAATGCCTGACGGCATTTGCTTCAAAAGGATCTACAAGACTGCAATCAGCCAATAGCGTCGCTTAGCTTGGTCTAAATAAATAAGATTCTTAAATATCAGATTTGCACTTTCTTTCTTTGAACTATAAAAATGGAAGGACATGAAAGCCACACAATGCCAGGACACCATATGGGTTTGACTCCAGGTCATGACATGGGTGAACACGAAATGCCTGGTCACACCATGCCAGCCATGTGCGCCATGAATGTAAATATATAGTTTTTATCATGATCAAGTAAATAACCAATTTAAATAGATGCTTTTCAACTGGCAAATAAAAGACGTTTGTGTAGTTTTTGAATGGTGGCATATTAATACCACAACCGACCTGCTGATATCTTGTATCGTAGTATTTTGTATCGCTGCTGGATATGAGTACCTTCGTGTATGGTCAAGTTATTTTGATGATCAGTGGTCACAGGCGGAAAAGAAAAAGTTATCAGATCAACGATCGCTAGTGGGAGATCAAGAGGAATTTGAGACTACAGATGGATCTAATTTTCTTAGAAAAGAGAATGTTATAAGGTAAATACTAGTATGTATGGAGCGGTATGTATACTAAATTCAACTTTTTAGAGGATCGTGCAAACAAGGGGCATTAAGATCCTTAATATATGCAGCCTTAGTTGCCATCAGTTTTTGGTTGATGCTTGTATTTATGACGTATAATGGGTATTTAATGATCGCGACAGTAGCTGGTGCAGGTTTCGGCCACTTTATATTTGGGCAAGGCAAACTAAAAGCTAGTCGTGACATTCAATGTCACTAAAGCTCGTATCCTGAACATTTAACTCCTGCATATATAATGTGGGAATGGTTACAGTTTTACACTTGATATTTAACCGATATTACTACTTTTGAGAATTCTTATTTTCACCCCCTGTTTTCTTATTTTCACCCCCTCAATTTCTTTTGGCCTATTACACACAAGAAATTTTTAAAAAAATTGCGATTGAGATTTTTATGTGACAGAAAAAATAAAAATGATCATGGTGATTATTGCTGTTATTGAGATTGTTGACACGAGCGAGTAGCTTGCGACATGGCTCTTTGGGAACATTGCCTAGTGTCGTGTCCTGACTGTCTACAGGTTCCACAAAACCTTGTTATTCTTTTGGCATGTTCAAAGCGGATGGATTTCTTCTTTTCGAAGAATTGTTATTTCTTCTTGCAGTAGATCCTACAGGTCTTCCTCTTGAACTGGTATTGTTTTGTGACAAAATAGGTACAAGTAATTCTGAACTTAGTAACTATACTTCAGCGTTTCAGTAGTGGCATGTACTGATATTGAAGCATATTTTATGAAAAACAAAGTTGACTATCCTATAAAGTTTAAGAAAAGTTAAGATAATATGGGACGTCAATGGAAAAAAGTACGTGAAAAAATACGTATGACTAAAAATGAAGTATAAAAATTAAAAATAGACGTAGGTGTAAACAACGTCAACCGTCTAGCCATAGCTGGGCCTCTCAGTTGAGCCAATTTGAGTTGGCACAAACGGCCAGTATTTTTCAAAACGGACAGAATTTGCCAGCCGCACTGTATGTTCGTAACGTTAAAATAAACCCAATAAACCCTGTTCTGCCTTATTATGCGTTCATTCTTTTATATTTTAATCTTTGATCGTCTGTATATTGGAAAAAAACAATAGAAGGAGAAAAATACTTTTATATAGTTCTTAGGGGTATCGCTGCCAATTCGAATCCATAATGCCAAACGAGTTACTGGCTCCCATAGGTTGTTCAGGTTGAGAACTTAACATGGATTGGCCATGCATTGTAGAGTATGATTCGCTATTCATTCGGGATTGTTGATGGGAATTTGTCATTAGGTTTGTACTATAAAATGATGAATACGCTGCAACCAATGGCTGTGCCACAGAAGAGGATGAATCACCCACACCAAATGTAGCTGTTTGCATTTTGGGTCGGGAAAGTTGATCTAATGGTAGAACTTGCTGATCTTCTGTTGCGATAGCAACTTGATTGGCTGTATTATTATCTGAAGCAGGTGCCCCTCCTTTAAACCATTTTATCCATCTTTTAAGTGCAGTATTGTCACTCACTTGAAACAAGAAAACTAAACCGGCATCCGTTCTTACTCGGAATATATGATGGTTTTCTTCGGTAGAATTTACCATTTCGCAGTCAACATAAGCATGCATCGTAGCTCCATCTCCAGTTTTCTATTTCGATGTTAGTATATAGATTGGTTTACATCTGTTTTACCTACATTTGATAAAACAAAAAACCGTTTAAGTGGAACAAGAATGATGTGTTTCAATTCCCAGATTGAGAAAAACTCGTAACGAGCCAACTTCTTTACAGGGAGTATACCTTCATGGGCTTCTACAGTAAAATCAAACAGGTTTCGTGCCACCAAATTTAGGTTGACTTTTTCATCTGATGAGGTTGAATATGTATGTTTTGTTAATTCTACTTCGCTAGACGTGTTCATTCTGTAAAGGCTCAATTTCTTGTTATGCTTGATAATATGGCGGGCGATTATTATAAACTTAGGGAGATAGAGTACTACAAGTGTAAACGTTGCTGCGAATAAAACGCTTGATATTTTCAAGAACATAGATATACTATAGTTTTCTGTCGATAAAAAAAAACCAGGGCATGCCACTAATGAAGCAATGCCTGTATTGCTAAAAATAAAAATATTAGCAATGATAAACATTCTGCTTAACCTTCAGTCAAACTTACTAGCTAACATATGTAATCTGTGTAGTCTCTGACCATTTGCTACTGACAGTTCGCGTCTATAGTTTAACTTTAGCTACTACGAAAAAAAAAAGTATATATATATTACCTTAAATGCAAGGAACGCAGATATAATAATTAGGATTGAGCACCATATCAAAACAACTATTTCACTGATGGTAATATGGCCCCAGTATCCTACTTTTGCCGCAGGATAAGTACATAGCCAGCAATAAGTTGTATTTGATACCATTACGTCCTTTACTACGACAGGATATAATGCATACCAGACAATGAGAGGCGAGATTGCAATTATTACAAACAGAGCGACAATACGAACAAGATAATATGACTTCAACCTTGTTGTGCGCACAGTAAAAACATTCTGGAATCTATCAGTATTACGTTAGGTACATGCAGTGCTAAAGTTGTATGATTAATTACATTCTATATATCCTGTATAAAATAAAGAAAGCATTAGGTGTTGTCCCATTCAAATTAGTCTTTATGTAAACATACCTATAGTTTTTGGCAATTAGACTTCCAATTACTAACACAAAACCAATTACGGTAAGTAATACAACTGCAATGCATTTCCCAACGTTCGGCTTTCCAAGGTATAGAAGAATTGAAGTATATATCATGGAGATACCACTAAGCTGTAAATAACAGAAAACAGGACTTGAGACCATGATTGGCTTTAAGTATTGATAAAAAAAAATCAAAACCATCATGCTTTTGCAACAAACGATACCAATTGAGCAAATCACCAATGCTGTTATACCAGCTGCATTATGAACGGATGGGTTTAAGGCTAATAATTACAAATATTAGTTTATCTAAATATATACACTATTACAAGAGAAGTACCATATCGCGCCATCATTGCTGTAGGTTTTTCTGTCGAAGGACCAAGATACAGAATAGAAGTATTTGGATAAAATTCAAATTTTTTTACTTTTATCGTAGCATAAGGTACAGATAAACCTTTTCGCATATATAATAATTCAAAGTAGCTTCACTAACAAATTAGTTTTATTTTCACAAGTAAATAAACATACGGCTTACCCGGATTGAAGATCTCCTAATATTAAAAAATAAATATATGAGTATTGTTTTTTAAACGGAGATCTTGTAGGGTACCTTCTTCGGAAAATTCCATATAACCTTGAATGTTGAAGAAAGTTTAGTAAAATTAACCAAAGACGAACATAGGATACTACCTGAAGGCCCAGTGTAATTGAGATTGTAAGAGTAAGGTGTCATATTTGAAGAATTAAATGCAGAGTTCCGGAGATCTGATATGCCCGCTGGTCGGCCTCCTGGGTAATTGTCTAAGGCCTGAAAAGAAATGAGTTTCAATTTGATAATCTGTATATCATTTACGTACATGGCTGAGACCAAGTGCAAGCAATTCAGTACATGCATAAGCAGATGGTGCATTATACGACAGACCTAATGTGCTCCAATCTTCTTTTGTTGTACTACAGAATAAAATTTTAATATCATTAGAAACGTAACCCGGAACATTTCTAACGCTTACAAATCATCAGGAACTTGTTGCGTTTTCCATAATCGGTTTAGATTATCATATTCCGGTAAGCCCTTTACTGCAAGATATAGAAAAATCGTCAATGAAATGAAAATTAAAAGCTACAGCTCGCTGACTTTTGTGTTACCACTTACAATCCCATAACCCGCTAATAAACATGAGGCCGTCATACATGGCAAGCTCCTCGGGTGACTGGATTTTTTCAAGTAGCACGGGTGAAATATCGTTCATGACTACCCATACCCATCCTTTTTTCATAAGTCCCATTTGCCTGTAAATCAAACAGTTAGCTTTCCTGTTTAACTTTGGTGCTTAAATACGTTACATTGCTTTTTTCAGAATTAATACTTGGTCTATTGTTCTTGAATCCGCTAGTACTACCACTCGACATCCAGACTCCTCTAGTGTAGATAGTGATTCTAGATACAGTCATTTTAGCTTTTGCTTTGTTATCTTTTTTAATTTGACAAGTGTTACTTTCGATTCTATTTTCATTTAAACTGTATAAAGGAATTCGTGTCATGGTTGTGATTCCATATTCTGATGCTCGACTCGACATGGCTTGCAACACTATTATATATCATTGTATATTATTCTATTAGATTATTTCCTTTTTCAATCATGAATCTACTGTTACCTTGTTGTCCAATCAAGTCGTTAGTATAGACTAGAGCAAACATATCCCATTTCATATTGTTTACCCAATCAACAAGCGATTCGCCGAAAAGAACAGCGCTGCCGGCCGTTCTAAAAAAATATGGATACTGTTTTTTGTCTGAAAGGGTTAAAGAAGCTGAAGCACAAGAACATTGGGGTATCTGCCATAGGCCTGTCAGTGATGCGGAAGCTTCTGTCATTTCAGATACCATGTCGCCTATAACAGCACTAAAAAAAAATTTCAATACATAAAACAAATCAAACATTGCTGATAATTACTCGACTCCATCTTCTATCATTGAAACAGCTGTCCATGATGTTTTTCCTGGGCTGCTCTGATCAGAATAATATCTCGTAAATTTCAATTCCACATCTACGACAAAATGAATAATCCCGATCTTAATAAAGTTTTGTAAAAAAAAAAAAGTCGTGTACCTGTTAAAATGTTGCTTTTAATATTATCTGCAGCAAGTTGAATGGCTACTTCACTTGACAAAATCATATTTGCTAAGTTTGCATCATCTTTCTTCACCGCGGTTGCATTTGGAAATATGATTCCTATTTTATATACAGGTTTTTGGTTGTCTGTCGATGCTATAGATGATTGATTTGCAATTTTTGATTGTTGATTCGGAGTTAAAAGCGCCGATCGTGCAGCATGTATAAAGAGCAGGAACTGTAATATATAAACAATGAACATATCTTGATATGTCTTTATGTGTAATTATTATGTTTTTGTAAAAAAAAAACAGATAAACGAATAAAGAGATAGTTGGAACCGGCGTTTTCGATCATTTTTTATAATTAAATCGACGGAGTTTTCATTATTGTCACTTTATTTGAACGGAAGTGAAATAAGCTGAACCAAACGGTTTTGTGTGACAGGGTTTAAGAAAATTAAAATTTAGTTTTTTGGCAGGAAAATAGATTGAACAACTATGAGGGTGGCTAGTGAGTTCTAATAATGTGAATATACATCAGTTCATGAATTAAAAATGTTTATTAAACGTCTGAGTCAACTTTCATTTATTGAGCAGGAAAGAAAGGGCTTAACTCTATTTTTTTTTTCCACAGACAGTTTTTAATTTTCCCAATTTGCCAGGTACAACACGAGGATATTTCGCGTTACACTCATACTTCTGGTTTTTTCCACAAGACCGGCTGTGCGCCGTAAAAAAAAATCCCTATTTATGGGTGACTACGGAATACGATCTATCAGATAGTTGTGACCTATTTGTATGAACACACAAAAAGTTTGTCAGACGAACAAAATGCACTAAGCTGCATTTCCATATGTCTGTGTAAAAGCTAATATCATAAACGTTTGACTGATAGCATTCATAACGTGAGCTGTCTCTTTAGCTCTAGTAATGTCGCTCGGTTTAATTTTCACTTTGTAGCTATTACATTTCCTTATAGTAGTAGCTCTTATGACGACACTAAACTAAATCAGCCGGGCTAATCGAGTTTTTTTTATGTATATATATATATATGTGGTATCATAGTCAAGTTACGAACCCTAAACACAAATCAAACTTAAGTATAAAAATCTGCATTCACTCTATCTCACTTTGTAAGATCCAAATCTTCTCGATCTAACTTTTCTTTTTCAATAGAAATTCAGAACGACTGTATGTTTAATGATTCCGAAGGTTCTTGTCACAATTGCCCCTCATCCGTCAGCTTTGCAGCGGTTCCTAGCATCTCTACCTAGTACTGTATCTTACACACTAGAATCGGAGAACAAGCATTGTTTATGACTTAAAATGCTAATACAAATTGCTGTTTGCCCTCTTATTGATGCCCTTATTATTTATTATTACCATTTTGTCTCACTCTGATAACACTCAGTCGTAGATATTACTTTTTTTTTTTTGTTCGTTCTACCTGATGTTTAAGGTAGTCTCTTAACCACTAAGATTTATTGTCGATGGTGCGCACATTTCCTTGACCATAAATTTATTATATTATGGCATTCTGCTTTCACCATTAGTTTGGAAGTCATCATCAAATTATATTCTACCGCTATCTTCGTAAGAAAATGTTTCGTATGTATGTACATTCATCATCGATTTATGCCCAATCACTTCCCAACACTGACCTGACAAGTATTAAAGTTTCTTGGTCGCTTTTTGTTTGTATGGTCTCTCAAATTAACTGTTTGGCAAAATGCCTGGAATAGCCACGTTATTGAGTCCTCTCCATCTAGTCATGCCTTTTGTCTCAATAACAAGGAGCGTTTCTAATTAAACAATTGTATACTCGCTTTGGATTATTCACCGTTGATGACCCTTCTTTTCAGCATCGACTCCAAAAAAAACCGAAATTCTCGCAAGCTGTCTATACTAACTACCTTTGACATTTCTCGTCCCTTGCCTTCTGGTCCTTATTCATTGACGCTACGCCCCTCGTTGTTGATACTATGTACATATTTTACTATAAAAGCAATAACGAATATAGAGAAATATATGTAAGTAGTTATTCTATTATCGTGCTGCTCACGGTATTAACAATAAACCACTGAGACCGCATACACTCAGATAGGCCTTTAGTTTATCGCGTGTTTTTCAATGGCTCGTAGACTATACAAAATCTTCTGTTGCGATTAACGATTCCGCCATTTAATTGTTATTTAGACAATCTTTTACAGCAAATTCGTTATGTTTCCATCAATGCATTACATACTTCATCGACCTGTAGTTCAGTGTTATGTTTTTTTCTATGAGTCACGAAGCTCTGCGTTTTATTCAAAGTTCTTGGACGACGGTGCTTCAAGTTAATATGTGACAGTGGTTTAAAGGTATTAGTAATGACAAATTTCCCGCCCATTCCCGGGGATCTACTAGTTTACAAAATTAGCGTGCATATAAGACGGGATTTTTATATTCATTTTCTTTTTTTCTTTCAATCAAAAAGTTAATTATAATAATGGTAGATAATAAAGTGAATGTTGGTGTTGTTGGTTTCGGTAAGATAAAACAAGACAGACGGATTTTTTTCAGAGACTGACACCACGATAGGCATGTCTGCCCGCGTTTTCCATTGCCCTTTAATCTCGTCCTCTCCATACATGCACTTGGCTGCTGTTGTTGAACGTAATAGCACCAAATCCAAGGACATGTACCCTTGGGTCAATGTTGTTAGAAGTACAGAGGATCTTTTCTCCGACCCAGAAATTGATTTGGTTGTTATCACCACACCTAATGGATCCCATTATTCTTTAGCTCTTGAAGCCATGAAGAATGGAAAAAATGGTAAAGTGTTATGTGATGCATGAAAATAGATGTTTTAATCTTTATCTCTTTAGTTGTTGTTGAAAAGCCTTTTACTATTACCTCAGCCGAGTCTGCCGAATTAGCCAAGGTTGCCAAAGAGACAAGACTTATTTGTAGTGTATATCAAAATCGTCGCTGGGATGGTGATTTCTTGACTGTTAAAAAATTATTGAAGGGTGGACACTTGGGTCGCCTGGTGGAGTTTGAATCGCATTTCGACCGTTTCCGTAATTTTGTTAAGGCCGGCTGGAGAGAACAAAACGATGCACCCGGTTCCGGTATGCTTTATGATCTTGGGGCTCATTTAATTGATCAAGCTCTCGCTGCTTTTGGTATGCCTGACACTGTGTATGCAACTGTCAGTAATCAAAGACAATTACAAGAAACAGATATTGCTGATGATTTCACTATTATTTTGGGCTATAAAAACGCATTCAAGGCCATTCTTCGATCCAGTATGTTGGCTCGTCATGCTCCCGTCTTGCGTTTCAATCTTCGCGGTATGAATGGTACTTACCGTAAGGAGCATTTGGATGTTCAAGAAGATCAATTAAAAGCTGGTCTCGTTCCTTCTGATGCTAACTACGGTGTCGAGTCAAGTGATCGTTATGGTTGTATTAATACCGACATCGATGGGCTTCATATTACCGGTAAAGTAGATACCGAGAAGGGAGATTATTTATCTTTCTATAATAATGTTGCACAATCTATCATTGCAAAGGATCCTTCAAACTTGATTGTCAAACCCGAAGATGGTTATAACTGTATTCGTGTGATTGAACTTGCACAACAAAGTAGCGATGAAGGAAGAGTGATCACTCTTTAGTGTATTAGTCTAAATGTACCATAATACCATAGTTATTTTTTAGTTTTTGTAATAAAGCCCGTCTCATACAATGTTTAAAGTAAAACTTAAACTTACATGTCTTTCCTCCCTCCCCGCTACCATGATCTGACAATGCATAATAAACCGTTTTCAATTCATCTCCGCGTAAACGTATGTTTGTTTTGAATTTTTGTTGTTGCAGTACAATTACAATGTCAACACCAGTTAAAAAGGTTAGTGTTATTTCTAAAGACATGATCTTATAATGACGGCAATAATTTATGAGAGGATATATTTTCATAGTTAGGAGTGTTTGTTTTATTAGTCATAATAATTTATATATATATACAGTGATGGAAGTTTAAGCTGAGATGGTATCAGCATGATTTAAAAAAATTCGTGCCATTTTAGGATATTTGTACGCAGCAAAATCATTACTTTGTTGTCGCACAGTCGCAATTCTTGATGATCTTGTCGAATGATGTTTACTAAAGAAGGATATTCCAGAGTCACGCTTTTGACATATATCTTGATGACCCCTGTTTCGCCTATTATAAATCCAGTGTGTTAATCTTTTTAACCAAGTTTTCTTTTTTGCTGTTCCTTGCTGAGTATATTTGATACAAGGAAATTCATCTGGCATTAAAGATTCCATTTCTTGTGTTCGTTGCTTTTCTAAAATCAGATACATTTTTACGACAGGCCTTTGATCCTCGACAAACAGACGAACTTGTCGACGTCGAGCTTCTCTAGACGGTGGGAACTTAATAAAAGGAAATAAGAAATCGAGATAAACATTGTAATAATAAATTATGCACTTACATTGTTTGTGTGAATAGCCAGATTTTCTTCAGTTAACGGGAATGTATTCTCACCCAATTCGTTGGGTCCTAATACAGTGATACTGTCATCATCATTATTGTTTGTATCAGATATTGTCATACTATACTCTTTCTGGTTTGAAAAAGAATGCCTTCGTTGATTTCTTGTCATTTTCAAAAAGAGGAAGAGAAAAATAGATAGTGTGAGAAGAGGTTTTTATTGCTTTTTTATAATGCATAAATCAAGAGCATGTGATTGGTGGTCGGCTATTGGATCTCAATAAACAGCATCCATGTCAACTAAACCAGCACTTCTGGCGTCCTCCTGCATTTGCTTCTTTCTCTTCAACTTTTGTGCTCGTTGTTCTTGATCTCGTTTCTCCGCAAAATTAGTCAAAAAGTAGGCTATCGTAGCAATAGCTAAGCTTGAAGCAGCTACCCCCGCTTTTTTAAAAAAAATTGTCAGTTCAGTTACAGTTGAAAAGAATATTCTGATCAAACCTAATCCTTTCCAGATTGTTTCCCAACGAGTCGACTCTAATCCAGTTCTAACTTCGCCTAGTTTGACAGTGAATTTACTGTTTAGCTCCTGAATAGTCATATCGATTTCCTTCTGATCACTTCTTGTTTCATTCTTTCTGTTGTCCATATCAAGTGCAATTTCGTTTTTTATCAAATCGACATCCTCTCTGATATGTTGTGCGAGGGCCTCTACCTCTCTTGTCACTGAGAAAGTTTCTGCTTTTAATGCTTGTGTATCCTTTTGCCGCATCATTTGAATTTCCGTTCTCAACTCAGAAACGGCAGCTGAGAACAGATAACTTTCCTATCTTTTAAATAAATAATCTTGTGTGTTTTCGGTTTGATAGACGTACGTTTTCAAGTGCTGACTTCAATAGCAATTCTTGATGTAGCTGTGCAACACTGTAGAACTATTAACGCGTACTCTGATTTTTAAGTTTTGCCAATGAAATACCTTTCTCGTAACTTGAACTTCATACCTTTCATAATCACGACTGCTTGTTCTTTAGAAAACCCTTGTGTTTGCAAATCTTGAACAATATTGTAGGTATCAAAATGATGTTGTGAAGGTACGTCAACGGTTTTTCCTGTGACAGCGACAGTTTCCTTTACAATGTCGTCAAATGTGTTCATGGCATCATCATAAGGCGATCGTGTTGGATAATCTGAGCCTTTTGTTATTGATGTGGTCCTTATATGACGTCGGAATATATGAGGTGCAAAATGACGTACAAGTTGAACCATACTACAAAAGAGAAGAGAGAAAACAAAGAGGAATAAAAGTTGTGTTGGTTACAAAAATAGTTATGCAATCTCGACGTCACTACGCTTAGTCAATGACGGAATGGTCTGCGTTTTATTATATAATGATAGATTTATTTCGTTAACAATCATATGGTAATTTTTTGAACAAGACTATCTTGTTGTCTCAAGCTTTTCAAAGTGTTTTTTAGCAGCCGCGATATTGAGTAATGTTGCGGCAGATTCTAATAAGGGTTTAGTAAGGGCAAATACATAGCTACAAGATATACACTTACGTATATTAGGATCTGACATGACAATCATGGCATAGGTATTATTAGTCAAGACATCGATAAATGCAGTGAAGCTACTGCCTCTTATTTCCATACTCTTGAATCTTGTTTGTGATCGACTACAACCGAGGTTAAATTGCTTTATAATATTACTGATTTTTTCAAATCGATGATGATCTCCATGTGGGATAGTGGCAGCAGTTGCAATCACTAAAAATGTTGTTCTTTCAAATAATACTACTTCATCAGCATCACAAATACGACAAAAATTACTTAAATGTGATTCTAATACACGGATATTAGGAATCAAACAATGCACAATTTTGGACCAAGCCTACATATAAAAATAATAGCATGAATACCAGATGCACAAGTGAAATGATTAAAACATACAGCATAGAGTGTTTCATCCCAGATGGAAGTTCTAAAGGCTTGAATATTCAATGGCTCTGAGCGTTTTTGAAGTTCGGTCACTCTTTGCTCATAGATCTGAGTGAATAATATAAGTAAAAAAACGTACGTCCCCATAATATAATCCCTATATACCTGGTCTCTTTGATTTTCTGGCACAAGATCCATTTTATGTATTAAGCAAAAGATACGAGCTTCTTTTGAGTTTGCAAGAATGGCTTCCAGACATGACTGATAATAATGAAGATCCTTTTCCCAATCTCGACTTTCTACGTCAAACACATAAATGAGCACTTCAACATTCTTGAAAATTCTATCTCTTTGTGAAGCAAAATAATTTTCCATAAAGGCCTCTTGACTATAAACGTGTTAATGGGTCTGTCTGAAATACAAAAGCTTCTCTTTACCCTCCACAATCCCATAAATTCAACACTAAATTTCCCAAAAACTTGACGTTCGAATGTTCGACATCAACTATATACAAGTTAGGATGGGGGAAAATTATAAATGACTTGTTGTAATTTACTAGTTGCACCAAGTCTTCTTGTATCTCGAGCAATGTAATTACTAAAAATAATAGACCGCATCGAAGTCTTTCCGGACCCACTTTTGCCCATAAGCAACACCTATTTAGCATTAGTTTCAGCTACCAAAGTCATTTTAAAGTACAGTTACCTTTTCCTTCTTCTTCATATTGTTTATGTTTGGTAAAAAAAAAAAAAAGTGCATCTAAAAACTTGGGAGAGAGTATAATAAATTAAAAGTCAGAATTTATAAAATAAATGCTTACCACAATCAGAAATTCTTCGTTGATTATAGAACGTACAATGGTTTTGGCAGTTCTCTAGCCCTGAAAAGGAGCTCGTTTGGTTAAGTAACATATGCCAACAATGATAACATGTGATAGGATCGATGTTCCTTTTGAATAATACCTTATAATAAAACCCCGTCTCGTCATCATATCAATCAAAAGCAATATCGTTGACAGCTAAAAAAAAAAAAAGTTTGTATATAAATCAGAATTAAATGTGTGAACTACTTTATAATCTGACTGATGTATCATCAAAGAGGACTACCGAGATGCTCTCAACAAACTTCATGCATCAATATCATATAGAGAATATAAAGCAATATGATGAATGAAATTGCTAAAAGATCAAGCTTTTCAAACATGTAAAACCTTTACAACTACTACTATATAAACTATATTTGCTAAATTAAAGTCAGTTAACATTTTATGTAACAATTTCTAGTTTAAGAGCAGGCCAATGAAAAACTGAAATGGCCCATTAAGATAGAACCACTCTTTTTTAGAGCTAGAAACGTATTCATATTTACTCGTTTATCAAAAAGCAAAAAAGCAAAATTGTTTCACGCCAGAGTTCTGATACAGCAGATCAAAAAAGTTTTTTTAAAAAAAAGTACTAACAAGCAATGACAGTTAGCATGGATTATTTCTTATGAAAACTTACTGTCTGATAGTGGAGGTACACTGTATTACCGTACAGTTACATGCTTTTTCCAGCAAGTGTCTAGTTTCGTTCATTAATACAGACCTGGTAGTTTTTTATCAACGATGAGTATAAGTTCAATAACTTGTGGTTGTTTTTCTCGTCTTATGGAGAGAAATAACTAGGCGGCGATAAACTTCACCACACGAAAAGTATGTTTATCAACACTATCATGTTCCCGCTAGTTGTGTAACATGAAAATGGTGATATGCACCAAATGATTAACTTCCGAAATTATTTTTCTCTTTCCGTAACTCAGTGTTAAAAATAAAAACATGACATTTATAAACAAATACTAGTATTCTGTAATGGCATTATATAAATTACATTTCTTTATAAGAAAAAATTTTGATACCTCGGTAACTTTTCCTGTAGGCACATTTAGTTATCCAGGTTTAAAAATACATGCAGGCCTTAACATAAAGTTGACATGTCATTCCTACATAAGCGATTGGTAGACTTATCAGGGGGGGGGGGGGAATAATCGATTTTAAACCAAAAGCAGAAATACGAAAGAAAGAAAAAGAGGATCAGTCAATCGTCATTTTTTCTTACGGCGATTGGTTCATTGTTACCGCGTCAACTGATTAGGATCATCTGACAAGGGCACATATTATGCATCAGATAGATAATCAAAACGAGTACTTTTTTTTTTTTGGTTATTGTTTTTATGTGCAAAAGGTTTTTTGTGTTTTTTTTTGTTTTGCCATGTATATAGTATACAAGTTAAATATATACATGTATGTATAAGGAGAGGATAGTAATAGGAATAAAAAGCAAGAAATCTATATAAAAAATAAAGTAAGAACAAACAGGAATAAGCATATACAAAAAGGGCATAATTCATAAGAAAATAAAGTAGAGAAAATAAAAAGGAATGTGTGTGGGAGAAATACAGTATTTTGTTAAGATGCGATATTATGTGTAGTACGTGTGATGTGGTAGGGAGGACAAATATTTCCTGCTTTATCTTCGCATGAACACGATGTTGAGAAAACGGATACATCAGATAGAGAAGAAGAAAAAGATGATGACGTTGATATAGATTGCATTAGAAAGAAAGGCGGTCGGTTTGTTGATAAAGAGGAGGATAAGCTGGTCGGATGCATTGAATCCTTCTTTCTACCATCATTCGTTGATGTAGTTGTCGAATAAGAGAGTGAGGGTCGTCTATGATAAGACATTTGGTACGGCATCTGTCCTTTACTACTTGTCCTAATTATTGGTGATTGCATTTTATTATTGTTGAAAGCAATTGATGGTCCATAGGATTTGCTGGCCTCGTTTGATTGACATGAAATTGAGCAGAACGCCATATTCTAAAGGAAAGGTTATTTTATTAATACTTTGCTTTAATAAAACGATGATAGACTTACATCGTCTGCAACTCTCTTTTCACAGTACAAACAAAGATTAAGCTCCATAATGTCGACGGAAGAAAGAAAATAAGAAAGAGAAAGCGAGAAAGCCAGAGAAAAAGAAAGAGAAAGGAATAGAGAGAAAGGGTGAGAATAACTTTATTTGGTTTATACGAACAAATGACCAACACATAACAACAGAATTAAATTCCTTTAAGAAAGTCACGTACCTGAATCTTGCTACAGCGTGGGAAGATAACTGATGACTCGTATTATATCTTTTTTATTTTATACAATCATTGGATGACTTCCAAAATACAAAATAGAATTAAATAGAATAGAATTAACTTCGGAAATTTGATTTTCCGAGTTAATTTTACTTCTGTTCCAAAACACTGAAAATAGAATTAACTTTTTTGACCCGTACCATATATGCAAAACTCTACCTAAACAGCTATATTATCAGATGACAATGATGTTTGAATACATCCAGACACCGGTAACCAAGATAGTTTAACTATTATCAATGATGCTCCTTCCGTTCGCACTAAAACCCATCAGTTTTATATGCACAGTAGCAACTCACTGTTACTTCTCCTGAAAGGGCAAAAAAGACGGTTCTCAGAAGCGTAAAAGAGCCAAATAAATAAACTGTTTTGATAAATATTATTCATAGATCTTATATTTATTATCTGAATGTTATTAGCGTTTATCAGAAATAAATTATTTAATAGAAAGATGATTTTTTTGTTAATTTTTTTTAATTCGGGGGGGTAGGGTGGTCGAATTAACTTCAAAAATTTAAGCGGTGAAATTTAAGGTTAATTCCACGTTACACAACCCAAAAAATTAAGTCTATTCTATTTAATTCTATTTTGCATTTTGGAAGTCATCCATTATGCTGCCCTTATATTTTGTGTTACAGGCTACTCACGTGAGTTTAAAAGATAAACTAGCCATACAAACCTTTTGTTCATATTGTCATTGCCATGATTTTATTCCTTCAAAATAACCCTGCATTGCATATTTGTAGCACGTGGGCCGTCCAGGTAGTTGCCATTCTTACATAAAAACTTCTTGTACAACCTCTCTTCTTAATGACAGAAGTAATCTATAATGGTTACCTATTTAGGTCCTTTCATCGGTGTAAGCTTCAGGTGGGCGTAAAACAAAGTGCCTGGGGCCTTCTTTTATTTGCACTAGAGATAATGAATATTCTCTCTCAGTCTGGGAATATTTTACTTGAATCCCGGTAAACGTTATTTTTTTTTCGCACTTACACCCTATCTTGAGCGAGGCACATGCTACATTATTAAATTAAAATTATTCCGATTAGAGAGTGATACACGCAAAAAAGTTTTAGCCATACAATGACCTGTTGTTAAATATATTAACAAACGCTTGGACCAACTGACTCATAGTCAGATACTTTTGATTATGTCTGTCCTTACTAATGTTAATATTAATTGGTTTTTGCTTCTTTTCATAATATAAGATAATCGGAAATCTCTGTCTAAATAAATAGCACGGACATTATTTATTTATTTATAATCCAAGCTGAGCAGCAAATGAAAGTGCGACTTGAGCTGCCATTTTACGGCGTTCTTCGTCGGGCAGATTTTTACCTTGTTCTAATGAAGTCTTGTCAAACAAAATATGTAGGTTTGTTCTTATATTGTACTCTACCTCTCATGGATTGTATTGCTTCAAATGCCTTATCTAATCCATCATCCTCATCAATACCTCCGAATAATTGATCTCTCATACGGTTTACTTCGGAATAGGATGGCATATCTATATCAACACAAATTAACCAAACAGAACAACAAAGTATTAAGTACATTGAATTACTCACCGATTAAATCCTCATCATTATTGTCAAGCTTTAATATATCTTTATTTTGCTCAAGCTTTAATTCTTGAATTTCGCGTAGTAAATCCTCATCCTCGGCTATTCCGTTTACATTTTTCTTTACCATGCCATCCCAGAAGTTGGTCTGGATAATTTCTACGGCTAATTCCATACCAACTTTATCCATTGGTGTTTCGGTGGTCTCATCCATATCAACATAATCAAATGCATTGGCAAGACACCAATCGTTAATTTCGGCGTCCTGTTTCATGCTCAATGGGATTTTACAACTAGTACCTATGCACAGTCTGATACCTGGCTCAGCCTGATCCAGGAACGATGACCAATTCTTGATTGTATCAAACGAACTTGGGTCTGATTTATCAAAGATGAAAATGAATGCATCGATGACTTTACTCACTTGTGACTCTTTTACACAATAAGCTTTGATTGTTTCCTTTTCTGATGCTTTCACTATCTCGTCTAGCCAAAAATCAACCTTGGCTGTATAATATTTGGTATCGATCTCAAAAGGAATGCACACGCCAACAAGATCTCCCTGAGTTTCTTTTAAACGTTCATCTACTATTTTCTGATTGAATTCCTTGTTTGAAACCTGGAAAATGTCTAAAATCACTCATTGGTTAATCGTTCCTCTTCTTCGTTTCTCAAGCTTCATCTACCTTTTACACATTTCAGGGTACTGCCATTGGGTCGACTTGTCACGAAAATCTTATTACGAAGCATCGTTTCTGTATGTATATAAAAAAAGAAAAAAAATGGGACTCCCCTTCAAGTCGCTGATCCCATTTTTTTGCAGGCGTATCAGACTTTGTCCTCCGACCACATATTTTTTGACCTACGCTACGTTGTGGTATCGCTATGGTAACGTTTCGTTTGATTTAAGTAAATAGCCATAACAGCCTGTGATAAATAGTGAAATAAGTATATGTCCCATAAATGATAATTTTTTTGTCATTAAAAATATTCTATCGATAAATGTCATTCAGTAGGAGTAACTGCACATGACATTTCGTTTTAATAAATATAAAACAACTGATGTTCTGGGATTTTTCCTTAAAGTGAACCTTAAATCCATTATTGATAACAGCATAAGCACAATCTTGATCTAAATTTTGAGGTATTGTGATTACTTGATTTATCAGACTCATAGCTCTTCCAATTTCTCTAACATGAGCCGTGACGTCAATATAAGTCTTATTAAATTCTAAGTTGTCATTTGAATCATGACTTAATGGGACGTTGACCTCAGGATTTGCTTATGCAAACCACTCCTTGTATCGGTTCCTGATAAGGACCCCTCCATTTTATTTGGGGGTGTCTAAATTTCGAATCCTTAGTAATTCCTTTGACCAGGGTTGCTTTTACACTATGTATTACATACAGTGCCTCCACTCTCAATTTACTGAATTTTTGACCAAGCGTTTGAAGCTAATTTGACCAGCTTCTTGAGAATAAATTGACCACATTTCATAAATGATTTAACCAACTTTTTCTTCTTGTCGCCTTCATTTTTGAAAATATAAAAGGCCCTTTATAATAAGTCAGTCCGGTCAGTTCCGGTAGTATCAGATTTAGTTGGTATGTATAGCTGTAAACTATTGTTGAGTTTCCTACTGATGTTGTTAATTTATATAGGCCAGCATGCAGTTGGTAACTACAAACCCCAAAGTGGAGAATGGCTGGACGGAAAACGAGTGGATATTCTTCTAATTCCTATCACCACCATCACTGGATCATTACCGCCTGTCGTAATCGAAATACAAAACGTTGTCGACAAAGCTTACATACACAGATTGAATCAATATTGCAGTAATATGTATGATGAATACTGTAATATAGAGCCGGTTGTCCTCACGATTTGTATCAAAAGCACGCGGGCAGAACTATGCAAAAGGTTTTCTTGTAGCTCTTAAGCTCCATATTTAAAACGGCTGCCAAGTGACTTTTAGGCAAAGGAACACTTAATCATTACCCCTACAACTGTTACAAATTATCTTGATACTCATAGCAATCACAACGACCCAAATACCAACGACCCAAATAGCATTGACCCATATAGCAACAACAGCAGCATAAATAACGCTGAACCTCTTCCTCCTTTGCTCGCGCTAAGTTATGTACTTATGGAACAAAAATGCTCTTTATTCGGATTGCAGTACAAGGAAGATCTGACCGTGATACTAATTTACAGAATTGCTAAAGAAGCCCTGGATCATCATCTTCAAGACCATCAATCTACTGTCGATAGCTTGGTGGATGTCACTTGTTGTGTTTTAAGGTAAGGTTTAAATTATAAAAAGACTATAGAAGTAGTTTGAGACTGTTTATAAGATTGTCCTTTATTAATAAATGAAATATACGAGTATTTATATAAAAGACTGTCTGCTGTGTTCATATCTCTAGTACTATCTTGAAGTTATCATTGATTAACCAAAAATGTATACGATTATTACATAGTCACTAATTTAGTCTTGTTCTAATAAATGTTAAGTCTTCTTAACTCTCTTTGCTTTAAACTAAATTTTAAGTATTTCTCAGACATACTAAATTAGAATTGTGATGTAATATCCCTATAGTCTTACTATGACATTTATTGTTAAGCTTATATCACAAATAGTATCAGCATGGATAAACCTTTGTTAGCTCTAATATGGCTATAGCCTTGCTAGGTCACCACATCACTAAAGAGACTCAAAAACAGTTCAAAAGAATCCTTGAACCAACAATCGAAAATGAACCAAACTTGAAAAGAGTTCGAAATCTAGCAAGTGCAGGCGTTTTGTATACGGAGACATGTCTACATAATTACCGGTGGCAATACAACACTGATTATGACGAAATGCCAACGCCATCGGATCTGCCACCGAGTGTTGAACTGCCAAAAGAAAGGAGCTGTGGAGAAACTTTGTTTAACACAGAAAAAAATAGATGAAAAACAGGTAAATAAGATTAATAGTGCTTGTAGGCTTTTGTTCTTATTATTAGTTTTAAAACTGAATGACCTTGTACATTATAGTAGAAGGCAGGGCATTTATAGTTATTGGGATCTGTGGTTTAAAAGGTTATCTAATAGTTAGTGAAGGTACCATTGGGTGGTATAATACATGTCCGATGGTGCCTTAAATTTAAGAAGTCATTGCCTTTATGATTGGATTGATTCGTAAACAACGAACTAGTCTTATTGTTCTGTCAGAATTGAGAGGACGATGGTTCTAAGAAATCTTAAGCCAAACTGAGTTCTAAAGTAGTAACTCAGTTTTTATACTTGATGTTCTTTTCTTTTATGATATTGTATTAGGTATATGAGTCGATCATGTGGGATCGACGATTTATTTATTTTATTTTGTATTTTATAAGTGCGATTTTAGCACAGGAGCGACATTGACATTTTACAAACAATACCACCTGAACCATTTGATGACATGAAGTATGCCAGAGAATTCAAGAATGTATACTAGTGTTCGGAATGAGGATCGAAACTCTCGAGCGAGCTTCGATTGTGTTCCAGTCGAAGCTCGCTCGAAGTTTCTTAAGCTCGGCTCGGTTGCAAATACAATAGCTCGAACTTGCTCGCCCTTTTTATTACACAAAGTGCACGTCAAAGTGATAATAAAATTGTTATTTATTGAAATAGAAGGTGGAAAAAGAAAAAAAAAACTTTTTTTTCACCAGCCTTAAAACCAAATTCGGATAAATCATAAATTATAATACAGTTGGATTTGTGAACATGAAAGTTTAAATTAATTCTGCTACGTCATGTTACTATGATTGCTGTAAAAATTTGGCTTAGTTGGGTTAAATGTGCAACACTGTATCATTTTCTATACTAAATGTGTTTGTTGGTTGTACAATTAAATAAAGTCTAAAGCATTTTAGTTGGAATTATTAGAGCATAAATAAAAAAAAATGGTAAAGGGAAGAAAAGATTAAAATCAAGGGGAAATGCCATCACTAGTCTTTCAAGGACCTTAACTTTAAAGTGACTACTATCGACATTTTAGCCGAGCGAGCTTCGATCGATGCTCGCTCGAACCCAAAAAAAGTGGCGCAAGCTCGAGTACAAAATCTCGGTTCGAGCACTAGACACATCGTTTTGATGTGACATAAGCTTTGGGATTTCTGTCTTATTTTTATATGAGTATGCTCAGTATAATTAATGCTATGTCCTTTTGGAGTGTCAATGACTTTTCGAAACCTTGGTGGGCTAATATTAGACCCAATCATATGCATTGCACGTGTGTATCACGTGACGGGGGTTTAATTTTTAATTGTGTAATATATAATTTTAAATTTTATAGTATATATCATCCTCAATGGTCCAACGGCTAGGATTTATCGCTTTCACCGATACGGCCGGGGTTCGACTCCCCGTTGGGGAAACATCTATTTTTTAATTTTTTTCTTTTTTTGCTTACGTAATACTTTTCTAATAAACCTGTGTCGTAGCTTCGGTCCAACAGCTACTTTTTTCAACCAAATTTATTTTCTATTAAGCTAACTTTCAGCGTTGTGTTGCAAAATCTTACAACCTTTTCCTTTTCTATTTTAAATTCGTTTAGTTGTTATATCATTAGTTATCTTTTATTTGTTGATTCAAGGATATCGTCACCGATCCTTGAGATAAACTTTTATGTAAACCCATAAAATCATTATATTTAAATAAACCATTCAGTTTTTTATCTACATCATTATAATAAACTCTTACTATATCTAACCTATCAAATCTTATGTCTTTCATATAAATTGACTAATTACCTGTCTGTCTCCCTAAAAAATCGAAGTCTAGTCCCTTTTCTTTTCTCTGTAACTTTATTTCAAATTTTTTATCTTATTTATCTTTACTGGTTCGTTACCATATATATTTATCAAGTATTTACATAAAACAACGTGGTGCTCATTTAAGAACTGAAATATAAATCATTATATACGGTAAAAATCCAGTTAATAATTAAAGAAAAAAGGTTTTGATAAACGGTTATAGCGAAAATGAGACTAAAGTTTTTGAATTTTCTAGGGAGACAGAATGGATCATAGGCCAGTCATATGTATATAAGATGTGATATCTAATAGGTAGACTATAATATAATGTATATGGTAAATTCTAAACGATTTTTACTTTAAGCTTTATATAGTGTTACACGGCACTTTTTGTCGTTCTGACCTAAGTTTTTTTTATTTTTTTGACTGCTTTTTGGTCCGTTTCTTATAAAAGGACCATAAAATTCTTTACCTTAATCTGAATAAGTCTTAATACTTTAAGTCTTTGTGATTTTGTATTTATTATAATTGCTTGTAATTTCCTTCTGTAAAATCAGCATTGTAGCTATTCCATTACGTATTTAACTATACTCCTTCGAATACCACTTTTATCTGATTTCGTCGTATAAATTACCCTATTATATAAATATACTTTATCTTTTTCAGTTGACAACTATATAGTCTGGTGCTCACTTTTTAAGAACTTTTATCTTAAACCTTTATTTTTATTTTCTTTTATTACTTTTACTGAAACTTGCCAGTAACAATAGTTTTTGATGAACTAAGGGATCGGTAACGATACCCTTGGTTTAACAAAATAAATGATAAATAATAATTTGAAAATGGTTTTAAATATGAAAAGATGGTTGTAAGCAATAGCAACACGATTTTAAAATCTAGCATAATGAAAAATAAAGTTGAAGTTAAGATAGTCCACATTGTTACAATAGATTTTAAAGGCTAAATATCAAGCAATAATATACGTTTTATAATACTTTATAAATATGTTAAAAACACAAAACAAAACAAAAAAGAATGTACACTACTAAGATCTTTTTTTTCAATAAACAAAATATTAACAATCTTGTGAAGACCAGCCACAAATGGATTTATCATCATGGACCAATTGCCAGGAATCCCAATAATGTAAATCAAGTTTAACAGCAACGACACGGACAGTTTCATTACGACTCACTGTCTTGATACGAATATATCCTTCGTCATTATCATCATCATCGTCTTCGTCTTGATCGGGTTTCAAAACTTCGTCGTCTTGTTCCTTTTCCAATTGTGCTTGTTCTTCTGGTGTGCGTTGCACAGGAGGAATATAGCTGGGTCGACGGCGACGACTCATTTCCGCTTCATGAGAATGAACCACTTGCAAAAAGGAGTCGAGATCCTTGACAGGTTTGCCTTGCACTTCCACAATCCAGACACCTGGACGAAGTACGTTGGATGCAGGGGAGCCGTACAGTGTACAGGAGACGTACACACCAGCAGGCACATTCCGGACTTGTTCTAGCACAGCCTTATAAGGTCGTTGAATTAACGCACCTTGCCAACCAATCACGCGTGTAGTTTCAAAACCGCTGAATTCACTCATGGGTACGACTACATTCAGCTCTTTACCATCACGTAGGATCACCATATCCACCGTGTCCTGTAGATGCACAAGCATCATATGGGACATGCGAGTCACGAGCTTTCCATCCACGCTCAAAATGACATCGCCCACGTTCAAAACCTTGGCACAAGGACTACGCTCATCCAATATATTCAGCACATATAATAGCGTATGGCGTGTAGACCCACTTTCTTCAATTTTCTTGACCCAGACATCGCTGAGACCTAATGTACGAGCAGCTGCGATACGCATCGTCCAAAGCTCTGCATCCAATCCTTTAAATACCAACTTATCACTCTGTAAATACTTGTCCAAGGTAGGTTTGACCAGCGAAGATAGTAATCCGGACATGAATGAAATATCTTTTCCCTTTTCATTTTGGGATGAATAACTGACCCAGAGCGCCTGTACTTGACCCTGATCGTTGGTGATCAAACCACCTTGCGAGTTCAGTGAGTCGTCAATTTTTATACCTTCCACGTTCATGGCACGCCAGCGAGGCGGAGAACATTCTCTTGTACCAATATTGGAGACGCTTGAGACGGTGGTCTTTTTCATCACGACAGAATGATCATTTCCGATTCCGATAAAGTTGATTTCGTCACCTTGATTCAGTTCATCTGTATTGAACTCGAGTGGTTTGACAGGTGTTTCGCCAATTAAAGCAGGATCGTAAGTCAAGATGACATAATTGTAAAAAGGATGCAAGAAAAGTAAGCGACCTGGGATAATGATGGAATTGGCAAAGGTAATAAAGATATCACCAAGACCAATAGGGATTGTATCTCTATCACAAATGATCAAAGGTGGGTTTGTGGAGACAATAAACCCTGTACCGTAGAATTGTGTAGCCTTCATACCATCGACTAAATAAGGCAAATAAAAGTCAATGGCGACAAAGGAAGGCATCAGTTTTTGAGCCAAAGCCAAAGATGCATCCAAAGGAGGGAAAGATGCAGTGGATGGGGCATAAGGGATTTTTGCAGGTGGTGGAGGCATATCTGTGAAATCCCAGAGTCCGTTTGTATCATTACGGACAGCCAGTCTGAATTTATGCCAATGTCTGTCAACATGCATAATCATGACTTTATCCTTGTACGCTTTATGAAGCGCATAAAATCGCACAGGAACCCGTGCGCCATCAGCCAGACTTTTCATGGCCTCGATAAACGAGTCTAAATCAGGTGTGGGGATATTATTGACACTGACAATAATACTTTTTCTCCATGCACTGGCACTGGCTAACATATGACCCGAAGTAGCAACATAGACACCACTGGTAGGTTGAGAGTAGGATTTAGCCAACTGATAAGACAGTTCATGAACAACACCACCACCAATCTCAACAAATTTGTTGGGTGTAATCGAGTGTAAATCTTGGACAGTGACTTTGACATCCTGGACTTTCTTACCACGACTCACTGTGAGCGAAATTTCTTGGTCGACGGCGTCATCCAAGATAGCAAACAAGGCAATAAAATGAGGCACCATCTTGCCGTTGCAGCCAATGATGATATCACCAGGCACAAGAATGCCATCGGCAGGACCCTTGGGCAGTAAAGAACGAACAACCAACATACCCGTTTCTTCGGGAAATTTGTGACGTACTTTTTCCTCAATATGAGCCTTGAGACCAAGACGACGTACCTCGTTGTAAGGTAAATATTCGAATTCTGTTTGAAGAGTACCACGGGGAACGATAACGCCTTGTTGAATATAGGTTAAAGCGCGTTGAACACGATCCAGAGGCAAATAATAAGAGGAGGACGCGCGACTGGCACCACCGGCATTTAAAGCCACAGCATGACCATCTATATCCAAGACGGGACTACCAGAAGAACCACCACTAGTACCTGAAGCAGCCTGGAGATAAAACGTGTTGAAATCATTGTATTCACCTACACCATATTCAGGCGCTCTTCGATCCAATCTAGCTAAAGTACCAGCCAAGATACTTAATTTCTCACCTGCGTCGTTACTTTTTTTTTTTTTTTAGTATTACAGAAAATCATGCAAAATGTGTATTTTTTTTTTACCCAACAACACGAATATCAAGACCCACTTTTGCTCTTTCGGGAGAAAGTTTAATTTCTTTAAGTTCCATGAATTTAATGCGAGAAGGATCAAACTAAGAAGAGACGAGTTTTAGGCATGCCTTTCTTATTGGCGTCACTATGGCAATAACGATAACAACAAACCTTCATAAAGCCAAAGTCATGAACAGGATCACGATAGACAGGTAATAGGTCGACTTCCTCATAATTGGTCAAGACGGCTTGAGCTACAATAGGGGCGGGAGAGACAACATGTCTGTTTGTCAAGATGATTCCTCGTTCAGCATCCACAATGAAGCCCGTTGCCGTATAACCACCTGATATAACAAAATGTAAACAAAAAAAAAAAAAAAAAAAAAAAAAAACGCTAAAAAAAAATAGTGTGTTTTTTACCAGAGGTCTCTGTGTCGAAACTTCTTACATGACTTGCTTTAATGGAGACAATGGCCTTAATAGCAGTTTCTAAAGTGGGCTCCCATGATCTGGCTTTGAAGGGTACACTAGTTTGAGGTGCAGCCGTATAGTCGATAGGCAGACGAGGTGGGTTTAAAGTCCAGGCATATGTGCCTAAAGCCACCGATTTGGATCTGCCACGTAAAGTTTTACTATCTGCTGTTGGTTCATTTGTATCCAACGCCATCGTATTTAACTCTTGTGGTGGTTCGGATACTTCAAGTGGGTGTTGATAGCCGTCCATTTTGTTTATAAGAATAATAATAATAAAAAAAGAATGATTATAACTTTTTTTTTTTTTTTTTTTTTTTAAAGCAGAAGCGGGGATGAAACTTTTTTTTTCTCATAAAAACCCTTGGTATCTACCCTCTACCATAATATATATCACTATTAATTCATGCAACCAATAAAAAATGGTGTGTTTTGACGATCACCTTTTGTGAGAAAAGAGAGAGAGAGAGAGGAAAGAGCAAAAATAGATATGCATGACGAATGACGTACATATGTAGAAATTGATTGGGCAGTTTATTTTCTCTCAGTATGTGTGTTTTTATATATATATAAATGTGTGTAGTGCACCTAATCCTCTTCATTTGTTGTCTCCAGATTATTGGCATTTCTACCCAAACGGTGCACTCGCAAGTGTCGTCTCATATTACTCTGTACACTAAAATGTCTTCCACAACCAGGCTCCGTACAAACAAAAGGCTTTTCACCGGTGTGAGAATAGGTATGGATACGTAATGAGGAAGGTCTTGAAAACTTCTTGTGACAATAGGGACATACATACCGTCCAGAAGTATCGAGGTCTTGTTGATCAAAATTATGGATGGGAGGTGAAGAGGAAGGTATAAAAGATAATGTGGGTTCTTTGGGGCTATATGATTGTGCTCGAATGCTACTATTGGTTGGATTAGATGAGGATGATGTTGCTGGTGTAGGTGGACTCAGCATGAAGTCAACTGTGTTGGCTGACACAGCTCTTCGGTGAGTGGATGTACGATGATGCTGATGATGAGGAATGGGTGTATTTAATGGAGGTAGTGTAAATTCAGAGACAGATCGTCCATGACCTGATTTTTTTCTATGTGTAGTTGTCGTATTAAGGGTGGAAGACACTATTGGTGGTGGTGAATTATCATTGGGTATCATCCAACTAGGTGTCTTCTCTCCCGATGAAAAAGGTAGGCCTCTATAGGGTTCAACCCTATCTCTATCCTCTGGTGCTTGAAGTGATAGGCTCTGAAGGTCTACAGGAAGACTACTTACACTTCTCGTACTTCGATGTCCAAACTGTCTTTTCGGGGTCGCATTCACAACTACTTCCTCATAAGTACTGCTAGGACCTATTTCCTTTTTCTTTTAGTGTCTCTTTTTCTTTACGCTTCTTCTATCTTTCTTACCAGGTGCTTCTTGTAAAAGAAATTGAATAGATGGTAAACTGGGTTTACCCATTGACATTTTTGTATGAAAGGAGAAAGAAGAAGAAAAAAGAAAGGAAAAAAAGAAAAACGCTGTTTAAATTGAGTTTGAAAAAGATCGACACACTCTTTTTATGGGTCCCCCCCTTCCCCTCATAGCCCAATCGGATGCATCATCGGCAATCTATCACGGCATTACATTTTTATTGAGAAAAGTAATTCCAGCCTGGTGAGGCCAAAACGTAAATCTTATCTGACCGCCTCATAATCAATGAAGAGACTGGGTTGGTATAAACAAAGGATAATTCATTGCCCATATGTTCATCGGGCGCTCGCAAGATACCCAGCGGAAGTACGTCATGGTCCATCACCAGGTTTTCAAACAAAAATGAGAAGCACTTGTCAATCAACAAGGGTGGCATCACAACCAGCATGAGATGGCGGGAATGACTAAACAACTTGGATCGTACATGTGTACCACACATCAAGATATGCGCTGTGTCCTTGTCGTATAATGGCCCTGGCATACCACACAGTGCCTTGATGACAGAGACAATGTCAGGCTTATAATACGTTTGGCTCAGTAATACGTTGCTTAGCAACCCATCCACTACCACATTACCAGCCGCATACGCAGGTGTGTAGAACACATCCACCTCTTCTGCCACATCTTTTCCTTGTAACAAGTGCATAAACCGAATATTCGACTTTTCCACTATTTATCAATCTAGTTAATATCTCCTCTTGTTTATCACACACACCTTTCTTACCAAGGTTGACAATCCGAGAGGCGTCATGTGGCTTGTCTTTGAGTAATAAATCAAGCAAATGACTTGTCATGCTGTACAGCGTAAACAAATGGGGTCAATTGTCTTATTTACGTAGCAGTGCATCGATTCTTAGTTCTAACTTACATGGCTGGACTATCTGAGCTGCGTTGGTATTGGTCAAGACATTCTCTCTCACTATTTACAAGTGTTAACTTCTTATAGTTTCCTTTCCTTTCTGTTCCTCCATTTACCTCATGACAACAACTTGTTTGGCTCGCATGACACCTGCCTTGATGAGATCTTCTGGATGTTGACAATCACCCAGCATAAAATAAACCTTGGGGAACCGACTGACTCGTTCAAAGGTCTTGTCGGTAGGCAAGGATGTACACAAAAAAACGATATCTTGTAATTCATTGGGTTTTAACTGTGGTGATCTTAAGTTATAAATGAATTTAAAGATGTTGGACACTTTATGGTGCATACACACCAAAATATGTCCGTTCAAAAAATCAGTGGATTGAATCGTGAGTTCTTCCAATGTAGCAGGTGTTTCTAATAGGAAGCAAAGAGGGGAGCTTTCATCTTGGTCCGTATGATCCAATCCCAATTGACCTAGACGACTGATTAGTTTACGACTACCTGTCAATAACGCTAAACGGGGTGTAGGTAATCTTGCTAATGAGAAGATCTGACGAGGAATAGACCGGTTGGATTCATTTGACGTACTACGGCGTAATAATTTCGTGGGCGAAGGAGGACCAGAGGGATGTAAAGTTGTATTGGATTGTGCTTGTTGTAACTGTTGCAATGGAGCTGCCTCTTCTGTTTCTAATTGTTGTTGCTGTTGCTCCTGTAAGTTTTGCAACTTACTGCTATTTCGAATCGATTGTAATAGTTCGTTACGGAAAGAAGAAGACCGGGAAGCGGTGGGCATAGGAAAGTCAGGCTTGCTTTTGGAGGCATAATGACGACGTCTTGCCTTCATTATTTCAAGCTTGTTTCGCACAAAGGTATAATTTAAAGCATTGACATCATCTATTTCACGTGGGCTTTCACACATGTAGACACATAAATCATCTTCCTTGATGATATAGTTGCTTTCAGGATTAAGTAATATCTCACGATGTTCACAGTTGAGAAGTCGTGTCTTGACACCAAATAAAATCACTTGGCATTCAATATAGACAATCTATGATATGTTATTATCAATGTTGATTACGTAAAATTAAGGATTTATTTATTCTTACCCAGGCTGCTTCTTTAAAGGCTAATCCAATCAATGCAGCAGGAGGTTTATCCATGTAAATCTCGTTACACGAACCGTCGTCTAATAGGAATTAAAAAGAGAGAGATCAGCCTTATGCAGAATGCACAATTATGGATCAAAAATTTACCGTATTGAGCTTGCCACGATTCATGGTAAATATCCATGGGTCTTCTTTGATGCAACAGATTGGTCAACAGAGTGGAAGCACCACGGCAACGGCAGTTCATGGCCAAAAGGTACTGTTTAAACTCACGCACGCAAATGATTTCTTTTGCCATTTTTTGATAAATGGCGGTAGAAGGGGATAAATTATAGGTATAAATCTTGATATTGTGACTGACAGTGTAGCAATAAAGCGACCATAAACGCACTGTATTTCTTTCATCTTCCTTGTTTGGATCAACCGCATGTTGATCTACGTCGTTTTATAAGTAGTGAGTAATAACCAGATTTATTTTTATGCCAAGAAAACTTACCGGCAAGTGTAAAGATGGCGGTGGCTGATCTTGCTTGCTATTATGGTTTTTTTTTTTTAATTTAAATAATGCCATCACTTTGCATTTTTTATTTGATACTCACCACTCGTTTTAACGTTTGCTCATCCTATAAACCACGGTTAGAAAAAAAAACATAGCAAGAATAGTAATAAAAAAAAACATACTAGGACAGAACCATGGATAAATTGGATGCGATGTCCCCACATTGAATTTCTCTCTAAAAACTTGAGTTCTTCATTTGGTCTATTAATATCTAAAAATACCACATTTAAATGAGGTTCTGTATTTTCCTAAGGTTTTTTTTTTTTTGATAAATTAAATGACAACATTATGGCTCAAGTCCTTCATCTTACCGTGTTTAAAAATCCATCTAGAATCTCTGTAACTTGCTCAGGTCGAAACGAACCCACAAGTAAAATAAATGGCATGGAAGCTTCAGACACATAGCCTCCCCAATCTAAATCATGAGAGGGTTTAGTACAACTATTGTTATTGTAACTCAAAAAAAAAAAAAAAAAAATAAGCTCACCGTTTCTTTTGCGGAGTGTGTTCAAGACATCTGCAAGTAAACTAGGTAGTACTGCTAATGAAATGACAATTAAAAGCATCATGACCACTCTACTTCCCTCGGTATGGGGTGTAATATCTTGAAACCTGTTAGTATCTCCTTTCTTTTTTTTTGTTATGAGTTTAATCTACCTCCGTAACCCACAGTGGATAATGTGACCATGACGACGTACAAGGATTCTAGGATGGTATAATTGATGTCTCCGAATGTTACTTCACAATATTGAAACGCAGACATGCCGTTGTATAACAAGGCAATCAAGGTACCGACTAGATGGACCAATTTTGATTTCAGTGGATCCACAGGTTTTTCTAACAGAGAAACAGACAGATCTTAGAACAAGCTTAGTTTTGTTTATGACTAGATGATTACCTGTCATAAGTAGGTTGGTTTTGATCTTCATGACACTCTTAATCCGTAATAAAAGGACCCAACTTCTCAAGAAATAAGGTACTGCCAATAATAAAAAGAGGTTAATTAAGACATCATTTAACCAGAAAGATAGGGGAACTACCATAAAGGAACTGGCCATTTTCGATCCACATGGATATTAAAAACGGGTAAGTTGTGGCTATTTCAATGACGGATCTAAAACTAAACAAGACACTGAGAGGTCTACCTGTTAAAAAGATTCGCATAATAAAAGAACCGAAGTTCCAAACACTCAAGAGAGTACAACAAAACCTTGATATAGAAATTCCAAGTCAGTAAAGAATAATAATAATAATAAAAGGGCCATCATTATTGGAATAGTTACCAGAGATCATAGGATCTCCATTTAAACATCCAAGGAGGTGAGGCGTGAATATCGGCTTCTTGTTTCATTTCGACAAGATAGGCTAGACAGAGCAAGACATCCACCAGTAAATCCACATAGACCTGATAATATATGAATACAAGGTTTTGAATGTCATGAATGACACATGATCACTTACAAATAAAATGATGCTTTGGTTTGCAAATAAAACTCGTTTCGCTTCAGATACGTAAGCGTCATATTTAAACATATTTTTAAGCCTTGTAAAACTCGATAAAGTTGCATTTCCATTTCTAGATTTTCTCACTGTTATTATTTTCTTTGTGCCTAAATTTTCTTTGAGTATACCTTTCGTGGATACGAGCATCGCGATACTTTTCTCGAATTGTGCTCAAGTTAACCTTGTTTTTTCTAGGAACCCAATTCTTTTCAAGAGCTAAAGGGGAAGGCACATATTGCCTTACTTCTTCCGCACTAATAAGATAATAAAATAAAAAATAAAGTTTAACAAATCTTAAATCTTAAATTTTTGAAGTGTGTATGTGTAAAATATATACTTTGGGTCTAATTCGGGTATAATCAAGTCATTCAGAGGCATTTCTATAATATCGTCCTCTTCGTCTTCGTCTTCAGATTGTTTGGCACTTCGTACGATATGAGATAATGTACTGACTAGCTTAGGACGTGAAGGTTGGTGATGTTTCTGAAGCCTTTTTTTCTTTCTGTTGGCTACGCTGACAGAAGGCACTTCTTCACTGCTGTGGTCTGAACATTCAGACAGGAGTGAAGAGGTATTGGAAGACGCATGTGTGCCGTAATGACTGTCTCCTCCTTCTGTAGTTAATCGACTGTGTTCGTCTGGTTCTGGTACTCCTACTTGTTGTCTTAATTTACTTTCATTCGTCATGTTATAACGATATTAAGAAAGGTTTTCTTGTAAATAAATAATAAAATACAGGTGTAAAAAAGAGAGTGCAGGATAATTTTTTATTTTTTTTTTCCTCTCGGCGAACTTTATTTTTTGTGTGAGGGACTGTCAACAAGTAGGTCCGCGGGCTGTTAAAATTAAGTAGGTCTATTTTTCTTTGTGTGAGTGAATCCAACATTCCCTGCTCCACACTGATTTAAAATTATTTATACAGCTCTCCTTCATTTTAATAATTTTTCATTTTCTTGGTTTTTGTCTCTTTTTCCGGAAAGCACGATCCATTTTTATTGGACTCGCTTATCTGGCGTAACGTTGCACCTAAAAATCTAGGCCTCCTTTTTTCATATGTATTGTTGAAGCATCAGTTTTTGTTCATTAAAAGGATTTAAAACATCTGTTTTCGTTATCAGTAAATTAAATGAAAGAAAGGGAATGTAATAATCGCAAGGTTTTTTTTTAAATAATTTAAAACCATCTGAAATTTTTTCATTATCCCCATGTGCGAAAAGATGCATTGATTTCCTTTCTTAAAATGTCAAAATGCGGCACAAAAAATAAATTTACAAATAATAGTCGACGTCATTAGTCTCATCCCAAAAAAAAACAGAAAAAAAAAAAATATCACCCTCCCTTTTTTTTTTACTTCAGCAAAAATATAAAAAATGGCATCAACCATGTTATTACTGAAGTTACAGTCACTGGAAGTCGATAGACGTATCAAAGAACATGAGGCCATTTTAAATTCACTTGTACAGAAGCTCCCAAAAGGATTACCGCGTAAAGAGACTATACGGAAGCGGAGTGGTACCTCCACTATGCCCAATATATCAATACCATCAATACCACCTATCACGAGTGGTCCACTCAGTGCAGGATCTGTGGGTTGGACCAAAGACATAACAACATTCGCGCAACTTTGGGAAGAGTATTCAGTGGGTTACAACGGTAAACCCTCGATACAATCATTATATGCCAATGTACCACACTGGGTTCCTAGGGAGAAAAGAAGCTTCCATTATAGTCGTATGCATGCCATCAGATTGATCAACAACTGCGCAAGAGCACATAAAATATCCAAATAAATGCTGCTGCCAGGCTGGATATCAAGCGACAAAATTTAAACATGTCTATTGCAAAAGCGGGAAAGTATCCGGATAAATTTGCACCCTATAATAAACCATAATATCATATATTGCCTTTGGCTTGCAGATGCCTAATTTATTCTTCATTTTTCATTATAAACATACACACTAAAACGTGTTCATCCTTGTGATACATGATTGGTTTAGGTCATACCCGAAACATACCTTTTTTTGTATAAAAGGGTCGCGTGATATAAAAAGAGTCGATCTTTTATGTAACGCATGATCGTTTATAAACATCATCAATGACAAAATAAGTGTTTGTAATTTTTTGGCCTTTCCTTCTTTAAAATTTGATGTGTTCTTCATAAACATCAATTGATATGATCACATCTCATTTTACTACACTAAAACAAGCACCCTTATCACAGAACAAACTACAGCTAGCCGGTAAACGTACGAAATAGGAAGAATACAAAGTGTTCATGTGTTTATCACGGACCAGCAAAGAATTACTTAAAAGGATTGGTCCCAAACCAATTTTTCGTCTGCTTTATCATTATGCACATGAGAATATATTCATTGCGAGAAGAAAAATCACCACTTTTTGGTAAGGTTACCATACATACAATGGGTTTGGTACCAATTATAATCGATGTTTCACAAAAAGGGTCGCTACTGCTTTTGCTTTTTTAAACAATATGCTGACTCTTTATAAATGATAAAAAGATATGGTAGTACAAGGCAAAAGGCGTATAAAAATACTATCTATAAAAGAAAAAGTATTCTCAATGGCATACATTCAATTTTTTTTGTGCTGTCTCGCTTGATGATGACGTTGTCGGCATACTCGAAATAGGTGTTCTCCCTAAGCAGTTACCAAACCATGTAATGTCATTTTTATTGGCCTCATTGTTAGAAGCAATGATTTCAAACACTTCCTTAAAATTTTTGCAATATTCTCAAGTAGAGAAAAATGCAAGTAATACCGTAAGACCGGCCTGATTCACAAAGTTATAATAAACATACTTGGTAAGTCCTTCCAACTCAATTAAAATGCTTAGCTAATCAACAATGTAAATTGTTTTTGTGCGATGATCAAAGTGGATTTCCTGAGGTGAGCAGTCCAGCAAGTCTAATAAGATACGAGGTAATTTGTACAATCTTTCATTCATAAAGTCGGTATTAGGCTCATCTTCAATCTTTGGATATGTTTTGATAGCATTAGAAGACAAAGGAACACTATGATAAACAAAAATTGTTTTGCACTTGCGACGATATGTAGTGAACATCTTTTTACACTGAGAGTTACGCCTTTCAAAATTATTATGTGTAATACAATTAATATCTATTTTCAATAGTAGACATCCATTCTATCATGCACTATTTTTTGATTTATATGTAAATAATGCTACATGTGCAATATGTGTATTAATATACATCAATGTTGAAATCAAACGAAAAGCTAAAAAGGAATATCGATTTCAACATGGATTAAAAAATAAAATCCGAAAAGCAATTTCAGTGTGAGTAACTGCATGTATTGATTCTCACTTAATTCTCGAGTTTTTCTTTTTAATTTTTATAAAAATTGCTCTGTTATCGGTAAATCATCATATTTATCAGCTGCATGATTGATCAAGTCAATGTTAAAAATACTAGATCACCTAACTGTACGCCATGTCTATATTTTATTTATCATATTATTATATTCAAATAAGAAATAGCTATTATATATATAACGTACACTTTTATAATAAGTATACTTGCTGTTTTATCCTCACCCAAAGAGCCACATTCCGTTTACTCGTACCAACAAAATTCCTTGAGAAATAATTATTCAAAAGCAAGGGTAACACCATCCAAAATTTTCATAGCCTCTTCCTCCACGTTATATCAAGGCACTAAGTTTTCTTCGTTCAACATATTATACTTCCTAAAAGATAGCAGCTGCAAGTAATTATAAACTACATTTTACCTTGGAAGAAGAGGTGTTAACATGAAAAATATTTCGAATAAATATGGCTTGTCATAAATGGGGGATAATTTAATCGTTTCACGCCTTTTTGCGATTTTGTCAAATTAAATGGTACTAAGCGCGGTTATTGCTTATTTTGAAACCGTATCCGAGTTGTTTTCCACATCAAATTATAAAAACTCCAATGCAGCGACTAAATTGAGTATCGTGTTGAGGGTTTCCTAAAAGCAACAGACGTAAGTATGCATTGTTCGCTTTACCAGCGTTGCAACAGATCGCGTATCAGCCATGTTTAGATCAATTGGCTGTTGTCTAAAAAAGCTTCTTACAAACTAATCACATCCGCTAAATCTTTTTGAGCAGTCAAATGACCCAAAGTCTAAGAAAATCGCATGGAACTAGAATACTAAACTGTTCATAATATCGTAGGTTTAGTTCTATTTGCGCCAACGTACATAGAAAAGCCTCATACATTGAGACCTTCACTTGTTAGATAGACATTGTAGTAGCGAATGGTAGGTAAAAGTGATGAGTCGGATTCTTTTATTAACATTATATAGTATCCTTCTCAAATGTGCCTTTTTATTAATATGGGGCAAACATACAAAGCATTACTAATCTCAATTACAGCGTAAATCGCTCAATCTATTTTTGACTAAAACACAGAACGAGAGGACTTTTAATTTGCAAAGGGTCAACATATACATTTCAATCCTATTATCTGATCAAAATAAAAACGGAAGCTCGGCTTCCGTATGTAACCTTTTTATCTGATCGGAAAAAAAAAGAGAGCATAAGAATATACACAGGGCAACCTATAAAGAAGAGCGCATACCGCACGAGTCAACAAATGATGGTTACTCTAAAATTATCACCCGGATACCCATTGTTAAAGTGTTACCACAATTACCTAAAATTGATAAATATTAGAGTAGTTTGAGTAACCAGGCTTAAATGAACTCCTTCTCTTAAAATCTGATTAGGCGATTATTGGTTTTTAAACTGTAAGAATATCACAATTTTGTTGTCATGGAGACGGAAGATCTTTTTTTCACAACACACCTATGGAGTCTCCTTAACTTACATAGTAAGTTGCCCGAGCAAAACTAATAATTACGGAGTCATATGGGCCATATTCTAGTAAATTTTTTAGACATTCGCTTGGTAATACTTTAAAGCTGGTTGACAAACTCTTTGCAGTACCAAAATGCATCAATCTCGACAATTGCCAATTTAGCTGTCTTTGGTGTCCATTGTATTTGTGATAAGATCACGTTGACGAAGACAAGCCTATTTAATGCTAACAAGTGGAAAGTTGTTGAGTTGCGAAGCGCAACAATCCCTGTCACCTGGGATTCCAAGGTCGATTTGTTGTAAGTGAGTGACTTCCTTTTTTTTTTATCGGATCAAAATTAGAGTATACTTCTGTTTCGTATCTCTGTTTTTGGCTTTCGGAGCAAAGCATAGCAATACGCTACCTTTGCTATCGTTGAAATAATTGAGCAGCCTGTAAGCACTTTGTCGTGGAATGTTACAGCGTACTGCCGCTTTAGGTACAGTGGTACCTTCGTCTTGCATTATCTGTATGAACATGCGCACTTACTCGGGTGTGTACTTCTTGTACTTTTTGCTACCGTCGGAAGCGTACTAATTAAGACTAAAATCCTGTACCCGTTCTATTTCTCATTTTTCATTTACAAATGTTTGCATCCTAGTTCACCCGCATGCTTCTTTTTGACAGCTGCTTTTGAAACCAAAAAAAAAAGGACTCGTAATATGATGCGTGTTTTATCTGATCTTTAATATTAAATGTCCCCTTTATATTACCATTGATCTTTGTGAAAAAAGATCTTCCGTCTTCATTAAAACAAAATTGTGATACACGAGTCAGTATAAAAAACAATAATTGGTTTATTCGGACTTTAAGAGAAGGAGTTCATTTAAGCCTTGTTACTCAAACTACTCTAAAATCCTCTAAATGGATAAAAATTAATTTAACAAATGTAAAAATGATTAGGATGGAATAAAAAAAATAGGTAGTTATGATATGAATTATGAGTACAAGAGACAAAATATGGACGGTGATGCATCATACAAGAATTTTTTTTACTTCTTCGGGGTAGCACCGGATAATTCAATGGTTTCGTGAACTCCACCCCTCTCTTCGCTATCGATGGATGTCACGTCGGCGGAATCTTTGCCAACAATAACACCGTCGGTGGTTATAAATTGTTTGGCGTTTTCGAGAGCCACATCGCCATCCTCCTCCCACTCGCCGCGGTTAAGCTTTTCTACAGCTTCACGTTTTTCCTTCCAATTCATATAAACAAGGGAGAAGGCAATCATAATCCAATAAAGACAGTAACTGGTAATTGTACCGATAGTGGCAGTGTTATTCCAACCGAGAATGGCGTTGAAAATTTGATAGCCACCATTGCTAGCGGTGTTTTGTTCTGGGTCTCCCCAAGAGACGTGCCAAACAGCCGTTGTTACCTTGTAACCAATTACAGCGCCACTTTCTTCTGCAGCCTCACCGCCAATGACTTTGTTCCAAGCGTTCTGTTCAAGAAATCCAACTGCCTTTGACATTAAACCAGCAGCTACCAAATATAAGACAATTGTAGAAAATATGAAGAACCAGCGTAACTGGATCAGATTACCGCCGCGATAAATGATAAATCCAACAACAGCACCGCAAACGAATCCCATGATAACAGCAATGGGAATAGATTTGGCTGTAACATTCAATGAAACGCCACCAATAAACACCACAGCTTCAAGACCTTCTCTCAGGACCGTGATAAAAGGCAAGAAAAAGAAGGAATATTTTTGCATCCACGCCTTGAATCCGAGTCTTCCGTTTTTACTATTATGTTCCATAGTTTTAGCTAACTTGACTTTCCATTTTTCTTGCATTCTTTCAGTACGAAGCATAGCAAGGCCCATTACGGTGATCATAATAGTAGCAACGAGAGAAAACACACCTTCCCAGATGTATTCAGAATCACCCCACAGGTTACTGAGAACAGTGTACCAGACAGCAATAAAAGCAGCACCGATACAAACACAAATGAGTAAGCCCAATGCAGCGCCAACCCATACTTGCTTACGCAAACGTTTGTAGATTAAAGAATCAGTATCAAATACTTTTTTCAAGAATGATAGCAAAACAGAGACGATAATCGCAGCTTCACATGTCTCTCGAAAGATAATAAAGAAGATTGGAACATCAAATAAATCTTGTGACATGATTTACTGCACAAAGAGAGAAGAGAGTGAAATAAAAAAGAGAGAGAAAAAAGAAGAAGATCGAATTGATTGATTGAAATAAAGGAGATTGAAAAACTTTTTTTTTTGCCATGTATTTTCCCAAAGGAATACCAGACAATTGAGTCTAGATTTGGGCAATAAGGTAGGGGTAGATTGATTATCTACGTGGTGTTGTAGCAGCTTAGTATTGTTAAATGGTAAGAGTAGTGTGACAATACCCAGGCTCATCAACAATAGATAACAATGGTTCATATCAGATGCTCAAAAGAAAAGATAAAAAATCGCATGATAATATTTTACCAGGTACTTAAAGCATGGTTAATTATAAGATCCTTTTTGTTTATCAGATTTGATTTTCACATCAGTGAGACATTTCCCAAACAAATATTTCTATAATAGTATGATTTATTTATAATGTTCCAATGAAATCAATTGGGGGGTGAACGGAAGAAGTTTAAAGTACGAGAAAGGGGAACTCTGTGTAATTTTTTTTTTTTTGCCCCGGATCATTTTGAAAAGCGAAAATCTTTTCATCTCTCTTTTTTCTCTCAATCTTTCTTTTTTATTGTTTTTTTTTCACAAAAAAAAAAAAAAAGGAAAACAGATGCGTGTTGTCACTTTAGTAACAGGGTTACTATCTCTTAGTAGCATGATTCAAGCGGCTAGGGTTGTGTATGATATGAACATCACCTATGTCGATAACATCAACCCGGATAATTTGAAGCCACGTCAAGTCGTTGGCGTCAATGGCAAATGGCCGTAAGTCTGAATCATCAATTGAATACGGAAAAGGTAAACTTATCTTATTTTAGTATTCCAGCGGTTGAAGTGACTCTTGGTGATGTCTTGGTCATGAATGTTCATAACTCCCTGAATGAACCTACTGCGTTACACGCTCACGGTCAGTTTCAAAACGGAACAAATTGGATGGATGGTCCTGTCATGGTCACACAATGGTATTATCTATTTGTCCTGATTTAAATACCAAAACTTTAAATTAATTCAATTACCATTATAAAGTGCTATCCCACCAAATCACGACTTGCAATACGAATTTAACATTACTCAAACTGGCACTTTCTGGATCCACAGTCATTATATGGTTGGCTACCCTCTAATTTACTATGGTCGTTAAATAATACTAATATCGTTATTTAGGGTCAATACATGGATGGTCTTCGTTTCCCTTTAATTATTCATAACCCCGCAGAACCTTTCAAATATGACGAAGAGTTGACTGTTACTGTTTCTGGTAGAAAAGATAAGCCTTACATACCTAGATTGCATGATTAAAAGTTCCCCCCTTATTTTTTTAGACTGGTATCATGATCAAAGCTCCAATAACTTGCAAAAGTTCATGTCTGTTTACAATCCAACAGGCGCTGAACCAGTTCCAGGTATGAAATATGGTCGTGTAACATCGTCATAAAGTTTATGTGCTCAATTTTTTTCTTCTTTTAGAATCCGGTCTGATCAATGACAATGCCAATGTCACTTTTAACTTTGTGCCTGGAAAGATCTATCGTATTCATGTCATAAATATTTCTGGATTTGCTACTTTCTTTTACAGCATTGATGGCCATCAAATGGAAATTATTGAAGTGGATGGTGTAAGAATTTTGATACTTGCTTTGTAAAAAGAAAAAAGTAAAAGCTGACATGCTATATTTTTAGATCTACACAAAACCTCAATTGGTCGATAGTTTATATATGACTGCTGCTCAACGTTTTTCTGTCCTTGTTACTGCTAAAAATACCACTGATACCAATTTTTATATGCATGCTGATATGGATACCGTCATGTTTGATAGCCTCCCTGAAGGTTTAAACCCTAATATCACAGCCCCTATTTATTACAATTCTGATCACCAAAAGTTTGCCCCAAGCCAAGATGTTGGTGGTGATAGTACTTTTGATGATATGACCCTCGTTCCTCTCTATAATGCATCTTCTGTCGGATATGACCACCAAGTAAATCTTACTATCGATTTCCAAGTAACTACCGACGGTATGAATCGTGGAATGTTCAACGAATTGCCCTACTTGTCTCCTCTGGTGCCTTCTGTTAATACTATGTTTTCTATGGGTGCTGATGCTATGAATGTTGATGTATACGGCCCCCAAGCACAAGCTTTTATGCTCAAGCATTTGGATATGATTGAAGTTGTCTTGAATAATTTGGATGGTAATGCTCATCCTTTCCATCTCCACGGTCATGTATTCCAAATGGTGGGCCGTGGCGAAGGCGTGTACACTGGTAATACCTCTTCAGTCACTTGGTTGCTCGACAATCCTCCCCAACGTGATACCATTCGTGTGGATGGCGAAGGGTTTTCTATCATTCGATTCCGTGCAGACAACCCTGGTATCTGGATGTTTCATTGCCACATCGATTGGCATCTGGAATCTGGACTAGCAGCACTTTTTATTACAGCACCTGATGTAGCACAAGAACGCATGACTTTGCCTCAAGCATTTAAGGATATTTGTGAAGCTGGTGGAACCCCAAGTGTAGGTAATGCTGCGGGTAAAATGAGTCTTGATTTAAGTGGTGCACCCAATGGTGTCACATTGATTCCTGATGGTTTCACAGCAAAAGGAAAGGGAGCAATGGCTGCTTGTTGTATTTCCGCACTTATTGGCATGGCCGCTATTGTTTGGTATTCTTTGAATGATCCCCAAAGAAAAGTGCGTGATAGAATGGGTAGACCACCAAGCCGATAATTTTTTATTTTAATTTATATATCTTTTTTGTACCATCAATTCGCGTAATAACCCCATCATCATCAACTTTAAAAAAAAAGTTTCACTTTATATTAAATATAATGCCTCAACCCATTTAATCAAACAAACAAATTGAATGAATGTTCTTTTTTTCAAAATAAACGACTTTTGCATAAAACCCGAGAGTATTTTAAATACGATCAGTTTGTTTTTGAGGATATTTGTTACAATAACATTCCAACGTATGATAATCTATATTACTAAGATAATCATCTAATGTCTATAAATAACAGTTCTATGATGATCGAATCATTATAAATTGCGTTTACATGCAGTCGAAACAGGTTATCTTTTCCTAGTTCGGGAAATTCAGGTACACGGAAAAAATATAAAAATAAACAAAAAGATGTTTTTATACATTGGCTATTTTAATTTAATGTAGCTACACACTTTGATACGGGCCTCTTATATACCATAAATATCATGAATTTGATGAACAGAGCTGTCATAATTTGATAAAGAATTATAAATAATTTATGAGTGCGATTTATAAGAAATTTTATATGTTTCAGATAGAAAGTGACATGCTTTTATGGAGGACCCTGTGTATTAGGTAACATTTACACACACGCACACACACACACATACATACACGCCCAAATTTGTATTCCAGGGTTCTTGTACACAATTATTTTCCCACTATTTTAGATTACATAAACGTTTTGAGTGTTACTCCAGATTCAAATGATGAGTGCTAATTGTTTAAAGGAACCTAACTTGTTTAAATGTACAATTATCCACTTCTCTACTCCCTTACTATACTTGTATATCATAGGCTAGTCTTATACCATCCAAGTCAACAATAGTATGGTTTTAAAATGTTTAGATAAAACCAGTGAATATGAAGGGGCTCAGCTCATATTGCGGAAATATCTGCAAATGAATTGTGCCTGAATACAAGTAATTCGTTCCCACGTGTTCAAATCTAAATATACGAAGATTATCATTCATTTTACCATTAGCAAAAAATAAAATAAAATAAAAAATTAGGCCTTATACGTAAACAAAACGAATAAGCAAAGTAACACCAATTTATAAAAAGGGTTCAGGGTCCATCTGTTGCTTCAGGCGATACAAAATTACCGAAAACTGCCAACTAACTCGTGACAACTTGTCTAGACAAAAAAAAAAAAAAAAAAAAAAAAAAAAAAAACGTATATAATTGGGGTACATTATTTTTTCATAGTCCCTCATCTTTCTTTTCTATTTCTTTTCTTCCAACAATGACTATTTCAAAATCTATAGATATCTTGTTTAGTGACCTTGAGCACCAATTTTCAATCAAGAAAAAGAACCTGGACCCCATTGTGAAGGGTTTTATCAATGAATTAAACACAGGGTTAACTACTCCGTCTACCAAAATAGCTACGATGATTCCTTCTTTTGTTACAAAATTGCCCACTGGTAATGAAACAGGCACGTTTTTATCATTGGATATGGGAGGCACCAATCTTCGTATATCTGCTGTAGAATTAAAAGGGCAGGGACAAGTGCAAGTACTTGAATTGAAACGTGTCGCTTCCAAAGAGCTGAAAACGGGCGAAGGCTCCGTGTTTTTTGACTGGATAGCAGACGCCATGGAAGAGTTGGTGCATAAAAAGGCGAAACATCTTTTTGATACTGATCAACTTCAAGGCATAGAGCCATTAGCTCTGGGTATCTGTTGGAGCTTCCCCGTTCAGTAAGATACTCTTAAAACTAACTGATCAAAAATACTAATATATACATATTTTCAGTCAGACTTCTGTCAACCGTGGGACGATTTTAAGAATGGGCAAAGGGTTTACATTAAAAAATACAGAAGGCCGCGACCTGTCTGATATGTTACACGAGGCATTTGATCGCAAGGTATGAAAATGTATCCAAAAGATAAGACTGCAAAATTTACATATACTACAATAGGGATTAAATGTCAAAGTCAGCGCTATCTTGAATGATGCCGTAGGTACTTTGGTAGCACATGCTTATGTAAACCCAAGATCTCGCATCGGATTTATTTTTGCTACTGGAGTCAATGCTTCATACCCTGAAAAAATATCTGCAATGAAGGCGAAACTTGAACCCGAGTATTATCAAAACCAGGATGCCGATACAGAAATGATTCTAAATACGGAGATTGATATATTTGGAAGTGAGACTTACTTACCCTTAACTTCCTACGATCTAGCTCTGGATGCTGCACACAATCAACCCAAGTTTCAGTTATACGAGAAGATGTTATCTGGTGCTTATCTCGGTGAGCTTACTAGACTGATTGCTTTAAACTTTATTGAGTCAGGAGGATTGTTCGAAGGTGTTATTCCTGAAGGATTTGAAGAACCATACTCGTTTCCTACAATGTACATGAGTGCACTAGAAAAGTATGATACAGCTTCTATTGCCCAAATCAAACATATATTAACTGTCTAGTTTTTTATTCTAGTGATATCAGTGTTAATAAGGAGGAGAGTTTCAAGATTCTTTCAAACTATCAAACAGTACAGCCTCCTACATATTCCGATATTGTCATACTAACACGTATATGTCGAATCGTCTCCACTCGTAGTGCAGCTTTAGCTTGTGCCTCAATTGCCGCAATGATTGAAAAGCAAGGTCTAGATAAAAATGAAGACGGCAGTGATATTGTTATTGGTATCAATGGTTCAACATATGAGTTTTACCCTTATATGTCCGATAGAATTCATAATTCTCTGCTTGAATGGTTTGGCCCTGATGTTTCAGACAGAATTAAATTGGAAGTAGCCAAAGATGGTGGTAGCATTGGCGGTGCCTTGATTGCTATGTTATGTAGCATATAAAATTTAATCACATATTTCACAATAAAAAAAAAAATAAACATTTGATAATCCCCAATTGATGGTTTTTTTATAAAGGAAACATACGTAATGGAAAGCAGTATGCGTATGAAAAGATGTGATATGCGTAATTCTATTTAAATTTTGAGAATAACTTTGAAAAGGCTCCTTTTTTCTGCGACGTTGCAGTAGATGTTTGACTTAATGACACTAGATCTGGAAAGGACTGCGAACTTTGTAGTCTTGGTGGTTTTTGGTTAAATGCATTCGATTCACCATTATTGTTATATTTTGTTTGATCACTATCCTCTTCTTCCTTATTTTCATAAACACCGGAATCCATTCGCCATACTTTAATCGCACCATGCAGATCAGCAGAAACAATAATCTGACTGTCTGGATAATCGAAAAAGTCTCTTTCTTCGGGTGTTGCTTCCTCAAACTCATTCATTAACGATTGCTGCAGCTCGTCCATATTATTAAAAATTTGACTACTACGCTTACTTTGAGAAGAAGCCATGCTTGTTCTTCGTTGCGACATGGCATCATCATAATAACTACTACTATCCAAAAAAATATCTGAGTCTCGGTGGGTATATACAGGAGTATGCTCAAAGATGGTGTCACCGCGGGCTTTTGCTAATTGTTGTCTTGTTTTGGTGGGTGCAAAGATAGCTGTAGTTACAATATGTTGATGAGCTACAAAGTGCTCGTCTCTACTTCTCAACTTATCAATAACGAGTCTTTCGCCCTTCTTTAACCAACCCGTCATAGTGCCTAATGGCTCCTCCGAGAAAATGGTATTATTTTGCATAACAGACTGAAACATTTGGTCTCCTAGATGACCTAAAGCAACTGCAGCTTTAATCCGGCTGTCTTGTAAATGTTGGAATGGAGAGTATCTCACTTGATCTGTACACCACAAATACACACAACCATCTTCTGATCCCGAAATGACATATCGACCATCATCACTAAATGAAGCTTTTATTTGCATCGTTGAATTTTCGATCCCCTTGTATTTAATAACCAGACTTTTATCTTTCATGTTGATAATCCATATTCTCGAATCATTGGTAGTCACCAAAATTCTTTCTTCACCTAGTGGCATACCCGGCATAGGTTCAATACCAGTTACTTTTTTTCCTTTCTTGTTGTGAGCGTTTTTAACAAGAATCTGGGTATTATACTTTAGTCCTTGTGTTTCGAAAAAGAAAACGTCACCTGTGTTTGCTCCTACACAAGCGGTTCGTCCATCTAGTGTAAATCCGACTGCTGTTATCATGTTATTAGGGATTTCGTTCCAGAATGCCACTCTTTTCTCAGGAATACTCCATAACCGTACTTTACAATCTAATGACCCAGAAAGAAAAAATCGGTCATCCTTATTAAACATAACAAAGTTAGGATTAGTCCGACAGGCTAAGAATTGAACATACCTTAGGATGGAATTTGACACTACTAACAACATCCAAATGTTTAAACACACCAAGACATACCTTTTGTGATACATGCCACAGTCTTACTGTCTTGTCTAATGAGCTTGAAATAATAAAATTGTTCTGTTGTCAAAACAATCAGTTTACTGATACCGCTCGTTAATATTTGTATATTACCTTTGACCAACTGATGTCTAGAATATCTGCTGTATGTCCTTTGTACACTCTCACGGGAGCATCATGAAAGACTTTAACGGATGGCTCATGGGGATTGATATCTTGTACACTTAGACCATCATCTCGATCGATATCGCGAAGTACTTTCCAAACAGAGAGAGCACACGATTGACCACCTATCGCCATAAATTTTCCATCTTTACTGAATCTACTTGCCCATATGGCACCCATTGGCTCCTTTGACTTATCCAACTTTTCGTCATCTACTTTATCCACACCTGAAGTGGCATATGCCTCCGATGCATCAATTGCTAATGTTTGAGCAAGTATGATATGATTAAACTTTTTGTTTGTTTTTATTTTCGTCTTGATCTAAGGGAGGACAAGATTAGATCAACTTATTATCTCACTAAAGAGACTTACTTTAACATACGGCTTTCCATGTGGAGGTTCTTGGTGATGTATCGGATGATTTTGATGAACACCTACCATGAGGGCTTTACTAGATTCTTGACTTTTCCTTCCTGGCTGAATTGTGGGAGAGTCTGACCAGCTTTGTACTCTGGTATGTAGACGACTGCTTTTTCGTGGTATATTACCGTACTCCTCAAAACTTATACTGCTTGCTCTGGATTGGTGTCCTACCTTGTTTCGAACTTGCTCGATTCCTGTAAATTGTTGTCGGGGTGTAGGTAGATCATCTTCAGAAAAGCAGGAGGTGACTACGATCATTGTGATTAGCATGGCGATCCATCTGTTCGAAAAAAAGGAAAAAAAGAAACCTACTTCTTTTGTTCTTTGCGATTTTGTTAGTGGACAGCCTTTCAATGGCATCGTGAAAATCGTTGTCAGAGTAACTTGTGTCAGACATGTCGGGAAGGAAGGAAAAATGAGATACGTACGTCCTTTTTTATACGTGTTTCGGATGAATGCCAACACCGGGACGTTCCCAACCCCAAAAAACTATGTTGTTTGTGTTGTTTTTGTCCCGCTCACGGAGCAATTGGGGGGGGGGGAATGATCTATAATGATCGTCTGTGGCTTTTGGAAATTTAACAATTGTACTGTTGGTATGAAGCTAACATATCGTTCGTGAGCTGTAGTGACGACTTGTCATTCTTTCTCCTTTTTGCGCGAATAAAAATATCAATGATCATAAAGCGACACTCAAATCAAATTGGTCTTGAGGAGGATTTTTTATTTTTCCTTGTTTTCCAGGCATATTTGGACATTGTGCAGTCTTGTGATATAAGTGATACATGGAAAAATGAAGCGATTTTTTATTTATAAAAGTTTGGGATATAAAATGAGGTGTTTATGCTTGAGCAGCAGCAGCTTTTTCTTCTAAGTCTTGTTTTCTGGACTTGCTCTTAGGATCGAAATAGGGTGCTTCAGCTTGAGGAGTAACTCTCCATCCATGACGCTTGCCAATTTGGAGGTAATCAAAGATAGCATTATGTGTGGTAGTACGGTTATCCCAAACAGCAACACTGTTTTCTTGCCACTTGAAACGAACTTGGAAATCAACACCGCCAGCAATGTGTTCAAACAAGTGCTTCAAAATAAGATCAGACTCACGCTTTGAGAGGCCAACAATAGAACGGGTAAAACCTGGTTGAACAAAGAGTGCTTTCCATCCAGTGACGGGATGTGTACGGATAACAGGATGGGTAGCAGTCCAGACGGTACGACGAAGAACATGATTTGCCCTGAGAGCTTCATCGACTTGTTGTTGACCAGTGTGTACTGCTTCTAAACCTTCAAGAAACTCGCGGAAAGCGGGTGAAAGTCTGTCATAGGCACTGTATCCAGATGACCACAAAGTATCACCACCAGTGGGAGGCAACGTATCAATCTTAAGTAAAGTCAAACCGGCAGGTTGGTTTTCGTAAGTAACATCAGAATGCCACCCATCGGCACCAGTAACCAATAATGAAAAGTCAACGCCGCCAATAGACTTGTAGTTTTTGAAGGTATTGGTGTCAAAATAAACTACATGAACTTCAGGAAGTCCTTCAGGGTGACCAAAAGTGTTGTGGATATGACTATCAGTTCTGTTAATATTGAGCATGCTTATATATTTGGTTTAACTTACGGAGGTCCATAATGCTTGATGAACTCAATACCTTGATACACGTCAATGTCTTGATCTCTGAAGAAGACAACACCACGTTCAGCAACCAATAAAGCCAAGTCATCCTTTTGAGTATCAGTTAAAGCCGATAATTGGAGACCATGGATCTCAGTACCAATGTTAGGGGTGAGATCAAAGACCTTTTCAGCATTCTTTAAAATAGAGGCCTTTGTGGGATCAGCGCGATGACCAGGATCCTTATGTTCAAACAACTCGAGATCGGGATACTGTTTATTATAATTAAATGCCATGTTTTTTCTTGAATCTTTATATTATACCTTTGTTTCAGGGAAGACAACGTAATGGCCTTTCTCACGAGCAATAGATTGTAAATTGAGCTTTTCAATTTCTTGAATGATAGCGTCAGTGTTAGGAGGAGCCATTTTTTTGGTGTTGTTATAAAATTTATTATAATGAAAAAATGTCAGTGATGTTCATGCTTCTATTTATATTAATAATTCGAATTCGCAATCTCGACTGCTTATTTTTAACTTAGCACTCGATAACGACAAACAGATTTCACAATATTGCATATGCGTTAAAATGATGGCGCAATATCATGGGTAAGTATACCATATATCTTCACATACGTGGTAATGTTACACTAACTTACTCAATGGAGGATAATTCTTGTACTTGAATTACTTGTGGGGTAAAAGTATTCTTGGCGTACAGCTAATTTTGATTATATAAAACACGCCACCAGTAACTACAGCTGCTAAGGCACATACGGAATTGTGTTCTGGTATATCCCATTATTAAGTGGAAGCTTTCTATAATATATATTTAGCAAAATACAAAAAAAAAAAAAAAAATACGCGCACGCAATCGAGAAAAATGATGGCGCAACACTCAAGGTTTAGTAAACCGTATGTTTACGCCTTAATAAATGACGAATATTCTAGTGAAAACATGTTATCTTTTAAATAGCATCATTTGACAGATATGATACGATCATACACAAAACTTATCTACGTCAAGATCATCATGTTATTTTTGCATAGAGAGAAGTGTTCCTATTTAAATAGACTAGCCTTTTAGTAATAAAGTGCATTATTTGCTAGACATTTTACAAATAAGGTGAATAGTTCTTTATATGCTAAATATGCTATTATGGGTTTGAATGATATACAATTCTTGAACAATGAGCAAGATTACAGCATTACAATTGGCTTGTTTTCCATATTTAAACAGTCACCCGGTGCTACAGACTGGATTCATGGTACAAATGTTTATAATGGAAAACGATACGTCTCTAGAATGACACATATCCGGAGGTCCCCATTAAAACCGACGTATATAATAATATAATTCTGTTAAATTTTGAACTTTCCGTTGGATTGGTAGTCCCAATAACTGCCGGGAAAGAACATATCAGACATTACAGCACATGCACTGCTTCTGTTTTTATTGTTGTTGGCTTTATACAGATTTCAAAAAATATTAGACACTGACTTAATTTTTAATTAGATAAAAAAAATATTTACAGGAATTTATTTAGTTTTAAGACATTTCGGTAATCTACTGCAGCTTTTACTTGTAAGCCTGCTCCTTACCGGAGTGAGGCGTGGCAACCACATTGGTGGTGGCGCTTTGTTTTTTAAAGACATCGGATCGGCCATCGCCTCTCCAAATCGAAGTGGCAATGGTGTACATGTTATTGACGCGTACATGTTCCATCTTTGATGTTTTATATCCATCTATGTCAAGTAGCAATAATTCTCCAAGTTTTTTCCCGTAGCTTCAACTGTCTGTATATCATCTCAGAGACACCATGCCTATGCCCACTGATCTTTACGTGACTTTAAATCTTGAGGCCATCCCCAAAAATTAACAATGGCATTTTACTTTTGTCACCCTCTTCAAATTTCTTTTTGTGGTTTCTTTTTTTTTTAAAAAGAAAAAAAGAATTAGAAGAGGAACAATATCCGTGAGTATGTGAGTATTACCTAGAAACGATCTTTCCTCGTCTTGAGCTGGCTTGAGGGGCGTTGCTTAGATACTTTGCAGTTGTCTTGCTTCTTTTTCTCTTGTTATTTCTTGTTATTTCCGTCGTCCCTTATTGTACTTCTTTGATCCTTTAATTAGGATATTAAAAACATTCAGGAGGGCACGCTGTTTTCCGATGTAATTACATCATTTGACTCTTGCTGTCTGAAAATTGTAAAAATTAAACAGTGTGTCCATATTTTGCATCATGTATTTCACATGCGTAATATATTCATCTGAAACTTTTGACTTCACAGAAGGTATATTTGTCTCGGTTGCTTGCACACCTTGTCCTTTCTTCCTGTCTTGCTCCAACTTCAGACGATTGGTACTCCCATTTATGTTGTAATATTCGGTTGATGATGGCCGCCTAACATCTGTGTTACCATGAAATGACAAAAAAGCATCTTTCCTATTGGGATCTACTGAGCAACGTCTAAAATAACGATTTATTTCTTCACTATTGAAATCATGTAGATCCAAAGAAGGTTCATTTACAGGCAAAAAGAGATCTTACAAGTGTACCCGTCTGTGTACAGGCTATTAATGTAAGTCTTTCCTTTACGCTGAGGTAAATTTTTTGATTTTTCAAAGCTATACAAGTTGAAAATTAGCACGTTTATTTGTATGTGCCTACGTATCATTGTTTAATTTAGCAAAATTAAAACGAAAAAAAAAGACCTTTGGGTGTGTTCAAAAATCGCTTTTACCTCTACCGTTCCAGTGAAGCCGTCGGAAACACACCAGTCAAATTTTGGCTACCGACTAATGCAAGCTAGGATTCGGAAATAGACTAAAGAGACGAGGCGGCTGGAAATCTCTTTTTACGTCATTGTTGTTGTTGATCCTTTCTTTCTTCTTTTTTCTTGGTCTGTTATTTACTTGGTCAATCTCGTCTGATTGTTCTTGTGGGATGATTTGTAATTAGGAGACAGGAACAGTTAGCGGAGTTTCCGCAATCAAGGATTCATATTTCTCCAGAATATGCTTAAATAGTGGCATAATGCTGAATGGAGCATTATTTAGAGTTGCCTTTGTTACAGGAAATGCTGGTATACAAATCTTTATCTCCAATATCAATGGATTTAAAAGCGCACAATTTTTTTCTTGCTCTTCACTGTTCAAAGAAGTGGGAAATACTGTCAGCATTAATGGCTCCTAGTCCTGGAGAAAACGTTACATTGAGCACATGTCCGTACACTATATGCTTTACTACGGGTATTTTTATGTCCTGTTACAAAAACGGTAATTTATGTCAAGTTTTTAATATATATTTAACAAGGTTTACACTTATATGAAATGCTTGACGGATTATATATATATATATATATATAATAGTTTGCAATATTATTTTCAAAATTCTCTATGCAGTAGTTGTTATAACAAGTGGCTATAGATTCACAAGCAGATGAAACCACTTGGCCGTTAAGATTTAAGACGCCTTTATCAACTGTCAAATTGACGCCTTCAACACTGTTAAGCCCTACCCATACTTCCACGAGATGGCGACTAAGTGGATATAGTTTTGAATAGATAAATTTTGGTACACCACTCTACACACGCTTTACCAAAATTTTTGTTTCAATAATTCGTTAGGCAAACTGTTTAGATGTTTCAAAATATAAAAATTAACAAAAAGCTGAGCGCTGAATGCGACCTTTCGCAAAAACATAGAAAGATTTTTGATTTTTTCAACAGCATCCTCATCCACTGAAGACAATGTGCGTAGTTATAGTCTTGGATCAGGTACCTGTTCTTTTCCACCGCCATACGTTTTTTCTATGTCATAATCTCTATCATCTTCTTTTCCTCCACTAAATGCCTTACCCAATTATAATCCCCTCTATCGTTACATCACAAGTAAACCATTTCGATTATCTGCACAAGTGTAGAAACCTTTGTCGGTACCTCCATACTCTCTTTTTCTCACTTAAATCGTGAAGTGTTGGTTGAAAATAATTTGCCGTCCTCGTTAAATTCCTTGTGACATTATCGATACAAAAAATTGTATTGACTGGGACGGATATCTTGTCTATTTATTTTTTACATTTGTCCGAAACAATTATAAGTCTGTATGAAAATAATTTTCACTTGTTTGAATTATAGCAATGACAGTAATGATGCGGTTCATTTATGCTCTATTCCAGCTAATACAGTACCTTACTAACATTCTAATCAAGGTTTTTAATTGGACATCATGGAAGGAAATGTTATTTCAAATAAATCTCCTCTGACCCATGAACAATCGGAATGTGTAATTGAAAAAGATTTTTTTTAGAAAGAAAATATTTATTTTGTTTCAAACATGGTGGATATAGATTACAAAAATAAAGTCGATAGGCCGGCTTAAGCAGAGAATTCCTTGATCTTAGCTTCGATGTTAGCAACGTTGGCACCAACAACCTCTCCGAGCTTGACACCATTCTTGAAGTACATAATGGTGGGCATAGCACGAACTTGATATTCAGCAGCAACTTCCTATTTTCAGATATTAGCTACCTGAAGCACACACTCTCGCTTATATTTATTAAAACTTACAGCAACATCATCAACATCAACCTTGGCAAAGACAACGTCCTTGTATTCACCGATGAACTTGACCAACTTGGGAGCAATCAACTTACAAGGTCCACACCATGTGGCCATGAAGTCGACAACAACTAACTTATCTTGAGCGATCAATTCCTTGAAGGCAGCGAGGTTCTTGGGTTCTTGGAAAGACATATTTAAAAAAGTGATAAAATTATTGAATAAAAGAAGAAAAGCGTGTTTGCCAAACAAATTAGTCTACTTTTATACCAATTTTAACTCCGGGAACTAAATTTGGCGATTAGCAAATAGATTACTAATGTCTCTTTAACAATTCTTGATTGGATAAAATGATTACTAACCACAGAATTATTTTTATCAATTTTTATTTGATGACGATTTTTGAATTTGTGTGTTTGTCATCATTTATCTCTACCTATGTATACTTCATAATGATGATGTATTTCGAGCAGCTAATAATTTATTAATTTATCAGTCAATTGACAAAACGAAAAGAAGGTTCAGGAATGTTTATTAATTCAGCGTCACACGAGATCAAAATAGCTTTTTTTTTGCACAGCGAATTTAAATATTTTGTTCTTGATTGTGCGATCAAGAACATTTTTCTTTTTTTGAGAGGGTATTACTCAGTTTTTATGTTTGACATTTGCAACACTTTAACTAAATACCGACCAATCAAATAGGATGATGCGATGAGACGTGGGATATTAAAAACTGTTTATTTAAAGGGGGTTGGGAAGAGTGACAAATGTGCAAAAAAAGGGAGTAGAAAAAAAAACTGAGGTGTAGATAATGTACAAAGATGTATATATTAATGGGAGAGAAAAATCTCGATCTATTGATGATAATATGGATGACTGAAGTTACTATCGTCCAACCTGAAATCAAAAGCCTGTTGTTGCGTATTTATCATGGCCATAATTTGATCGTTCGAAAGTAATTGATCGTGAGAAACTACGATTTATTAAGTGTCAGTTACATAAAGAGTATTAGTTTTTTATTACTATTATTACCTTGTTGTTGTAGAATGTTTTCAAATGCGGTTGGATCGATCCAATCCATGTTGCCTTCAACAGGTTCCCCGGGACCAAATGAATGCATCTCTCCCTCATGAACAGGTCGAGTTCCTGCATCCCCATAATAGTTACTAAATTCACTGGTGTCTTCTTCTTTAATAGGAGCATCACCACTTCCACGAGCATAGAAACTATCAAATGGATTTACGTCCTCTTCTCTATCGGGTGTTGCTAATGCAGAAGACATGAACGGTTTGTATGTCTTTGGGTTATTATAGTATCGACAAGAAGATCTTACGGAATAAGATGAAGACAACATCATATTGTTGTTGTTATAGTTGTTGCTATTGATGTTGTTATTATTATTAGTAGTATTATTAGGTGTAGTAAGTGTATTGTTATTAGGAGATTCGCCCATTGTCAAAGGTACAGAGGAAGAGTATTCATGATGAACGGGTTTAGGTGATGAGCTAAGTCTTGGCGAATAAGGGGAATATCTTCTAGAAATGGCAGGCGGTGAGCCGATATGCATATTTGCAATGGATCGGTGTAACGAAGCGCCTGGCGAAGAAGGTGAAATAGTATGGATAGGTGAACTGTTATCTGGGTTATGAATCATGACTGGTGAACTGCTTTGGAATGATCTTGGTCTTTGAGGTGTATCGATATTTATAGAGCGCGAGAAAGGAACTGGTTGCGAATGTCGGTTGGATAATAATCTACCACCACTACCTGTACTACCATAACTTCCTGCACTTCTCCCACCTTTTGAAAGATCTCTCTCTTCTTGTAGTCTTTGTAATAAAACAGCTTTCTTACCAGTTGCTGGTTTACCTCTCTGTCTCAACATCTCTTTTAATTCTGACACTGTGATATCATCGAAATCCACTTTATCCAATTGATTGTCTAATTGCTTCTGATGTGATTCGGCATCGAAAGGTTGCAAACTATTTAATCTTGGCACTCTTTGAATCTGGATTGGCATAGTGCGAGACGGGAACGAACTAGACAATTCTTCATCTGTCATCACTTGACTACTAACAGAAACAGCCGCATTAGCCGCAGTAGTAGCAGAAGCAGTGGTGGTAGTATGATTAGCAGCATTTACAGTAGCAGGAGTAGTAGTAGGCTCCAGTGAAAGCGATGGCTTATCTTGTAATGCCTGTTGCTGAGGTAACAAAGACTGTTTAGGTGTTTTACTAGAAGCTGGCTTCATATTATTGGATGTTTGCTGTACAGATGGCTTACGCGCATAATTCACTCTAAAACGAGCTTGCAATTCATTGAAACGACGCTGATGATCGACCTTATCATCGTCATTGATTGTAGTTTTCATCACTACCTGCTGTCGTCTATGGTTAATCCTTTTCGATTTCTTATCTTGATCTTCCTCCTGTTCTATTTTGACAACAATTGGCTCAAACATGGCAGTAAGATTTGAGACTTGTTCCGGCCTTTCATCATCATGAAGTAAACGAGAATGTAATTCTTTTTGCTGGTCATGCAGTAATTGATGTTGACGCAAAAAATTTGGGTCGTTTAACAAAATTGCTTCTTGTTGAGGATCAAGTTGTTGCTGTGAGTAAAAGTCCCAATTATGATTTGAATCAAATAAAGGGTCAGTAATGATATTGTCATAATCTGCTAATGGGCCACTTAATGTAGATGGGTCTAAAGGTTGACTAAATAACGGTCCGTCATGGTTATGTTGAGAATGGTGTTCGCTGGAGCTATTATCGTTATTATTGAAATAATACATTGATACAAAAAAAAAGAGAAAACTTAAACTAGAATTTTTGGCTTGTATGGCATGTCTGGGGTGACAAGTCACAGAGAAAAATTAGTTACCGGCTCACCCGGAGATCCTTGCATAGCTAATCTGGCTTGCATGAGATTATTTGATAAGTTGAACCTTGAACACATTATGTTAGTAAAAAGTATATTTAATCATAGAGTTTTAATTATTTACTTATTTGGATTATTTACACCACGGCGGAAAGGTAGGAGAGTAAGACCATCTTCTGAAACTAATGCTGAGAATCCTATCAGAGCAATGTTTAACGCACCATTTTGGTCTCGATTTGACGTGGTTGACTTGTTATGCATGCGTCTCGGACAGTTTTTGTTAACGAAAACTACTGCACCTTTTATTCTTTTTATTGTGTTCCCTCTTCTAACTACTTGCTTAGTAGTGGTTTCAAAACACGAAGTGCAAGTAATAGTTGATTTATATTCGTCAACAACCATAAACTTGTCCTTGTCTGTCTTTTGAAGCTCTGTAATTACTGGTTTTAGGCTTCTCCTAGTATGACCCTTCATAAACGTAGTAATACCGGACCAGTTTCCCAGAAATGACCATACGACATTGTTATTTCCCTTTCCTACTGATGTAACAAGTCTTTTTCTGTGGCGGCTAAAAAATAATCGATATAATTTTTTTGTACGTATTTTCCTAGTAAGCCTTTTTTTTTCCAGATATGAAACATCAGTTGTATTTTCTGGTTTTCTATCCTATGTCGTTCTTGTCTATGTTTTGTGGAAAAGGTGGCATTGTTCACCATCTTGGCCGTAAATTCTAAACTAACTTGTTTTTCGTTTGTAGTAGATTCTACTGAATCCAAGTTCTTTAAAGCAGTATATCTGTTTATACTTTCAAACAGTAAAGAGCTTGATGTGCCTTTAAATGAAGCAGTAGTCACTACCCCTGGGTCTATTCCTTGGACTGCAATTTCTCCTTTTGCTAAAGATGTTATATCTTTATCCGAAATGGCTTCCTTGTTTATATTATCTGCTGGCTGAGGCTGCTTGTGCAATATTTTATTCAATCTATACATTTCTGTTTAATTGTTAGAGATAGTGGCACGTACACTCTTTAACTCCGGATATATCTTGTCACAATTAGCTCTTGCTTCTTTAAGGTCGTTGTATTTCACCTCGTCCCATTTATCCTTGCCTCTTTCTTCAATTCTAAAGTTTCTTGCTTGATCCATTCTAAGTTTTTCCAATGGAAGAAGTAAACGGCTTAGACGTGCCTGCTTTGCTTTAGACTCTTTGATTCCTACGTTTAAATTTCGAACAGCTTCTTTTAGATTGGCATTATCATTGTGGCCATCATTATTCTTATGAGCTTCCTCCAATTCTGCACGCGCCTTTAAATCCAATTTGGAATAGTTTTTAAGTGTGATTTCGACTCCTAAAAACTGTAGGGAATACCGACTTGAAAATATGAATGAAAAGGTTGGATGTAATTTCTGTTCTTTCAATATTCTTTCTAGATAACTTATATCAAAAAAATTTGAGAATATCAACCGTTTGTCATTTTCCGTAGAGATATCCAAGTAGTTTGTGAAGTAAGTATTTTCTGACTTGTGTATGTTGTACGATTTAGCAAAGAGCAAGTAAAGTGATTTACTGTCCACCCTAATAGAGATTTTTTTTATCTGAAATCGGATACAGGCTGCAAACACCCATTCTATTTCTTTTATAATGTTCTTTGGCGTATCTCACAATCAAATTTCGAAGCTTTCTCATCCCAAAAAAGCTTCCCAAGCACTCCTCATCCTTCTTGCAACGTATTTTTCTGAGACCATTAACAAGTTTTGCGCAAAATCTAGAGCTGCTCTAGGAATGCTTTCTTGCGTATCCAATTACAATTTTTTAAATATGTTTTTGGCATCCACTTCATTATCAATCGTTGATGATTGTATCAGCATAATACAAACAGTGGATAGAGCCCTCACCTCCTTAGCTGTTAAGTCCGTTTGCGTATTATCCAAAGTAACCGATTTGTCATCATTCAAATCTGAATGAGATTTAATCAATAAATCGGCTTCATCCTCGTGTTCATCTTCATCTTCGAAAAAAGACATATCAGCATCTACGGACGAAAGCTTTGTAACCATCATTATATTTTCTTTGTCGCTGGCTGTATCTGTAGTCTGAAACAGTTTCTCCATCAATTGTTCTATGACAAAGAGCTTTCCCCTTTTTTTATGCTGATTATACTTTAAAAGACATTCAAAGAGCTCGTTCATTATAAATAAGTTTTTTGGTCTTCTTTTTGCCAGAGGAGAATTCTTTTGACGAGGAGGCTTTTGAAGCTACCATGGAGGGTTTAGAAAAAAATCTTTGTTTGCAAAGATTAGCTCTTATAATAAGAGTTACTACAACTTTTAAATCCTGCATGTACTTTTGATAAGTCCACATATATTTGTAAAGTTCGTGTAGTATTGACGGCAGGCGTACGAAATAGTAGGAGTTGTTACAAAATCACGCATGTGTCGTGCTTCCAAATTGCTTTTGATGAACTCAATAGCTCTTTATCGGATCATAAAAATATATGTTATTATTTATAAGGATGATATATAAAAATTACCTAAGGGTGCTTATTTTTTGAATTGATTTTTCCTCCAACGCAGTAGAACAAAACAGACCAAAAGCCAAGATAAGTCAAAATACCACTATCATCAAGGAACTCTTTTTCGGCAGGACCTAGGATTGCAATAGGTGTTTTTCTTAGATGTGCTTCTATATCATTAAGTCCGGTACAACTGTAGTCGAAGTAGAATTTAGGCTTCGAAGAAAAAATAGCGCCAGAAATAATAGATTCACTTAATGAGCCTATTGCTTGAGACATTCCATGCATACTTAAGGTGCATTCGTTTTGTAAAGCTTCCATGCTTTGTAATATATATTGTAATCAAAGTCTTTATGGATTACTCTTTTAAGGCTCCTACTGACTGTACGGTAGTCATCTTCTATTGAATCTGTATTGGCAATACCTATTTCTGTATCATTTTCAGACTCAAAAGAGGGAATAGAGGCGCTGCTGCTGCTTTTTGACGTTGATTCTAACGATTTTTAATTCGTAATTTCAGCAATAAAATTATATATAAATCCATCGACGGTAAATTTTCCTTGTTGTTTGAGTCGATTTATTTTTTGCTGGACCCACAAACCAGATGCTGGAATATCCGCTTCCTTAAAGGTATCAAACTGATTGCTTTTTATCTTTTGTTCGAGTTTAGCTTTGATTACAATTGCGGCGCCTGTTGGTAGGCTTTTTCTAGAGAGACTTTCAGAAAATTTTTTGGATCATATTGGATTTATTTTTTTGCTTTGTTTGGTATGAAGACCATTTCTTTCGATACTGAAATTTGACTTCTTCCTCCAGTAGACATAAAATTTCATCATCAAGATCATTTCCAATTTTGGTATAAGCTTGTCTTGGTTTTTTCTCACTTACTTGTCTTTTTTCTGCCGCGAGTGTAGTAGTAGTATTAACAATGTTACTCGACTTTTTAACATAGACACCAGGCTTTTTTCTCAACTCCAGCGAAAACCATTCCGTAATAAACGAATCGCAATATTTGAATATAGCAATATTTGAGACATTGGTTTTATCTAATTGACTATTTGACGGTGGATGGATAACTATTGGCTTTGCTCTTGATGAAAACAAATAAATGCGGCAGTTATAAATTCGACTACAAGCATATAATAAAAGATTCCCTTTAGGTACTACTATTTTTCCGTCATACTTTTTGGATTTGATTATGAACGGATTGTCGGCACCATTGTTCAACATTTTAACTAATTGTTGAACTGTAGGTACAACATTATTAGCGAGATTGTTATCAAACGCAAGTTGACCAGCATTAGGGATGATCTTGAGTTGATGAGAAAAGAAATAATTTCTTAATCTACTCTTATTATCGTTGGAGGTAACTTCAAAGTTTGAAACAGCAGTTTCCAATAGTTCAGATAATTTAGTATTATCACGAGTGCTAGACGTGAACGAAGCTATATTGCTATTTAAGCAATAGCATTCTAAGGGAACATCCCCGTCTGAAGAGCCTATATGTAGCAAATATGTTCATGTATTGTCGTATGCAAGTGGTGTAAAAATTAGTAATGTTCTGTACCTTCAGTACTGCTACTTTCCCCATGGCTGTATTCTAAAAGTAAAGGTCTTGGTTTTTGCCTTACATCTGTCAATAGTAGTAAATATATGGTCAGTACTTGACAAATGTATAAAAAACAGTATATACATACTTCTTTTATCACCGCCACTTGGGCTTTCCATTTCATCTTGAAATAAAGTGGCGAAAGTAAGGAAGAAAGATTGAATCTAACAACATTTTCATTTGATACATCTTAAATTAACTCTTGTATTAAACAGGTCACAAACAAGGTATTAAGGTAAATCCATTAATTATCGAAAGATGAAAACAGACCACATGTAACTGTCTGACTAGGAAAAAAGGCATAAACTCTACATTTTTTTTTTTTTTTTTTTTTTTTTTTTGTAGGTACAGTATCCTTATTAGGGGTAACACCTATTACTATATGATCATTTTATTGTTCGAGCTTATGTCAGCAGACAAGATTCGTCTGTGTATAATTACATATCACCAGTTGGATCGTAATTTCATGGTTATCGTCCTGATTGAAGGATTTTTATAAGTATCTGGTTACAGCCTCTGGATTGCCATTCAATTGGTTATAAAATCAATTACAGCCTCTGGATCGCATATCTATTGGATTCTGAATATTTTTACGGGCCACTACAGTTAGGATCCAGAGGTCTGTATTACCCCAGCTATGTTATCCCATTGGTCTGACTGTATGCTGGTTTTGTCACTTTCAAAAAAATGATTTTTTTTTTGTAGGGAAAGGCAGCGCAGCTGTCTTTCAAAATTTATTTAATGTCCCGGTGAGACTAAAAGGGGTAAAGAGTTGCGAAGAATAATGTGAAAGAGTTACGTTTAGAACAACAAGGCAAAAGAAGTAGGTTTTTTTGAATGAAGCACATTGTTATTAATTGACAAGCGATTGGAAGTGTAGTTGCCATACGATGGAATTGCAGAGTGGAAGCACCGTTGTGATTGTGAAAGGTTGATCGCCAAAAAGTAGTTTTCAATGAGATCTCCAGATTCCAAGTGAGATGCCAGCAAAAGGAGTTTAGCTAGTAATCTACCAGGCTCAATTAACACGTCTGGAAAGAAGGTTGATAATCACTGGATCCAGATAGACTGTTTTATTGGGACAATTGTGCAGAAAGTGATTTAACGTATCTTCAGTTTGTGTACAATGGATACAAGTAACAGAAGGGAAAGAATCTGGGATGATGTCGTTTAAGAGGCTTTTGTTGGGCAACTCTTGGTGAATCGCCCGATAACATACTGTAAGAATGCCTGGAAATATAGGCAGATCCCGGAACGTTTTCCATTTTCTTACTAAACGTGGTAGCAGTTTTTTTTTTGGAGGGGACAAGGATTTACGCAACAGAACTCCCAATTGTTTTGGTTGATCGAATGCTAGAATATAAGTGGACATTTGAGTCTCAAGAAGAGGACGGAGATCAATAAATCCAGTAGACTCTATACTCGCGCCCAGGAGACGACGAAAGTTACCAGTAGGTTGCATATACTCATTTGCTATTGCGACCCGGGATTTACGAAGTAGGATAGGGGGTCTAGGTTTACGATCAGATTGTTGTCGAAGGATATGTGTATTGGGATCCAGAATGAAGAAATCGCGTACCAAGATTTTAGACATACTGGCGCTGTTGCGACGGAAAACCTCAGAAATTATTGACTCAGAGGCCGGAATAACAGGAGTGTTGGAGACTGGGTTGACGATGGAAGCTAGGTTCAATTGTAGAAACGTAGTCAATGACGAGTTAGACTGGGTAAGAAATCCATTAAAGAAAAGAGAGAGTATTGTAAACGAGTTCGTTGCTGACGGACGAAAACCATGTTTTTTTGTTGAAAATAGAAGTGGCCAGATGTAAGAGGAGTCACCTCCAAATGCGATGAGAGAGGCCGTATTTAAGATATGGAACACTGGTATGTAGAAAAGATCAATGGTGATGTTCAGGTTGTTGTAGCACTATGGGAATGATATTATATGCGATTTCAGTACATGCTCCCCCACCAGCCTTAGCGTAGCTCGCGAAATAAGAAATTATTAATTTACGCATAGCAAAATACACCTACCATTTTTTTCATACTTTGTAGTAACCATAATTATTATGCATGAATGGCAAAACCCAGAGAGGAGGACTGAGATACAAATTGGGGCTTACACAAAAACGCCTATTATTTGTACAGGAAATGTCTAGATCTACGTATTTTTTTGAACGTATTTTTTTAGAATCACGTGATGGTCTACATAGGTCTTTACGTCGATTGACGTGCCATGTCGTCTAAACTCCATATGATGATCGATTTTTGTTTTCCATAAAATATGCTTCACTATCATTACAAGCTACTACTGACAATTATCAAGTTCTGATTTGCTTAAGGGTTTTTTGAAAATGTTTCTATTTTAGGTAAAGGCCCAAACATTATGGATGATAAAATAGACAAATGAAATCATCCTGACATAAGCTTGTTTATCTATAAATAAAGCTGGCTCACACACTTTATTCTTCTTCTTTTCTTTTCCCTTAACATACTTGTCTTCTTTGAAATCAAAGTTAAAAGGTTAATATATAATAACGTTTTCTTCTTCTTTCAATAACACTAAATTGTTAGTTCTTTTTTTTTAAAAGATACATTGGCATTCTAGCGATATTACAGCTACAGCTAGTTTTTGCTATGGAATTTTACCTTTCAAGACTGGGTCCTTGGGTTGAAACCCATAGGAAGGACATGCTGTGAATAGCAGGGGTTGCACTGTAAATGGTTGTGATTACATTTGCTTGCTGGTCTTGCCCCGGATCGCTGTGAATGGTCTAAAACATACGTTTGAAAAAAGATACGGAGGCCTAGACATTTTCCTGCAAGATCTTAAAAGAACTTCTGGCAAGATTTATAAGGATGTAAATAAGAAAACATGCAAAAACAGCAAAAACGTTGATTTAAAACCCTTATTTGATCAATCTGTTGCGAACAAAACCCTCATGCAGAATGGTATTACATTGGCGACAAGTGCTGCTGCGGTAGCTTCGGATGCTTTAATTCTCCGTTTAAAGCTAAATACACCAAGGACCACACCAACCGCTATTCCTTCTGCTTTAGCCTCGACTACCCAAAGTTTAACAACAGAAAATAAATACAAAGACTACATCAATTTCTGTAAAGGCAAATCGAAAAAGCATGGGTTTGATTTCATGAGTGATTTACAACAGGTTCTTGCATGTAAGAACATTATATTATTCAAGGACTATCAATTTGATCCCGAATTACTCAAGCGTATCGATGTTGAAGAACATTCTATTAGTTTAAAGGCATCTATCATAAACGACACCATTAAAACTGATGACGTAGTTTACTCAGATTTGACCACAATTTTAAGAGGAGTCAACCAAAAAACCGACCGAAGAGATCTTAAAATACAGTTGAACAAGTTATACGAACGGGCGTCTAAAGATGATTCCATGCTTATTGAAGTGTTTTCCAATTTGTCAAGCAAGCTTCCAAATTTTGAAAGACTTGAGGCTATAGGAGAACTCGAATTAACAACCAATTTTCTGGATCCTATTTTCTCCCCTCTGTTCCACCACCCTGCCGCAAACAAGCATTTTATCTGGTTAAATAGACAAGACGAGAATACGGGCGGCTTGAGGCCGGACGGAACCATAGTCAGTATTCCGAAGAAAGCCGAAAGCATCACATTAGGATACTGTGAAGTAAAAGCGCAGGATGTAGACGTAAATTCCGTGCTGGCGTTTGCTGATTTGGTCAGGCTATCAACTTTTTCCCGTGATCTGATGTTAAGAAAAGAAAACAAAAAAGCTATCTCGATACAGGCAGTTGGTTATAAAGTCATAATTTACTTTATTGAAGAGGCTTTCCCGGATGTCACAATTATGTACGAAATCTTATCGTTTAATGGACCTAGGACAATCTATGATATTGCGGATTTGATTGATACGGTGAATCAATTGAAAAGGGTTTGTCATGCACTTGATACAGAATGCTAACTCGGAATTTGCTTTTACATCCTGCGCTTGTATTTCACAATATTCTAAGGTTATGCTTTCTGCTTTTTTTGGGATGCTGACTATGGCTCCGTCCGGCCTCAAGCCGCCCGTATTTTCGTTTTGTCTATTTAACCAGATAAAATGCTTGTTTGCGGCAGGGTGGTGGAACAGAGGGGAGAAAATAGGATCCAGAAAGTTGGTTGTTAATTCGAGTTCTCCTATAGCCTCAAGTCTTTCAAAATTTGGAAGCTTGCTTGACAAATTGGAAAACACTTCAATAAGCATGGAATCATCTTCAGACGCCCTTTCATATAATTTGTTCAACTATATTTTGAGGTCTCTTCGATTGGTTTTTTTGTTGCTCTTAAAATAGTGGTCGAATCTGAATAAACTGCGTCGTCTGTTTTAATGGTGTCTTTCATAATGGATGTCTTTATATAAATAGCATGTTCTTCAGCATCGATACTTTAAAGTAACTCTTGATCAAATTGATAATCCTTGAATAAAATGATGTTCTTACATGCAAGAAACTGTTGTAAATCAGTCATAACATGCAAAGCTTGTGCTGTTGTACGATAATGCTGAATACCCTGTATGCGCTGTTGAGTTTGCACCTTATGCTGGCCTTAAGAAAATTACAACCGATCGAAGCAAATTGTTAGTAGAAGCAAAGATTATTTGTGACAAAGTAATGGGTTTGAATGTAAATGAAGAAAATGCAGCCCTCTTAAATGTGGTCAATGTTCAAATCATGGGTAAATTTTGGCTTCATTCTTTGACATTTTATTACAAGACTAAATATTTAATATGTTTAGGCCTAGAAACAAACACCATGTCTGTAAACCTGGTTGATAATCATTTGTACGCTGCTAACTCTATCAAATCATACATTCTACCATCGACGGTTCCCGAACTCTAGAAGCATTGTAAAGCTATTATTGGAGATATCTTTGATTTAAAGGTTAAATGAGAAGAAACAAAAATGGTAAACCTAATACTAATATATTTTGAATTTTAGCACTACACATTAAACACAGCAGATATTATCGAACAAACACTTAATGATAAGAAGAAAATAAAGAAAAGCATGAAAAGAAAAATTCAAGATGAAAACCAAAATGAGCCACTGCCTTCCCTCAAAGCAAGACCGGCTCCAACATGGAGATACAAAGCTAAAAGTGAAAATTGAATGAATCTGTTGCATTTTATTATACAAATTACGCGGAAATCATTATTATCAATTATAAAAAAGTCATATTTGTTATCATTCAAAAAATAATTAACATAGTGCACTTTGAATAAAATTACTGGCAAAATCAGACGATGATGAAGTGTTGATCAAGCTGATACACACGGCCTTTAATAAGTCTTTAGCCAGATGCTAAATTGTTTTGGCAGCAAGCCTGCGACAGAATGAGCTGTACACTGCCTTTAGTAATGCAGTATTTCACTATTAATGTTATTAAATATTGAACTGTAGACCTTATTGAGATCGCGTAAATCTTTTTGAACCAATCATGCAATTCTCATGGTAAGAGTAGTTGTGTATCCGTATAAAAATGTATGCTGTTACTCAATTAAAGGTTGTTTTCATTTCACGCTTTTATTAGTTCTACAATTTTGCTTATTTTTCAATGAATGGTACCCAAACACAATTAATTGTTTGTAATCGTTCTTTTTCTCTTTTAAAGGACTGGATATAAGGTGTTGCAGAATGGTACTAGTTTAACTTCATATTCACTGATTCTTCCAAATATGCATGACCTACTGGATGTAGTTACTCTAGCTATTAGTGATAAGAAGAAATAGCAAATCACCTTTACCCACGTTTTAAAAAATCAGGTGGTTAAATAAACAAATGTGCTTATTATCAAGGACAAGTTAATTAAATTCAATTTCTTAAGAAAGTGTTTACACAGTGCATATTCGTAAATGCATATTAACATAAACATAAAGCTTGAGGAGTTAAGATAATGACCAGTCAAATAGGGTCTTCTTGGATTTGACTATTTCAAAGTGTACGTGACTGTCAGTTGGTATTTCTGAAGTAAGCGAAAGCAGTGTGAGTTTAAAGAAACATCTTTCCTACTTTCTAACAATAAATACCTTTAACATGGCAACATCCTTTAAAGATAGAACAAATGAGTTTCATTCTATGTGTGAACGTATCCGTTCTCGTACCAACGTACCGACCTCAATTCTAGAAAGGAGAGCATTATTGTCATCTCCCGAGCCTTCACATTCTTCATTAAGCAACAAGAAAAAGACGTCTCATGCTCGTTCTGAGTTTTCAATGATGGCAGTTGAAATCAGTAGACAAATCACAAACACCGCAGCTAAATTAGAGAAATTGACCAGATGTAAAGTAGTGAATTAACATTCCCTCTTTGCTATTGAAAAGACTAAACTTGTTTGTTATTATTATTTTGCAGTGGCTAAAAGAAAGACTTTGTTTGACGATAAACCTGTTGAAATTAGTGTATGTATAGATTTGTTGTGATAAAGAATATGCGATAGTTAACAATGGGGTAAACGAACAGGAATTGACATTTATAATTAAACAAGATATTGCAAAGCTAAACAAACAAATCGCTATGCTTCAAGACTATACGAAAAATCAGAAACAAGCATCGAAACAGGCATCGGAGCATACTTCAAATGTTGTTGTTGCTTTACAAAGTAAATTAGCTGATACATCCATGTGTTTTAAAGATGTCTTGGAAATAAGAACTGAAAATATGAAGATGACAAAAGATAAACGAGATCAATTTTTATTTTCGGCAGCAGAGCAAACGACAGACCCCACATTAGGTAAATAATTAGAAGAGATCACCTGTGTGACAATCAAATATTGATTCTTGTTGCTAGCAAATTCACCCTTGATGAAATCCCGTCGTCGTGGGTTGGAAACGACAGCAGTAACACCACAACAGAATGTTGTTTTACAAGAGGAGGAGCCACAGGAATCAACTTTATCCCTTGGAATACCCATGATCACTCAACAGCAACAACAGGAAATGATGGTGATGGAACAGGATAGATATATCGACAATCGATCCACTGCTATAGAGAGTATTGAAAGTACTATTGCGGAATTGGGTGGCATTTTCCAACAGTTAGCTACAATGGTAGCAGAACAAAGAGAAACAGTGCAGAGGTAAAGAATAAGTATTAAAATTAAGTGTGGGGAAGAAGCTAAATATCTGTTTATCCACGCCAGAATTGATCAGAATACAGATGATATAGAAATGAATGTCATGGGAGCACAACGGGAGCTACTGAAATACTACACAAGTATTAGCTCAAACCGTTGGCTGATAGCCAAGATCTTTGTAACCATTGTACTCTTTTTCCTACTTTTTACATTTATCATGTAACACAGAAAATAAAACTCAGTGTGGTTATGAAAGCAAAAGTCGCTAAGGTTTTATTTCCTCTGTCTTCTTTTCTTATACAGTCAGACCTATGAAATTGGTGTTTACACAAACATAATTGGTCAAATGGCAAATAAAATGGGCAGAAATTGAAAAATAAATGTAACAGGCTCAATTCTTTTTGTCCATGCCAAGTACTCTTACAGTATTATTGGCTGCTCGTTTTAAAGGCAAAAGTATACTTCTCTCTCCAATATGCCTATAAGGTTCACCAATGAAAGCTTCATGTTGTCAAGAAATGCTTATGAAGTATTATTTAAAGATTGTTGCCGAGGAGTTCGATCAAGAGTTTTGGATGGTTAGGAAACAAGCGTTTTCGAGTTACCATTCGCTTTTCTTTGGTTATTTCCTCTAATAGCTGTGCCGCTGCAAGTATTAAATTCGTTCATTAAATCATATGTGCTACTATATAGAATACAGAATACAGAATACAGAATACCGCAATAGCTTTTAGGATCACCATACCCTCCTCCCACTTTAAACAGACACTCCACCTTTGTTCTTTTCCATGAATAACAGTCCGCACTGATGAAAACGTGCTGCAGATTTTCGGTGGCCAAAACAACCAAGGAGCTTCTGCACCGGTTTTTGAAGCTAATGGCTATATTTATTTTAGCGTTAAATCAAACGCCATTTATTAGGTCTTTTGGATGAGCCTTTGGTCCCTATTAAACTTAAATATCCAATAAAAACTTTACATATGCTATATTTTTTTAAGACCAAGTCAAATGCCACTTCATCCTTAAGATTTTTCGACTCTTAGTCGGTCTTTCACTTATTTTGCGAGAGTTTTCGCTTCTCGGTCAACTGCTTTATTATCAAGCTAAAAATCACCCACTTGATCCGCGAGATCTTTCGATTCTCAGTCAGATCCACAGCCAAAAAAAAAAAAAAAAAAAAAAAAAAATAATGGGTATCTTTTCTCCACTTAATTTGTATTTAACGGTGTCACAGCAGCGTTGAAAAAAAAAGCGGGCCATCCACCCTCTTTTCCACTTTATCATAAATATGTCAGATTTACAAGATAGATGCGCTACTTTGGGAAGATTACATATATGGTTAATAACGTTTTATTTAAAGCTATAGAAGTCTACATAGCAAGCGAAAAAGGAGAGTTTTGTTCGCAACAGCTTGATCAAATACAGGTTTCAAATCAATGTCTTTGCTGTGTTTGCATGACTTCTTATTTACATCCTTATAAATCTTGCCAGAAGTTCTTTTAAGGTCATGTAGTGCATATTCATAATTATCGTATATTTCAAACCAAGCTGTAATGATTTCCTTCGCTTCAATCTTATTCCTTGATGAAGCCCATTAATTTAACTTTCATGCACAATGGTATTAACTTGGCGACAAGTGCTGCTGCGGTAGCTTCAGATGCTTTAATTCTTCGCTTAAAGCTAAATACACCAAAAACAACACCAACCACTATTACTTCTGCTTTAGCCTCGACTGCTCAAAGTTCAACAACAGAAATTAAGTACAAAGACTACATTAATTTCTGTAAAAACAAATCGAAACAGTACGGGTTTGATTTACTAATTTAAAGATGGTATTTTCATCATCACCAGTCGCCAGTCTCTTTTCTCCCCTATGTATCTGTAAGCTAACTTTGTTCGTAGACATAAACTACAAACGAAATTTACCAGCGAATGTATATTCCAGTGCTGTAAAAGAGAACTTTAAATATATCAGCCCAAATTTTGATCATGACGTCTGCTTCTGACGGCGTTGGCTTTGAGAGGGTGAATATTGAGTTGTGTTTAATCATCTTATCAATGCTAAAAAAAATAGGTTGTCAATCATTCAAGTAATGGTTTTTATAATAATATAAACTTACATAACGCTTACTACTTCATACCCTATTTTTTCATTAAATCTGGACGCCTTTCGCTGATATTCTTTCGCTTTCCAATAGCATTCTTCCATATTTTGAGGGCTCTATAATAGCGTCTGCTATACATTTAACACAACTAAATGTTTGTGTTTGATACATACATTGAATATTCTATCGATTTTCTGCAATGCCGGTCTGGATTTAACTAACATATCATTAGAGAGGAATGGGCATCCTAATTTCCACTTCCACATTATACATAAAAGGTATCTGAGTCTGAATATGCTCTCATTGTTGCACTGAAATGTGGAAATAACTTTTGCTATTAGAGAGGAATGGGCAATTTTTTCCAATTTACACATTCGGAGTATGAATATTACGTCATATGTGTAAATACACACTATTTCCACACTACCGTTTTTGTAAACGCACTTTATGAGAGATTACATCACAATTTCTTTCTTTATTTGCCTTTTTCTCTTTTTAAACACTTTTTAACATAAAATGTCTCAAATCCTTTACTTATATGCTACCATACGTACTTACGAGGACTATATCAATACACTCGAAGAAAGACTCAACGAAGAGGACGAATTATTAGCCCGTTTGGAGCATAACGAAACGAATTACGCGTTGCATAATCGACAAAAACTAGATATTTCTACATTGAGCAATGAAGTATGTAAATCTTTGTTTAGATTTACTTTCAGAGAGCTTAAATTGGTATCCAGAGCTTTAGGTTTTCCGGAGAAAGTCTCGTTTAGACAGCACACACGCCAGAAATTTTCGTTGGACCGCCACTATGCATTGGCTATCATGCTTAGACGATTGGCATATCCTTCCAGACTTTTGGATTTGGAGTTGCTGTTTGGGATTAATAAAGCGACTCTCGGCACAGTATTTAATACAATGATTGAAATCCTAAATTACAACTACGAAAAAGGGATAACATTTAACGCAAAGCACCTTCACTCGTTTAATCTTCAAAGATTTGCTGAAGCAACAGAACGAAAAGGTATATACATAATTATTTGGTATGGTTTGTAAACAAATTAACATTGATTAAACTTTTGGAACAGGATCCTGCTTTGCAGGTGTCATTGGCTTTGTCGACGGCACCTTGAATGGAGTAGCAAGACCAAGTGAATATCAAGAGATCGTATATAATGGCCATGTGGTATGTAATCTATGTTTAACAGTAAATACTCTTACTAAAGATGTAAATAGAGATATCACGGCTTAAAGTATCAAGGTATTGTAACTCCCGATGGAATAACAGTAAGTCTAAGCGGACCGTTTGCAGGAGCAATGCACGATCAAGCTGTGATGGTCAGCAGTGGCATAATGGATGATCTTCGTAAATGTTTGGATCCTCGTGAAACAGGAGGGGAACTATACGCAATTTATGGTGATCCAGCATACGTAGAGAGTGATATCCTGATTAAGCCTTTCAGAACTGGTATGTAAACAGATACGATAAGCTATACTCTATCTTGGATTATTCAAAGTTGAAATGTTTACGATACATTATTAGGTGCGCAGATGCATGAACTTGATAAGGAAGCGAATTATGTGATGTCTAAATTGAGAATAATTGTAGAGTGGGAATTTGGGCACGTCGCCAATTTGTTTGCGTTTCTTAAGTACAAGCCAGGGCAAAAAATGTTACTCAGTAGATGTGCTCTTTTTTACAAAATTGCAACGCTTATGAAAAACATACACATCTGTGTCAATGGAGGACAATCCAGCAGCTACTTTGGTATAAGTCCACCAACACTTGAAGAGTATATGGATGAAATTCGAGCAGAATAAATATCAAACTAAAGTAAGATTGTAAATTTTTTATTTTTTATTTATTTCTTCTTGTGCTCTTACGAGCAAGAGTGGGAGCAGGAATAGGAGCGGTAGGTTTGGTAGGTGTGGGAGTGGCAGGAGAAGGAGTGGTGGGGGCAGGAATGACGGGGGAAGGCGATGGCTTATCCGTAATCAATGTCTGATTATTTTGACGTGCCATTGTGTGTCTAAACTCTTTCATTAGCTGGCCCATTTGCTGATATAGCTGCATCATCATCTGCATGTTCTGCTCGTGATTTAATTGCTGTGATTGCAGAAATTCACTCAACTGGCCAACCAGAATTCTCTGGCTATTGTTGATGAGCCTCTGTTCATTGAGGTTTTGCTCCAAGCGACCTGCATACTTCTCAATACTACCTGCAGCCAGTTCAAGAGCATTGGATTTCTCCGACTGCAATGTTCTCTCCTTCTCAACAGTCTTCATCAGAATGTTCAAATCCCTCTTGACTTCAACTTCTTTCAACGGCAATTCATACCCCATACAGTCCTCGGCTTCACCTGTACTCATCATTTCATCATCCGACTTGTGATGATCGTCATCCATCTTGCTTCTCTTCTTGCCCTTGTTGATTCCTTGTTTGGATTGCAAGACAACATGACATTGTAGTCTTCGTTTCTCAGCCAAGGCTTTTGCGGCATCTTCATTGCCTTTGGTCTTTGATTCCTCGTTTTTTTCCATCTTTAAGGGATTAAGAAGGTTAGTATAGTGATTAATATATATGTAATTATTATATACCAAAGAGATCAACTCAAGTACTCGGTTTTCAAGAGTTGTTTCTGAATCATTACTTCCAGTTCCATAGGTGAGATCATTGTTTAGCTTCTCTTTTACTTCTTTAATCAGATTTTTTATTCTGTTCTTGATAGCGTTGTCACTGAGCTGCTTCAAATGTCCATCAACCTTGTTTACTTTCCCAAATACTTTGTTCCAAGCAGAAGTTACCTCACCTCTTTTTGCTTCGAAGGGGCGAAACTCAATCATACCCTCAATAGCTGCGAGCTCTCTCTGGTAAGACCATTGTCCGTAGGCTTTGGCTTCACTTTCAGTTGAAGAAGTGGATGCATTGATGAATTGTTGAGACATTTTTTGTATATTCAGTAAGTTATATGTGAAGATAAAGAAGTCAATAAAAAAGATTCGCGTAGTTATATATAGACTATAATTATGAAAATGACATAATGTAAGCGAAATAGAAAACTTAAATTTACGAGCAATTGATTGGCTGGCTATGGTCACAAAAAAATGACGATATGTTTTTCTATTTTCACAATTTGTGAAAATAGAGAGGAATGGGCATCCTAATTTCCACTTCCACATTATACATAAAAGGTATCTGAGTCTGAATATGCTCTCATTGTTGCACTGAAATGTGGAAATAACTTTTGCTATTTTCACAAATTGTGAAAATAGAAAAACATATCGTCATTTTTTTGTGACCATAGCCAGCCAATCAATTGCTCGTAAATTTAAGTTTTCTATTTCGCTTACATTATGTCATTTTCATAATTATAGTCTATATATAACTACGCGAATCTTTTTTATTGACTTCTTTATCTTCACATATAACTTACTGAATATACAAAAAATGTCTCAACAATTCATCAATGCATCCACTTCTTCAACTGAAAGTGAAGCCAAAGCCTACGGACAATGGTCTTACCAGAGAGAGCTCGCAGCTATTGAGGGTATGATTGAGTTTCGCCCCTTCGAAGCAAAAAGAGGTGAGGTAACTTCTGCTTGGAACAAAGTATTTGGGAAAGTAAACAAGGTTGATGGACATTTGAAGCAGCTCAGTGACAACGCTATCAAGAACAGAATAAAAAATCTGATTAAAGAAGTAAAAGAGAAGCTAAACAATGATCTCACCTATGGAACTGGAAGTAATGATTCAGAAACAACTCTTGAAAACCGAGTACTTGAGTTGATCTCTTTGGTATATAATAATTACATATATATTAATCACTATACTAACCTTCTTAATCCCTTAAAGATGGAAAAAAACGAGGAATCAAAGACCAAAGGCAATGAAGATGCCGCAAAAGCCTTGGCTGAGAAACGAAGACTACAATGTCATGTTGTCTTGCAATCCAAACAAGGAATCAACAAGGGCAAGAAGAGAAGCAAGATGGATGACGATCATCACAAGTCGGATGATGAAATGATGAGTACAGGTGAAGCCGAGGACTGTATGGGGTATGAATTGCCGTTGAAAGAAGTTGAAGTCAAGAGGGATTTGAACATTCTGATGAAGACTGTTGAGAAGGAGAGAACATTGCAGTCGGAGAAATCCAATGCTCTTGAACTGGCTGCAGGTAGTATTGAGAAGTATGCAGGTCGCTTGGAGCAAAACCTCAATGAACAGAGGCTCATCAACAATAGCCAGAGAATTCTGGTTGGCCAGTTGAGTGAATTTCTGCAATCACAGCAATTAAATCACGAGCAGAACATGCAGATGATGATGCAGCTATATCAGCAAATGGGCCAGCTAATGAAAGAGTTTAGACACACAATGGCACGTCAAAATAATCAGACATTGATTACGGATAAGCCATCGCCTTCCCCCGTCATTCCTGCCCCCACCACTCCTTCTCCTGCCACTCCCACACCTACCAAACCTACCGCTCCTATTCCTGCTCCCACTCTTGCTCGTAAGAGCACAAGAAGAAATAAATAAAAAATAAAAAATTTACAATCTTACTTTAGTTTGATATTTATTCTGCTCGAATTTCATCCATATACTCTTCAAGTGTTGGTGGACTTATACCAAAGTAGCTGCTGGATTGTCCTCCATTGACACAGATGTGTATGTTTTTCATAAGCGTTGCAATTTTGTAAAAAAGAGCACATCTACTGAGTAACATTTTTTGCCCTGGCTTGTACTTAAGAAACGCAAACAAATTGGCGACGTGCCCAAATTCCCACTCTACAATTATTCTCAATTTAGACATCACATAATTCGCTTCCTTATCAAGTTCATGCATCTGCGCACCTAATAATGTATCGTAAACATTTCAACTTTGAATAATCCAAGATAGAGTATAGCTTATCGTATCTGTTTACATACCAGTTCTGAAAGGCTTAATCAGGATATCACTCTCTACGTATGCTGGATCACCATAAATTGCGTATAGTTCCCCTCCTGTTTCACGAGGATCCAAACATTTACGAAGATCATCCATTATGCCACTGCTGACCATCACAGCTTGATCGTGCATTGCTCCTGCAAACGGTCCGCTTAGACTTACTGTTATTCCATCGGGAGTTACAATACCTTGATACTTTAAGCCGTGATATCTCTATTTACATCTTTAGTAAGAGTATTTACTGTTAAACATAGATTACATACCACATGGCCATTATATACGATCTCTTGATATTCACTTGGTCTTGCTACTCCAT